ATGGAGTTGTTTTACCAAGGCAGAATTAATCAAGTTGACTGCCCGGAAGAAAGGCAATATCTCGGAGGGTTGCTCTGCGAAGAAAAGCCCGGACCTCGAGGGGAAGGGCACTAAAAGCGTCTTCTTGACACCTTTCTCCTGGCCTACAGCACAAGCTCACATTATTATGAGGTGGACGGCCTGTGAGAAAGGTGCTGTACGAGACCAACGGCGGAGGGACTGGGGACCCTAGGGATGTACAACTCAACAGAACGAGCCAGCTGTACTCCGTAGAGTATCGGAGTCAGGAACTGGGCCTGAGCACTTCACCATGGACAAAAAAAAAAAAAAGATGTCTTCGACCGCAGCGACCGCAGTGACCATGGCAAATGGCAAAGTATCCGTGGGCCTCACAAATGGCTGAAAATGCATTGGTGCATAAACGGGCATTTTCCCACTCACCGCCCTTCTTCATAACCCATTTAGGATTAGCGCGGGGCCAGATAAGCGAATTAACCCCTCCGATAAGACATTACTCGCCAGGGGTGAAATACAGTGACACCCAACCAAGGCACCCAACGCAAGCACAGGGCAGGTAGCGGCAAGGCAAGAAGAGGGAAGGAGGGGAGGGACTCAGGCAGGAGGAGGGGTGGTTTCCGCAGTTTCTGATTTTTTTTTTCTGTGGTGGGGCTATCCTTGCCGCTAGCGTCGTCGTCGCCGGGCCAGAAGTGAGAGGGATACACGCCGGGCCACACAGCACTCTCTCTCGCTCTGCTGGTGAAGGAAGGAGCCAGAAAAAAAAAGTTTTTGGTGGGCGGGCGGCGGGACGGGGGGGATAAGGCGCTGAATATTTGGCAAGGCACCAAATGGAGGGGGAGGGGGAGAGGAAGGGGGCAGGGGGCAAAAGAATGAGCGATAACACAAGCCAGGCCGAATTCTGGCGCTAGAGATTAAAAACTCCCAGCCCGCCGCCCTCACCCTTTTCCACAACTGTTTTTTCCTCCTCTTCCTCCTCTTGAACCTCTTCCTCTCTCAACCCCGTTCCCTTTCTTCTCCTCCCTGGTTATCCGTCTTCCTCCAGACGCATCTCCACTCAGTCATTTGATTTCTTTCCAACGTCCTGTCTGCGACGGTTAATCAAGAGCGAATCCGCCCTGATCGACCCCGCCTTCGCAAGAAGTTCAGAGACCTCTCCGAAGCGCCATTCTAGAGCAGAAGAACTACGATCCTCCAGTCGTTTGTCTCTTCTCGCGGGCCTTCCCCTCCCCAAATCAATAAAACCGATTTCTCAATCGTCCTTTTCGGTTACGATAGAGTATAGACATTGCATCTAGACGCTTTAGACGTTCAGACTTGCAGTTCTTCTCCCCGACAAATCTCAACAAACACCCTCCCGATCGACATAATACCAACCGTCAAAATGTCTTCCGAGAACGCCCAGTCCGTCAAGGTTTTGGACGAGCTTTTCCAGAAGCTCACCGTTTCCAAGGAGGCTGCCGACATCAAGGAGTCCTCTAGCTCCCTGGCCTCTTTCATGAACGGCCGCATTGAGGATCAGGATATCCCCACCAAGTAAGTTGCCACACCATCTTTACTACGTGCGCCGCAAAATTCGCTGGTGAGATTTCGCCTCAAGCGACCGTGTCCACGGTCCTGGAAATTTCTCCAAAAATTCAGATTTTTTTTTTTTGATTTTTCTTCGGCTTTTCCCCTCGCCTCCTCGGGCGGCTTTTGCACCGACCCGCTGCGACGCTGAGCGACCAGCCACGTTGGCCACTCAGCGGCCAGTTATTTTCGGTTCACACTTTTTTTTCTGGAGCATCAGCGCTGACAAGGATTTTCCCCGCAGGACCATCGAGTCTATCCGCAAGCTGTTCAACAACAAGAAGGATGCTGCTGCCCGTGAGAAGGCTGCCGTTGCCATCACTGCTATTGCTCAGCACTCCGAGGTCTCCGCCCACGTTGAGCCCCTCCTCGTCGCTCTCCTCCCCGATGTCCTTGCCGCCGCTGGTGACAAGATCACCGGTGTGAAGAATGCCGCCACCGCTGCCGCTCTCGCCATCGCTGAGGCCATCAACCCCAACGCTGTCAAGGGTGTCTTCGCCCCTGTCAAGAAGTCTCTCCTTGAGGCCCAGAAGTGGCAGGAGAAGATGGCCGCTCTCGATGTCCTCGAGACCGTCATCCGCACCGCCCCCGCTCAGGTCGGCTACCGCGTCCCCGACTTGATCCCCGTCGTCTCCGAGTCCATGTGGGACACCAAGAAGGAGGTCAAGGAGCGCGCCTACAAGACCATGGAGCAGATCTGCCAGCTCATTGTCAACCGTGATATCGAGCGTTTCATTCCCGAGCTCATCAAGTGTATCGCCAAGCCCGAGAACGTCCCCGAGACCGTTCACTTGCTCGGTGCCACCACCTTCGTCACTGAGGTCCAGGAGCCCACCCTTGCCCTCATGGTTCCCCTGCTTGACCGTGGTCTCGCTGAGCGCGAAACCGCCATCAAGCGTAAGGCCGCTGTCATTGTCGACAACATGTGCAAGCTCGTCGACGACCCGAACATTGTCGCTCCCTTCTTGCCCAAGATGATGCCTGGTCTCCAGAAGAACTACGACAACTTGGCCGACCCCGAAGCCCGTGAGAAGACCAAGCAGGCTCTCGACACCATCACCCGCGTCGGTAACGTCGTTGACGGCAAGATCCCCGAGGTCCGCCACGACTCCGACTTGGAGGTTGTCCTCCCCAAGCTCAAGGAGTCTATTCCCTCCAAGCTCAAGGCCAAGGCCGATAAGCTCGACATTGTCCTCCAGTACGCCTCCAACATCGCTGGCCAGCTCATTGACGAGAAGGAGATGGAGTCCGCTGTCTGGACCGAGGCCCTTAAGCCTTACATCTCCGTCGTTGTTGGCGATGACGAGGCCCAGAAGGTCGTCGACGACTTCCGCAAGCGCGCCGCTCCCGGTGCCGCTGAGGAGGAGGAGGTCGACCCCGATGATGAGGAGGGTGAGGACCTTTGCAACTGCACCTTCTCCCTTGCCTACGGTGCCAAGATTCTTCTTAACCAGACCCACCTCCGTCTCAAGCGTGGTCAGCGCTACGGTCTCTGCGGTCCCAACGGTTCCGGCAAGTCTACTCTCATGCGTGCCATCAACAACGAGCAGGTCGAGGGTTTCCCCAAGCAGTCCGAGGTCAAGACCGTCTTCGTCGAGCACGACCTGGACTCCGCTGATACTGAGATGACCACCATTGAGTGGACCATGAAGAAGCTTGCTGATGCCGGTGTCGAGACCTCCCAGCCTGATGTCGAGGCCAAGCTCAACGAGTTCGGCTTCACCGAGGCCATGGTGAAGGGTGAGATCTCTGCCCTCTCCGGTGGTTGGAAGATGAAGTTGGCTCTTTGCCGTGCCGTCTTCGAGGCTCCCGATATTCTGCTTCTCGACGAGCCTACCAACCATTTGGACGTGAAGAACGTTAAGTGGCTCGAGGACTACCTCATGAACTCCCCTTGCACTTCCATCATCGTCTCCCACGACTCTGGTTTCCTCGACAACGTCTGCCAGCACATCGTCCACTACGAGCGCTTCAAGCTTAAGCGCTACCGTGGTAACCTCAAGGAGTTCGTCAAGAAGAACCCCGCTGCCAAGTCCTACTACGAGCTCTCCGACTCCGAGATGGAGTTCAGCTTCCCCGAGCCCGGTTTCCTTGAGGGTGTCAAGACCAAGGCCAAGGCCATTCTGCGTGCCAGCAAGATGTCCTTCCAGTACCCCGGTACCAGCAAGCCCCAGATCTCCGACATCTCCTTCCAGTGCTCTCTCGGCTCCCGTATTGCTGTCATCGGTCCCAACGGTGCCGGCAAGTCGACCCTTATCAACGTTCTCACCGGTGAGCTCATCCCCACCGTTGGTGAGATCTACCAGCACGAGAACATCCGTATCGCCTACATCAAGCAGCACGCTTTCGCCCACATCGATAACCACTTGGACAGCACCCCCTCTGAGTACATCCAGTGGCGTTTCCAGACTGGTGAGGATCGCGAGACGATGGATCGCGCCAACAAGATCATCACCGACGCTGATGAGGAGGCCATGAACAAGATCTTCAAGATCGAGGGTACCCAGCGCCGCATCATCGGCATCAACTCCCGCAGAAAGTTCAAGAACTCTTACGAGTACGAGTGCTCTTTCGCCATTGGTGACAACGTCGGCCAGAAGAACGAGCGCTGGACTCCCATGATGTCCGCTGACAACGTCTGGTTGCCCCGTAACGAGCTTATCGCTTCTCACCAGAAGATGGTTGCCGACGTCGATATGAAGGAGGCCCTTGCCTCCGGTCAGTTCCGCCCTCTGGTCCGTAAGGAGATTGAGGCCCACTGCGCCAACTTCGGTCTTGACGCTGAGCTGGTTTCTCACTCTCGCATGCGTGGTCTGTCCGGTGGTCAGCGTGTCAAGGTCGTCCTTGCTGCCTGCTCTTGGCAACGCCCCCACTTGATCGTTCTTGACGAGCCTACCAACTACCTTGACCGTGACTCTCTCGGTGCCCTGTCCAAGGCCCTGAAGAAGTTCGAGGGTGGTGTCATCATCATTACTCACTCTGCTGAGTTCACCAAGAACATCACTGAGGAGGTCTGGGCCGTCGTTGACGGCAAGATGACTCCTTCCGGTCACAACTGGGTCCAGGGCCAGGGCTCTGGTCCTCGTCTCAAGGGTGACGACGCTGAGGAGGAGGAGAAGTTCGACGCCATGGGCAACAAGATCGTCAGCACCAAGAAGAAGGTCAAGTTGTCCTCTTCCGAGCTCCGCAAGAAGAAGAAGGGTAAGTCTACAATTCCACACATCACTTGATACTGCCTACGGAATGCTAATTCATTCGTTTCAGACCGCATGGCCCGCCGCAAGCGTGGTGAGGAGGTTTTCTCCGACGAGGACGACATCTAAACCAGTCGCCACGAGATCGCTTTCCTTTCCATTTGTCACGAGCCTTACAAAAGTCTTTTTTCGGTAACGCGGGTTGCATGGTTACGGGCCTGTTTATGATTTCTTTGACGAGCACCCATGAGATTCCCCTTGAAATGAAATCGCCGGATGAAGGAATGACCATCCTGCTGCGGGATTGGAGGATCCCGCCGGCGAGGAGAGAGGTTCCTGGCGACAGGGAATGAGGGGGTAAGAATAAGAGAGTAGAAAGAGTAAATAGACGGCAATACAAGCCATAGACACTTCACAATGTTTCCCTGTTTGACACACGTGATATGAATCCTCGATCTCCCCGAGTAAGAATGGGTCTAAGCTGTGTTGGTCAACACCGCTCTTCTCTCATCGCACCGCATCGCAGCCAGCACACCCTAAGCAAGCTGGACCGCCGGATCCCGCGGGCTTCTAGGCTCTGCATTAGACGCTTTCGTCATCTCCAGGTCCTGGCTTTGTGCAAATACACATTATGCTATTGTACTTGAACGACTGGGGCATGCGCCCCTGACAGTAGGGACAGTCAAGTAGTGGTGAGTGTCACCCATCAAGCCATTGTCTCCTTCGAGGCCAAGCCTCCCTTCCAAAATCATACTGCGAGATTATGCTCAAATGAAAAACTTGTAGCTACTGACCAATCTTTTCAAGCTCTTTGAGTCCATACTATCTCTATCTTTCTGGGGTTGACAGTGACAAATACTAAGCCGCGCCAAACATAGCTACTCCCAGATATTTCTCAACGTCCGAGGTGGGCTGTATTTCAAAAGGGATGGAGGTCGAATGCGGCCCTCTGAGAATGGAGTCAAAGGATGACGAGTGTTCCTTGATTGTTGCGCGCATTGTCCTGAATTTGCCAAAGGCCTTTCTCGTCTTTGTTGGTTTCGAGGTCGACTTCAAAGTGTCCAAAGACACAAGGTCGGGGGCACCAAAATCGCGAGTTCCCCCACCAGTGGATGGCCGGCGGCTGTTGCGTCTATCGACATTCTTTCTATTGATTCTTTGGTTTCCCTAAGGAAAAGCTTCTTGGTCTTGATAGACGCATGCCTTTCCGAGCCTTTTGAAGAGACGGCAACAACATCGTTGCAGTGGTGTAGTCACTATGGACGACTACAACCATAAAATACAGCACGAAAGCATCTATGATGAAAAGTGGTGGGTCGAAAACTGTCGAGAAGACCCGGACCCGCGAGGCCTCACCACCTCACCACCAACATCACCATCACCATCACCAGGGGACGCAGACATACAGCAAGACAGTAGTATCACAATCCCCCAACACGCAATCCACACCCACGACAAGACAGCAGAGTCCATCACAGCCCTCCGACCCCCCGGACACCCTCACGCGCCCCTCTTCCTCGGCGTACCCCCCGTCAAGCTCGCCAACAAGGGCGAGTGGTCCTTTATAGAATACATCCCGCCCTGGACGGACCCCCAATGGCAGCACGACAATCACAGGATACCGGACCGAGACTACCCTTCCCAGGTCATCCGCCCCCACCTCTGGACGACGACGCTGCGCCCCGCGCAGCTGCCGCAGGACCGCGCGCAGAACCCGACGGCGCTTGCGCTGCGGTTCGGGATCTACCCGGACAGACTTGACGGGCGGTCGCGGCTCACGCCCACGAGGGGCGGGTTTCGGAGGTTCCGGGTTGATGGGGTGGTGCAGCCGGGGATCACGGGGGAGTATGTCATTGCCAAGGCGGAGGAGCTTGCTGCGCGTGCGAGGTTGGGGGGCGTGGATGCGCTGCTGGAGGCGTATTCGAAGCTGGGGGCGGATGAGAGGCAGCCTAGCGATCGGGAGAGGTATGTGTTGAGGGCGATGCAAGATATGAGGGATGATGAGGATTGGCAGTCCATCATGTTTCGGGGGTTGACTACGCACGAAGTATGTGAGGTTGCTCTCTTTCTTACGCTTCTGGAGTCTGATGTTGGTACAGTTACTGGAAGAGGGGATGATGTCGTTCAAGAGCGAGCATGGGTGTGATTTGCAGAATCCTCTGCACTGGTAAGTTCAAGTTAGCCTCGGATATTTGCCCCCCTTCTGCCCAAAAAGCTGACTCTGAATGAAGCTATTTACAGAGGGACAAGTGGGCGGAACAAACATGGCGCGGAGCAGACCCCCAATGTCCAAGACTCGTCTACCACAGCGGCAACTTCAAAGGCGAATGGGACCCACGAGTGAGAGAAGGATCTTTTTCCCACTCGAACTCCGTGCTGCTAGAGGCTGACACGATTCCACGTACAGACCAATGATGGCCTCTGGGCCAAAATGCAACCCGCCCTGATCCTCGCCTCCCGCATGCTAACCCACCTCGAAACCCACGACCCCTACTGGCAATGCCTCCACGACGCCCTCAACCGTCTCCGCATCAAGGGCCCCCGCGACTACCGCACCCCCGCGATGAAGAAGCGCAACCCGGCGGTCGAATTCAGTCTGCGAGACCCCGACCCCGACCCCGACGACGGCGAAGGCGAAGGCGAAGGCGACGACCCAACCACCAACATTGCGGACCCGCAGACGAGGCGGGCAATGGCCGCCGACGTCATGGACGAGACGCTCCATGTATTAAGGACCAAGATGCGCTTCATGCTGTGCAGCGGCGTGCGGGATAGTCCTTGCCCGGAGGGCGGGCGTCCGCAGGTCGGGTTCACACATGTGCAGGGTGGCCGGATCGAGGTGAATCTCGCTGCGGATGTGATGTGGCCGCTCGTTGTGGCTGGGTATAGCAATGATGAGAGGATTCTGACGTATTTTACGCTGGCTACTACCATTGTCCATGAGATTGCGGTGAGTCTCTTTTTTGTCTTTTTGGTTTTCGCCTCTTTCTTGGGAAACTGTTCCGTCGAGCAGGGCGAACACCTGCCATGGCTGTAGAGATGGGTTGGCTTACTCAAGTCTCGGGATAGCACGCGATTAACTACGCTCACCACCTTGTTCTCTATCCACCTGAATATGCAGGTTGCGAAGTCGCCAATTGGGAGTCGCATCCGGACAAGGTTGAAAAGGCCTTGAAGATTGGAAAATGCATGTTTGGCCAGTTGAAGGATCATAACATTGAGCCCTTCTTTGAGAACGAACCGCAATCTGAGCTTGGTTTCTGTACCGAGAACCGCGTAAGTACTAGATAACATTTCCATACATACGCCTCCCTTCTTCAAGATTCCACCACATCGGTATCCGTATAAAGCCCTGGAGCCACGCTAACAATACAACGCCCGGGGCTGTTAGCTTTTTGGCGGCGTCAACTGGGGTCTCATCTCCCTCGAGACGGAAACCGATCAACTCTACTTCCTCCCGTCCGCAATGATGATGGAGAGGTGGCCGCAGGCCTACGGACCAGAGGACCTACCCACCCTCCAAGCCCTCAAGGACAACCCCGAGAACCTGATCCTCTCCCGGCCGCGGATGCTCACGGACCAGTACTGCATACCCACCAAAGTCGCCGACATAGCCCGCCTCTTCACCGAGTCCTTTTGGGCCGCCGAGGTTCTAAAGTACGGCCCCGCGGCGCTGCACTTTGGCTCCGCGGACCCGGTCAAGATCCCCCCCATCACTTCGACGTACATTGACTTCAACGATTCCCTAAAGGGTGTGCTGGACCCCAGGAGTCACAAGGTGTCTGAGCTGTATCCGGAAGAAGACGACTTGAAACATGCCGGCGCGCTGGTATACCTTTTTGTCCGGGAGGCCGCGGTGGAGTTTCTGAGGTACCATATTGCGAGGTTCAGGTGGGGCAGGGACCAGGCCAACTACGAGACGTCGCGGTATCCGGAGATGATGGTCTGCTCGATGCAGATCTGGGTCGTCATGTCCGAGACCAAGATCGCCGTTGAGCTGGGGCGAGGTATCGAGAGTGTCAGCAACGGCAGGGCAAGCCAGGCGTGGCTAGAGATGTGGAAGCGGGCCGAGATTCGAAAGCATCGAGCACCCATTGACAAGCTGACTACGGCGAAACCGAGCCTACTTTGCAATTTCCCGTTCCGTCTCCCGCTCGGCTCGGTTCACCCGCAAGACGAGGTCGCGTTCTGGAAGAGTATCCCCGTTCTGAGGGCCCAAGCGGGACAGAGGCTGGCGGCTCTGCTCCGGCGGCTCTACGAAATGGTACTCTTCGAGGTAGGGTGCTTCCAGCATCTGTACCTCGATATCTACAGGCTCGAGCCGGCCGAGATTGAAAACTTCAAGACCATTACCGAGAACTTGGGAGCCCGCCTGGAAAATGTACAAACCCTGTGCGACCTCGTCGCGTCGAGAATCGCGGATTGCTTGGCAGCAGACGACGGATCCATGCCTGCCATCAGCGTCGCGGCCCTCCGCGAGCTCGAGACAAAGTTCCTCCACACGTCGGCGCAGGTCCAGGAGATGACGCCGTGGGCGGCGGACATTTCCCGAATCGTGCCCGCCAACTTCAACCTCCTGCAGCAGTTCCTGCCCACCCTCAAGACCGCACGACGACCAAAGACGGCGCGCATGGTCAAGATTGTGCAGAAGGAGCTCGGCCTGGTTCCCGTGGAGGTCCTGGAGGGCATTCAGACCTTTTTGGACTTTGTCAAGACGCGCGCGAAAGCCCTGATTGATGTGCGGATCGACATGGCGAGGGATGGGATGATGGACCTGGACGAGGTGATTACCGAGTTTGAAAAGAGGGACAAGTTTGCGGCCCCCGGGTTGGTGGAAGACGGCACCGACGATGAGAATGAAGACGGGCTCGGCCTCAGGTTCGACAACGACCCGCTTGCTGAAATCATCAGGAAGAGGAAAGAAAGGGCAGATATCTGGAACCCGACGAGGCATCCGCCCAAGCGAGCCAGGATCGTGACACCGCAGTTGGTTCCCCGTCCATTGAGGCACCCCAGGCCCTTTTCGACGTACTCGCCGCCGAGACTTCACCGATCCCAGCACCACCACCACCACCAGTTCGGACACGCCTCCACGGCTGGTTTCTACAAAGGTGAATCATCGATCCTCGTCGGCGATCCACGATTCCAGATCCCAAACGTATTTGCCGACATCCCGCAAGTGACCTTCCCACTCAAAGAATCCCTACCTAGGCCGGCCATATCCCAGCTCGGACAGAAGCAGCCACAACCCCCCACGTACTCGTCCGTGTTCGGCATGCCAGCGGTCCGTATCGAAGAGGGTCCGGAGCCGGTGAGCATATTCCCGCACCCGTACGCCCTGGCCGCCACGTTCACGGAGGACCTTGAACACGAAGCCAACTTCCGACTTCAGCTCGCCAAAAAGAGTCCCGCGGGTTCCGTACTAGGATTCACGGAGCGGAACGGGGCGGGGATTATGAACGCGTACCGTGACCCGGAGCCGGCGATACCAGATTCGCCAGAGGAGTCCAGAAGACCTGTGGGCGGTTTCGGTTTCGGGGGGTGGCAGCGAGGCCTCCCAGACCCACAGGATTGGTCGCCAGACACCGAGAGCTTGTCAGATTTGCCGCCGAGCACGCCCGACACGGAGGACGCGGGGCCGCAGAGGAAGACGACGTACATGACGACGACGACGACGCCGGGGGCGGTGGCAATGTCCTCGCCGGCACTTGTCGAAGACGGGATGGATGGGTACCGGTGGGAGGTGCTGGATCAAAAACGATTGAATCCGTTGTATTTGCAGCAGCAGCGAGCGATGCAGCGGCGGGCGCATGAGCTGGTTGAGGAGCAGAAGCGGCGGCGGCAGCAGTGGCTGGAAAGTCTTGCAAGGCCCGTAATACCGGCCGGGATGGAGGCGACGGGGCTCAGACCAGTTGATAATGGACGGTTCTCGCGAGACGCGAGCACGAAGTTTGGCAGTTGGTGTGACGGGGATGGCCCGAGGTCTGCTAAAATTGGTCAAAAGAACATGAATCATAGGCGGCGCTTGTCGGGGAATATGGAGTGGGAGCCAACTAGGGTAGGTGACGGGCCATCTGACATCCAAATGGAATTTTCGTAACAGCGGACGTTGGGTTGAGTAATGGTTTGGCAGCGTTTCTATCTGGAAGATGGGGAGAGGTTCGACATGTTGACACTGGAAAGGATTTGCAGGAAATAGGAGTCATGGGTCCTTTTTTGGCGTTTTCGATTTGCCAAGTGCTGTCTGATGCAGTGGCTTATTTTGTTTAATGTCGTTGGACAAGTTGATGCTTTCAAGTTGATGGTCTCACTCCTACAAACTTCTTCAAACGACATGGATATACTGCTTTCAATATTGGCTAGTTCCAAGTGATTTGATGATCCATCTTTATGTCATCGTTATCGACCTGACAGAGTCCGTCATCCATTGAGCCCATATCGCACACAAGGTAAACCTGATCATCAATGCCACTGTCCGTCGCTGCTCATGGGTATATGGCAGATCACCGAACACATGGCACTGGACTTTTGGGAATGACTGACAACAATGTCAATGTCCAGTTGTCTAGCTGATTCAACTCTTCGCTATCGCGTATTTCAGGGGTGCTATTAGAATCCTCCAGCTCTCATAGCTCTCAGAGATTCAGTATGTAGAAGATTTTTCTTTCGTCATCAGCCGCAGGCCCATCCTTCATGAGCAGTGCAAGGCTGTGAGCCTTACATGACTTGCAGCATTAGACTTCGCGGCACTGTTCGGTTGTCTCCTACCCCCAATAGCAGCTACATTCAGAATTACTTGGAAGTTTGAGGTGAAGATTTGGCAGCACGACAGGTCGCTAAGTAAAATATTTCGATCGGATGATACCCGTAGATACATTGATTATATGAAAGACAAATCGGTGGCTCTTAACCGGCTACCTCCCACGTGCCGGATGAATGTGGCCTGGCATTTCCCAACTCGTCTTCATATAGGTGATTCCATGAACGACTGCCAGAACTACCCGAATAGATTTACATTGGAAGAAGAACCTATCAGTGACAAATACTATGAGAGATCGCATTCGTCTCTGATCTCCAGGTCGCGGCCCGAGATCCCCGTCCCCCATATTCCGGAGAATACTATGGGGGTAAGTCAGACAGTTGTCAACTGCTGCAAACATGGTGGCAACGTAGACACCAAATTTAGATTGACGATGATCCTGCCCAGACTAATAATTACAGGACTATTCTTCGTCATCATATTACTGCTCGCTCCATGTGCGTGAACCCAGTTGAAGCCGAAAAGTCGGCAACTTAGTCACCCTCGGTGAAAGGTTCCGGGAACCAACTACAGACGTTCAGCACTCGCAACTACAGTCCACGTTACAAGGACGTCATGGAACCTACGAAAATGCCTGATTCGCCAACGCATCTGCCTCCTTATTCTCCTCTCTCGGAATAGCCCAGAACATGAAATTCAAACCCCCATCATCGCCATATGTCATCTCATCCAACTGCTCATGCAAATCCCTCAGCACCGCAAAGTGAGCAACATTGCGGCCCCGTGCAGTCATCCCCTCATTCTCAATCCACTCCCCAATCCAAAGCGACATGGCATGCGCGAGATACTCCGAGTCCGTCGCAATCTTGATCTGCGACAGCGAAAAATCGCCCTCGGTAATCTCGCCAATGATCCGCAGCGCCTGCACCAGCGCCTCAATCTCGGCCCGCGCGTTCGTCTGCGGGAGGTCCCCCGCCAGCAGGCCGCACGCGTTGTACCGGGACCCGGGCCCAAAATAGACGCCCCACGACGCGCGGGCGGCCCCGGTCCCGTTGCCGCGGCAGGCGCCGTCAATGTAGACGACGAAGCTTCCGGGGTCGGGCGTGACGCCCTTTTTGCTCCACGAGTACATTTGGAGGCCGAGGACCTGCTTTTGGGGGTCGTAGACGACGAGTTCTGCTTTGGGGACCATTCTGTGCGTGTCGCTTGCGCGTGGTTCAAATAAGCGGCTTCCTATGCCGTCGTCATCATCGTATCCCAGCATCTTTTTGCGGTGGCGTTGGATGGTTTTGAGACAAGAAGTGTCGTGAGAGGATATGGTGCCTTCACTCAGAGGTGGTGGGTGGGTGTCTTGGTCGTAGGGGACGTCGCTATCAAGCAGACGGTTTAGAATCTCTTCTAGTAGCTTTATCAATTGGTCTGTTCTCCAAGACTTGCATGGATACTCTGGCGAACCTTTGAGGATAGCACGAGATATGATAGTGAGTTATGAGCCCTTGTTACTTCCTAGCTTCCTTGGTGGTGTTGAGATGGAGCCTGGACCACGATCTCAACGGACGTGGACGTTGCCCAAAAAGAGGGGAAAGGGACAGCCTATAAATTCCATTTGACGTCGGGCGGATTAAAGTGGCACCTCCCAACCTTTCCGTGTGTTCAAGATTGCATGATTGCGTTGATATCTATACATGTACCTATTAGAATTGGGCATGTAGGATTTAAGGTTTTCTAAATTCCAATACCCAATGTCAAAACCAGTTTACTAGCGGTAGGCACAGTGTGGTGACGGCTACCTCTAGTGAGGAATTCAATGGCTAAATCACGATCCTCGGACAAGTTCATCAAATTTGAGCTTGTGGCAGAATCTTTCTCCACTTCTCAAAACCAGGCATCTCATGCCTCACAACCTGAACTTCTCGTGCAGCTCATCTAGTTCAGCACCTGAGTTCTACACCTACCAACCCCAGACATCCGTCGCATTACTTTTCAAACGTAAAGTATCCTACTGACACTAGACAAACATAGTCACAATAGCCAGCAAAATGACAAGAAGCCCAGGCAACAGCATCGGCATCATCAACTCCTCAATCGCAAGCTCGGTGCTAGGCGAGATGAATTTAAACGGAAACCTCGGCGGAAACGCGCGCCGCCTTCTCTCCACAGTCTCCATCAGATGTCTCGGTATGTTGGTAATATCAATCGTCAAGCAGTGCGTAGTCTTGCTCCTGTCGTGGCGCACGTACAACGTCGCCAGGTCAGGATCATAGGACCATTCTCCGTCGCTGACCTTGATGTCGATATTGCGTTGTGCGTAGTGGTACTTTGGCACAAACACCTCCGTCGTTCGTGACGTGTCGGACCGACTCTTGCTGCTGCTGCTGCTGCTGCTGCCGCTGCCGCCGCCCTTGGGCTCATCCTCAGTCTCCGAAGTCCACTCGAATTCGTAGTGAAGGGTCCGAGGATCCCAGTCCGAGCGGACAGGGCGGCCTGCGATTTTGACGGCGTAAGGACGGATAATCACGTCGAGGACTCTCCCGCCGCGGTACAGCTCGTCGCCCTCGTGCGCTTCATTAACATAATCCGGAAGTATATGGCCCGGCTTGGCTTCAGTGTCGCCGTTAACGACAGAAAAGTCTTCCTTGTTCCATCCATCGCCGTACTCGACCCGGTTGTCGGGGTTGTAGTTCCACAGTGTGAAGGCGAGCTTGTTGTCCTCCATGGCGGAGACTAGGGCGTGCATCAGCTCCCGCAGCTTATCATACTGCCCCGTCTTGAACGCCTCGCCGCCGTTGATGTCGTAGGGTATGCCGACCTCGCCGATGAGAGCGGGCACGTGGGTCCCCAGCGACTTTTGCCCGTACTTGAGGATATTGGCAAGCTGGGTGCGATAGTTTTTTCGGAGTGCTTTGGCGCCAAAGTAGAGTGCCTTCAAGATGAACATGCCCCTGGAGAGACCTTGGACGTTGACGCTCATCCAGGAGTGATGCTTGCTGAACAGCACGTTGAGGTCGTAAAAGTGAGGTGCAAAGACGAGGTTTTCTGGCCTTGGGGTATCAATGATTGTCTTGGTCGCGTACGTCTGCCCCTGTGCGGATTCCCCCACCTTGCCATCCTGGCCAACCCATGGGGGCACGAACTCGTTCGGTATCGGTTCAAAGAAGCAAAACTGGCGGGCAGATTTTCGTGAGACGCGTTCCGAGAAGCGCTTGAGGAAGGGACCGTAAAAGTCTCGGTACCATTCCAGCGGCTTGCCTTCACGGCCCGGCCGATGGTCAACCTCAAAATAGCTTTGTTGTAGTACCTTTGGACCCTTTTTCGCTTCATCCCATTCCCAGACGCCATGAGCGCGCCATACACATTGCCCAAGGCCATAATTTTGTGGTTTCGATGCACTCGGCTCGGCCGTCAGCCACGCAGACCTTCTTTTGGGGTCGACGAGAGTCTTGTGCGAAACCCGAGTAGGGAAAGGCCAAGACTTGACGTAGTAGTTGACTTCTTGGGCGTAGCCACTTGCGAGTGCGAGTGCTTGAGTCAAGGAAGGGTAATATCCGATATGGAGGTCCGTATCGTAGTTCCACCCGTCAAACCCGTGAAGATTGACGAGACCTCGGTGAGGCTCATTCAACGGCTCGAATCCGACGCATGCTTCGAGACCACCGACTTCGTCTGCAAGCCGGCCAAAGGCTTCGACAAAGGCACTTTGAAGGAACTCCTGAGCTGACACACTCTCGTCTTTGCCATTTGTCGATCGCTGGCATTGCAGCTTCGGCGCCAGAGCGTCGCCTGCCCAGAACAATGTCGCCATTGTCGACGCCGCGATCTTCTGGTACCCCGAGGGCCAGACAAACGGACCGCTTGGCTCCTTTTCATTGACAGGCGCAGTGGCCCTCTTCAATTCATCCTGCCCATGCACATACGCGGCACCAGTCTCGGTAAAGGCCTCGACATCCAGCCCAGCAACCTCAAACGTCCAACCGGGGGCACCGCTACCGCCACTGAACCGGCTCCACACATCCTGATGAGCGCAGATGAAGCATTTGATGCCATACTTGGGCATGATCTCGATGAGCTTGCGCAGGTACTCAATATACTCCAAATCAACGTCCGTCTCAGGGTCCGGCCCGGAGTGTCCAATCGACTCCCACGTAACGAGCAAACGGATCAGCGGCAAGCCCCAAGCCTGCAGCCGTCGGAAATGCAGCGGCGCGTCTTCAAGGGGGAACGGCCGGCCGATGAAGGTCACGGTCCGGTGCTCAAAGAAGCCTTCGGTGAGGTGCGACAGGCCGTTGGGCTTCGTCGGCAGCTTGCTTGCCCCCGAGATGTTGAGGCCGTGCAGCGTGAGCGTGCGGCCGTAATTATCGACAAAGTAGCCATCCTTGAGGCCAATTGGGCCTCCCAGTGCCGCATCTGAGAGGTCTTGCGCCGCATGTTTCGCCGCCATGGTGAACGGCGGTGAAATGATCGTTTGGAATCGAGGTGTAAGGTGGGATTTTGCCTTGATTGGCGGGATTGCGCTCCGTACATTACGCGTACCTTGCTAGCAACTCCTCGTCGGGGCAGACTGTCTGCTTAGTCAGCCTTGGCTCCTCAGATGCCAAGTCAAGTTGACGCCTCAACAATAAAGACTTGGACAAGCCTGAGATCAAAATTGAAAAATTGTTCAGAGGAATTGATATTAAACTCTAGCGGTTAAAGTCAATTGAAATAAAGTTGAAAGACTTTTGACGCCGTCACTTTGGGAGAGAAACTCGTTGACCTAAAGTGCTGCATACCGGGAACCTCGGGCTCCGGCGGTGGATGCTGGGCCTCTGGCGAACCCTTCAACCCCTCATGGTCCTCCAGCCATTCAGCTACAGCCAAGACTCGTCCTCCAAGAAAGAGAAATCAACACACAATTGACTTTAGTTTCGTTTCTAGAAGGTACATTCTGTGACAGGTAATGATGAGCCGACGAGGACAAAGGCTCAACGGTAAGCCAAAGCGCAATTAATAAACCCTTTTAGCAGATGAACATGAGCTTGGCCACAATGAGCTTCAACACAACTGACAGTTTGATCCGGATTGGGTGCTTCTCCCGTAGCCACAAAATCGAGTATGACTGCTAGTGGTTTCACGTTTCAAGAGTGGAACTCGCAGTGTTCTTATTTCTTTTCATTATTCATAGAGTCGTCCATCTATGGCCGTCTATGGCTTTTTCTATAGTAGGCCCACATGGTATCATAAACTAGGAACACGTGTTTTTTCCTTTTTCACGTTTCTATGCACACAAAGCTTTAGAGCTTGCGCACGACCTTGTTGGAGGCCTCCTTCTCCTCCTTCTCGTCCCAAATGTTGATGTTCCAACGGGGCTTATAGGTGATGGGGATGTTGTAGCGGCGGGGCTCCTTGCCAATCTCGTTGATGGCGGCAACGTCCTCGTCCGAGATCTTGACCTCCTTGAAGTTGGACTGGATACGGCTCGGGGTGACGGACTTGGGGATGACTGAGTGGCCGCCGACCTGGGACCAGGCGAGGACGACCTGGGCCGGGGTGGCGTTGAGCTTCTCGGCAATCTTCTTGACGGTGTCGTTCTCGATCAGGAGGGGGAGACCGAAGCCGTTGTTGCCAAAGGCCTGTACGCATGTTAGTCACTATGATCATGGAAGGGGGGAAGCAAGGATGGGGGGAGGGATGCTGGAGGTGAGACATACAGAGTAGGCGGTAATGTGAATGTTCTTCTCCTTGGCGTACTTGATCAAGGTGTCGTTCTGCTGGAGGAGGGGGTGGCGCTCGATCTGGTTGACGGCGGGGGTGACGCCGGTGGCGTCGATGACGGTCTGGAGGTCCTCGACGGTGAAGTTGGAGACACCAATGTTCTTGGCCTTGGACTTGGGGAGGTTGATCAGGGCCTTCCAGGTGTCGACCAGGGAGACGCCCTGGTCGAGGTCGACCTCACCCTCGGTGGCGAGGGGGAAGAGCTTGTCGCCATCCTTCTTGAATGCAACGGGCCAGTGGATGAGGTAGAGCTAGATGGCAAGTTAGCCGGTTGTTTATTTCTCTGTGGACCTGCGGGGAAACAAACGTCAAGGTAGTCGAGCTCGAGCTCCTTGAGGGTCTCGTCAAGGGCGGCCTCGACGTTCTCGGGGCGGTGGTTATTGTTCCACAGCTTGGAGGTGATCCAAATGTCCTCGCGCTTGAGGCCGGGGATCTCGGCGAGGGCCTTCTTGATGCCCTGGGCGACCTCGGGCTGGTTCTGGTAGATCTTGGCGAGATCGAGGTGGCGGTAGCCGGCCTTGAGGGCCTCGTAGACGCCGACGGAGACTTCGCCGGGGGCGGACTGCCAGGTGCCGTATCCCAGAGTGCTAGAAAGAGGGATTCGAGAGTCAGCTTGTTCTGTGTTCTGTCTCAAGGAGGAGGGGGAAAAGCAGAGAGTAGGTGCGAGAGCGGGGTATCGTGATCGGCAGGGGATGGAGGGGTAATGCAGACGTACGGGATCTCGGCGCCGGTGTTGAGCTTGGCCTTGGTTCCGAAAGACATTTTGCTGAGTTTGTATGAGGATTGGGTGTAGAAGAAAAGGTTGAAGAGACTGCGGAGGAAGATTGTAAAAGTGTCGTGAGAAACACCAGCAGGAAAGACGACGGAGGGGAGAGCTTCCAGTTGGCCTCTTTTTAAGCAAGTGAGGGGTTCTAGTACCCAATTGCATCATTGTTTGTCAGGATGAGCTGCGCACCCTGATGGAATGGGGGTGCTTCTCCGGGACGCCCACAGTCGGACCCGCTTAACAGCTGCCCATCCAGCTCCAGGAGCAACGAGCAATGAGCAATGCGCAGTGGAGGAGCCGCGGTTTGCCCCAGGACACACAGCTGCGACGCTGCCACCTTCACCAAACTGTTAAGATTGCCCGTGGCGGGGTCGGCTGTGGACCGTGGGCAATGGTGAGACTTGGGGACCCCACGCTATCTCTCGGGTGCGGGTGCCGAAGTCGGCCTGGCGGAGGGGGTGCCCGCCGTACGGACTACGGATAGGCTCGCTTGCACTGAGACGTGAGTCCGTCTGGGCCCGGCACCGGGCGGGCATTACAAGCTGCGCCCGGGACAGTTTTCAAGGTATCTGGGTGATTGATTTCTTGAGGTGACATGAGCGGTGCTTGACGACTCGTGATGCACCTGGCCTACTGGGCCTTGGACGTGCGATCCAATTCAGCGAGATGAGATTAGAGCTGCCATGATGGGTTCTAATCACGTCTTACCCTTTACGCATGTCGTCTTGATTATGTCAAGCGTCGACAAAATGTCGTGCAGTTGGGGGATGGCCAGCGGCGATGACGATCGCTGTAGCTCATAGAAATGCCGCAATTGCCACTAGACTTTGTCTTCGGTGCATCTTTACACCAGGCCCCGAAGGATGCGGTCCACCCAGACGTTGTGTGTGTTCCACACAACCCTATTCAGATGCGATCAAATGAGATCTCACGTTTTGGGGTAAGAACACTACTACGTACACGTGTAGAAAACTGAGATTGTGCAGTGCAACCCACCGCGCGACTAAAGAACAATGTCCGGTAACCAACCGAATGGCTCACCTGCCTTGTGATACGCTCATCACCTGCGCAAAATGCCATCTATGTACTCGTTACCAAACCGCCACACCTTCAGATACCCCTTCATGTGCTCAAGGAATGAGAGCAATAAGAGGGCAAATGGGCGGAGATTGTGGCAAGGAAGGTGAGCATAAGTAGCAGCCCCCATGATGGGCAGTCTGTCCAGGATGCTCTTCAACAAAGGCGCTGTGAGTTGGACATTCTGAAATGACTTGCCGAATCATTGTCGAGAGAATGTGAGTCGAGGGGACGGGGTGCTACCTAAGATGTTTAAGAGTAAAGGTGTTCAAATTGCACGCAATGCAGAACATCTCTCGAGGGTAGACATCATACGGGGAAAAGTGTCTTTATGAGAGTGAGCGATAGAGATCGCTGCCTTGAGTCTAGCGTGTCTAGCAGTGCCTTTATGAATTCTTCCCCCACGTCACACCAACCACATCCGTTTAAGCTATCGACTATTATAGAGTGCATCGAAAATAGAATCCCACACAAGAAGCCAAGTTTCCCGACCGGGTAAGATGTCCAGAGACACCGTTCCTGCATCATCACCCGTCCCTCACCCAATCATCCTCCCGGTGAGACATCTCACTGCTCGCTTACCCTCGCGAGGCGTCTACCGCAGCGCCGCCCGACGGGATCATCAGGGGAGAAGGCCTGGTAGGATGCAGCCCGGCATGATCCACTGTGGGGAACCACAAAATTAGAGTTCCCAGAGGAGCTTTGCTGCCGACTGGCGCCTCTAGACTCAAGAGCTCTTCAATCTGCCTCATTTCACTCATGATTATGAACAGTCGAGCTTGCCATTTCACATCGGTATCCCGGTCGACAATGAGACGACCAATGGGCAAGTGGCTCAAAGAAGAGGCAATGCAATTCTCGCGATTCATCACTATGAGATCTGCGCCCCGGACGCTGGCCGCTCATACTGCCGAAAACAACAATGATGAATAGGGATACGCTCCAAGAGCAGACATCCCATGTCGCCAATCAGCCCTCGGTCGTCCCATCAAACGTTCTATTCCAGTGCGAACTCTCGACAGGGATGAGGTAATGAATCTTTGTCCAAACTCCAAACTCAACCGCCCATTTCACTGGGTCGCTCTCATCCCCACGGGCAGGAATGCGGCACGTGTATTTTGACTTTCAGCTCGACGTCTCAACCGTCTCGAAACGTTGCTCCCCGCGCCACAAGCCAACAATGACTTGGCTTGGTCTTGTCCCAGGCTCGGTAAAATCAGATCCCCTTGTGAACACTTAACCTTGTCGTTCTGAGGCTTGCATCCTCTGAACCCTTACCTCACCCTCATCCTGTGAGTGTTGCTGGAATCTCACCAAGGAAGCTTAGAACGGCAACAGCGGATACACAACATCGGACGACTGCCCTTTTCACAGATCCTCGCCTGGTCGTGTCTTGAACACGTACTTTTTGAGTTCTTGCACGCATTTGATAGAGCGGCACTCTCATTTCATCGTCATCTCCAAAACCGTTTCATGACTCGAACCTGGTGGTGTCCACGGTGTCTCTCCCTTGGCTGACCTCACCCATCGCGACGGCTCGTCGCATCTGGCACCACCGCATCGCCTCTCATTCACGTGTTCCGCTACATACACACACACACACACACACACACACACACTCACACACACACAGAGAGAGAGAGAGAGAGAGGAGAGACAGAGCTGCCAATCATGAGGACTTTATTATACCGCTGGACGCGAGTGCGCTCCCTCTTCCTCAGCCTCATCACAATAGCATGCGTCGTCTATATCTTAGACACAACATGGCTTCACCCGCGCACGGAAACAGCCATGCTAGAGCGCTTCATGAACAGAGAAAACGTCGCCCCGCCCCCGGCGACGCCGAACTCAAGCTTCGACTGGTCCGCCGTCGACCTCCAGTATCCGCCCCAAAGGCCGCTAACGCCCGTCCCGGCCCCCCGGCGCGTCTTCTCCTACCTCCCCCGCGTGCAACACCGCTTCCCCTCCGAGTCCATCTCCGCCTCCCGGATCCGGGAGGCCCGCCGGCGGGAAGTCCGCCGCCTCTTCCAGAAGGACTGGGCAAGCTACAAAGAGTACGCCTGGATGAAGGACGCTCTCAGTCCAATCTCCGCCACCGCAAAGGACCAGTTCTCCGGCTGGGCCGCCACTCTCGTCGACTCCCTCGACGTCTTGTGGATCATGGGCCTCAAGCTCGAGTTCGAAGAGGCCGTCGCCGCCGTCGCGACCATTGACTTTAGCACCTCGACGTCGTCCCACGTCAACATCTTTGAGTCGAACATTCGCTACCTCGGCGGTCTCCTGGCCGCCTACGACCTCAGCGGGCGCCGCGTCCTCCTCGACAAGGCTGTCGAGCTCGGCAACCTCCTCTTCGGCGCCTTCAACACGGAACACCGCATGCCCGTAGATTCCATCAACCTCAACGACGCCAAGACGGGCAAAGGTTCCAAAGGCCAGGGCTCCGTCGCCTCCGCGTTCGCCGGCACCTTTTCCCTCGAAATGACGCGCCTCTCCCAGCTGACCGGTGACCCAAAATACTACGACGCCGTCGCCAACGTGATGGACCTCTTCCACGACGGCCAGCAAAAGACAAAATTGCCCGGCCTGTGGCCCATGTACGTCCACTTGAGCGACCGCGACGTCGTCTCGGGCTCCACCTTCACCATCGGAGGCAACGCCGACTCGCTCTACGAGTACCTCCCCAAAATGATGGCCCTCCTCGACGGCGCCGAGCCAAAGTACCGCCTCATGACGGAACGCTTTCTCCAAGCCGCCAACGAATCCCTCTTCTTCCGCCCCATGCTGCCCGGCGGCGAAGACGTCCTCATCTCGGGCAACGTCCACGTCGACGCGAGCGGAGACCCCGTCCTCGACCCGGAGAGCGAGCACCTGGCCTGCTTCATCGGCGGCGTCTACGCGCTCGCCGGCCGCGTCCTGGGCAAAGAGGAGTGGGTCGCCGTCGGCGCCCGGCTGACGCTGGGGTGCTACTACGCTTACCGGGCCATGCCGACCGGCATAATGCCAGAGCGCTTCAACATGGTCAATTGCGACCGCCGGGACGCGTGCGGGTGGGATGAGGACAAGTGGGAAGCGGGCAAGAGGTCGAGGCCAGAGTATAAGGAGCACCTGCCAAAGGGCTTCACGACGGCCAAGGACCCGCGCTACATTCTCCGGCCCGAGGCAATTGAAAGCGTATTTGTGCTGTACCGCATCACGGGCGATCAAGGGTTCCAGGACGCGGCGTGGGAGATGTGGAAGGCCGTGAGCAACGGCACGCTCGTCGAGCACGGAAACGCTGCGGTGGCGGATGTTACGCGGAAGCAGGATCCGCTGCCCAAGGAGGACTACATGGAGGTGAGTCTTCTTCCGTTTTCCTCGTTTTTTTCTTCTTTTCTTTTTTTGCTGCTTCATTTTCTCTTCCTGTGTCAGCGTGCCTCTGACATGGGTGGCTCTCTATTCTGAGCCCGGACATTGCAAAGGGGTGAGAAAAGGAGCGGAATATTAACATTCACTGACGCTGCATGACACCTTTTTTAGAGTTTCTGGCTGGCGGAGACGCTGAAGTACTTCTACCTCGTCTTCTCACCGCCTGATCTCATCAGCCTCGACGACTATGTGCTAAACACTGAAGCGCATCCCTTCCGGCGACACCGTTGAGGCCCGCGAGGAAAGGGGGCCTTATTCTTTCGGTCGGAATTCGTTGCACAAATGATTGAGTTTAGATGAAAGGAGGTCGCGATCAGGTCCGTGGTAAACGGCGCTATTTTATCCTACCGGGAAGTCTGGTACATGAGGTTCTAAAACGGGACGAGATTGGCTTACATAACACCGCTACTGATGTACAGAATATGGGCGAATAGATTCGACGAGCAATGGAGTTTGAGTTCTGTCAATTAGCATTCATCTTGAGAGATGTTCATGAGCGAATAAGCCATCAGTGAGTCTGTTGTCTGTACGGTGTCGCAAGTGGCCTGCTACCGGGCCGTGGTAAAGGGTAGGCCATCGGCGATGATGACTGATCACCAAGAAAAAGTTATTGAACCGTCGCCTAACCAACTTGTTTCATCATCTGCATTGGCTCATAGTCCTTGACTATTGTCATGAAAGGACAACTCGAAAGCAGCGGCCTTCTTGGAACCCCTGGGCTGTATGTCATGTCTAAGCAGGCGCCGCGAACCGTGACGACCCAACTCATCACGGGAACATATTGCCACTCTTGGCAGATGTGCCCACCATTATCAGGGGTGTTTGTCCAGAACTAGATGCTCAGGCGAAAATAGGAAGGGCTGCCAGGCACGTCCCATGGGTCGATAAACCCAAGCTTGGCGGGCTACGACGAGGACTGATCGTGGGAAGGATGAGCACTCTGGGTGAGACGTGTGGGCTTGGATCAAGCGGCGGCGTGCGGGTGTGTCCTCTGTTTCATGATGGACGTCATTGAGATAGTCTTGAAAATTCGGCTTCCGGGTGATCTCAAGAAGCTTGTTTATGGTCGAGTTATAGGCGGTCGAAACGGAGTTCCGTCGTTACGCATAGCTTTGACCACTTCCGCCAGCCCGGCTCACTCGCAAGAATGTACATGTATAGGAAAGCGACCCAAATCAAGCAAGATCAAGCTAGTTTCACTTTCGACCCGAGGAGATCCGCCATGACTGATCATCAAATGAACACCTCCTTTCCAAGGGGGAAATTGTACTGGCGAAACAGAGAAGAGAAGGAGAGGAAAAGCCTACAAGCTTCAATCCTGACAGCTGATACGCCCGTACGCCTAATCCCGTCCATAATTCCATGTCTCACTATCGCTTGTGCATGTCAATCTGTCAAACCCAAGCAGGCGGAGTAGTCTACATACGCTACAGAGTATCCGTAAAGAATGTCAAAGCCACGCCTAGCTTAACTTATTCTAGAACCCAAAAGTTGCGTCTACTTAGCCATCAGCGGGGCCTGTACGTCGGTATTCTACATAGCAATCCATAAATGATATGCGACTTCCTAGCTGCAAGATTGGGCTAATGAGAGTCTCGTTGCCCAATCAATACCCACCCACTTCCTATTCCTCGCCATTACTGAACCTGGGCGAGGCGCATGAGTCATGGCCAATGGCCGTACCTACCACAGTAAAGCAAGGCCCAGTGAGAGAACAACGCTAAGCCCCCTAATTCCCTATTTTCGTTGCCTCTCTGACCTCTTCTGACCTCTTCTGACCTATCCATTCTCGCTCTCTCTCTCTCTATGGGAGAGAGTTGGATTGGCTTGCGTGAATATTTTAAACCCCCAGTCGCAACAAGATGCCGAGACTCAAAGAGTCTACAAGAAAAAAAGACGCACGCGACACAGCCTCCTCCGATTGACCAGAAAATCCCCAAAGCAGGAAATTTCCCCGTCAAATTGTCCGGCGAATTACCCGCGTCGCCCACGAGGCAGACGCAACCCATTTGTCCCAAAGCCTAGCTCAACCCTGCCGAAAAAAAAACCTAGTTTTGGCATCTACCAACACCTAGCATCGGATGGCCGCCAAGAGTCGATTGGAAACCCACCTATCTCGTCGCCAAGAGCACTGATCAAGCTCCGATATCCGTACTCGACGGGCCTTTTAATAGCCCCAAACACTACCTACCTACCTACCTTACGCAGGCGCCAAGACCCAGGCCGGTGCAACAACGGCAAAACCTCTCCGTCTCGGATTTGGCCGCACGCCAGCTAAAGCAAAGGATGGAGCTCGAGGCGCGCACCTGGGCCACCCAGCTGTTGCACGGTAGGTAGGACCTCTGTGATTTTTGCTGCCTTTGAGGCACATCACCTACCACTGACCAAGCAGTAAGGACAGCTCCGCTTAAAAAAGAACTTAAAATAGCATCCTTTTTATAACCATATCGAGCAGATCTCGAGCATTTCTTTCAGAGTTTTGCAGTCTTGGTATAGGCAGCTTACCAAATCGCGAGAGATCACGCTGTCAACTGACTACCTCCGCCCCCGTTCATCTATGCCCACAGCCTTGGCACAATAATTTCAAAGTTTATCACGTCCATCGTATGAATTGACTCGAGAATTGACATGAGTGAAATCCGTGTATAAGAAGAAGATGTAGTCATCTCGCCTTTCCACACTTTTGCTGTCATTTGATCTCATCATCACTATCATCATCCCGTCTCCTCCACACAACCCACGCACACACATTCACCTCCAAACAACCATCACCAACTCCTCCAACCCAAACCGGAACCCCCCACAACCACCAACATGCGCGCCGTCTTCGCCATCGTCTCCCTCCTCGCCGCCACCGCCCTCGCCGTCCGCTTCAACGGTCCCTGCACCGACACCAACTGCGGCAAAACCAGCGTCAACTGCGAGGCCGAGGGCCGCATCTGCGTCGGCTTCTCCAGCGTCGACCCCAAGGAGCGCATCGGATGCACCTGCAGCATCGTATGAGGCCCACCAGACATGTTGCCAACACCACATTCAAAAGACATGTTTTCAGATATTTTTTCCCACGTAACGGTATGTGGACTCTGGGCAGAATCTCTCTTTCATGAGGGGACAGACTTGACGAGGACCCAACATGGCTGACTCGGCACCTATTTCAGACCAACATTCTTATGGTTTTCCATCTTTGGAAGGCTTAGAGTTTTACAGTTTACATTTTCATACTGGATTTATAGTCTAATTGCCAATACACGAGAGAGAACAGGGACAAAAACATGGCGGGAAATGATCATGACATGGTACCCAAGTACAGTCTTACAAAAGGAGGAGAAAATCCGGCCTCCATCAAGATATCCAACAACCTGAAGAAAACAGCATACAAGAAACACACGGCCACCTTTCCTTTCCACAGTGCACTTCCCTATCCCAAGTTCATCATCATCATCATCTGCCGTTACGTTTCCCCGTCTCCCAAATTCAAGCGGCTTCCAGAGGCATAAAGCCGCCAAGACTCCAGACACGATTCGAGGCGCTCGTCTTCCACAGCCAAGACCGGAACCAACCCCTCCCTCCACTCACCCCTCTCTTTCTTCCCTTGTCTCAAACTCGATCAGTTATAAGTTGCAAGAGAAACAATTTGGCCGGTTTTTGAATCCCCCCCTTTTTTAACAAGAAAATCCTCCGACGGCCTCCTCGGGCCCACCGAACAGCACACTCCCTAAGCCTTCCCCGAGGCCAGAGAGACTCGAGCGAAAAAAGCCCACTTTGATGAAGACTCTGGGCATTTTAAAACATAACCCAGAGGTCTTGACACAGGGTGTTCACCATACATCGAGTCGCCGACACTGCCATTGCTAAGAAAATAAGAGTTATTGCCAAGTACCCACCCCTTCTCACGAAAGCCTCGCAGGAGGGTTACATTCGTGACCGCTTTCTTAGTCGCATCTATGGGATAAGTATCGCAATCGGATCTGTTGTTTTAGTTGACGTCGTCTACACTTTACGCCTACTCCTCTTCTTCATGTTTACAGTCTGGGCGTGAGAGTCACCTACCATGATGGTACCACTTGACAGTCAGAGGCCTGCTTCTGTCCAATTATTTCGCCCACTTCATCGTCATCTCAAAAAACCTCAGATTCTAACACGTCAATTGACCCAATACTTTCAGAGACCCCATCCAGATGTTTAAACATTGAACGGACTAGAATACTAGTAACTACAATACACATTGAGAAAACGGGCCATCATCTCAAACCTGAGACTCCCCATGGTTCCCGTTTTTCCCATTTCTTGACAAAATCTCGCGTGTGGTATCATCCCGCTCCTAAAAAGATTGTCCCTGACAATCGAAAACTCCAAAAAAGCCACAGGCTACTGTACAGAACAAGAGAACTAGGTTGTAGTACAAGAACATGAAAGACGGATGGAAGAGACGGCCTACTCTCTCAACTCACATCTTCCCCCACCCCCTAACAAACCCCCTCTGCGCCCGATTCACCCTCGCCAATATTCCAAGCCCGACGTCCTCGCCACCTCCCCACCCACCCCCGCGCTTGACGTTGATGCCGTACGCCATATCCTCCTCCGCCCTCACTCCGTTCACATCCTCCGCGCCCCTCCGCTTCCTCACGCGCTCACACCCAATCTTGAACCCCATCGAATGGCTCCCGTCCAAAAAGCTCCGCTTCATCTCCTCCGTCCCCTGCCACTCCGCCCCGCGGCCCAAGAACCCAAACATATTCCCATCAGCTAGCAGCGCCGCCACGGAGGCAATGCTACACGGGTTCCGCGGCAGTATCGTATCTGTCCCGGGGGTCAGGAGCCACGCCACGAGCGTCAGCGCGACGAGCAGACTGAGCACGGACTGGATGATGCGCGTGGACGCATTATCCTGCACGAGGCGTCGCAGTGAGGTGACGGACGTAGACTCGAGCATGGCCGGGATGATCTGCTGCGACGTCACGTCCGGGAGGCTACGGCGGGAGTTGACGTTGAGGTTCTGCGCGCGTAGGATGCCGTGCTGCCGGACGATGGCGTCTGCCACGAGGCCGCTCTTGCCAAGGCCCGGGTCGCCCAGGTTGCCGGCGGGGACCGCGAACCGGGACGTGACGAGAGAGCTGAAGAAAGGGTCGAGCTGGTTTCCCGTGGTGAGGTTGGCCAGGAGTCCGTACTGCAAGGGGAGAAGCCTTAGCTTGATCGGCTTGGCGGTGTTTTCCAGGACGGCGGGGGGGTAAGTCGTATCCACGTGCAGCGAGGCGCCCGTGAGGCGGATCTTGGCTGTGACGGTCTCCAGCGTCTCGTTGCAACCCATGGCCGAGATGTAGCCCACCTGCATAGGGGTAGTGTCCGAGATCTGGCCCCAGACGTAAGTAAAGTCGGAGCACTGCGACGAAGCTGCGGACCGCGGGGTGGCGACGCCAAAGACGGAGGAGGGAGAGATGCCTGGCGGTAAGACAGCGTTGGACCGGATCGACGGGTCGAGGCACGGCTCGCCGGCGATGTTTACCTTCATGTCCTGCGAGAACTGATTCGGTATGTCGGGGATGGTGAAGTTTGTGTTGATCTCGGATTGCGGGTAGAGTCTGCAGTCGAGCCGCGAGCGAAGGGCGGGGACGTTGGCTATAATCGTGCCTGCGCCGTCCTTCATGTCGAGAGGCTGCGACAGCTGTAGGCTGTTGAAGTTCAGGTCCTCAAACGTGAATGATGGGAATGTCAAGTTCGCGTCGAGAATCAAAGAGGCCAGGAGGGTGTCGGTAGTGCAGGTCGGACAAGGGGAGGAAGCGTTGACGAAGCTGTCAAGGGTCTGAAGGGTGACTGGCCGCGTAGATGGGATCGGTGTGGTGCTATACAAGGCGCCTGAAAAGGTCGCCAGGAGCGAGGCGACGAGTAGCGCGGTGGTGGTGAATGCAACCGCAATGTTGCGCGTCTTGACGGCATCGTACAGGATTCGATGCTTCGACTTGTCCATGAAATCAAGGTCAACCGTCGTCTCAAAGGAGCCCCCTTCTTTGAGCTTCGCGTACGGCGCCAGACATCGTGTCGCGCAGTCCGCTGCCGCAAGATAGAGCACCACAAGACCAAAAATTACCCCTGTCCCGGTCGTCCATAGAAAGTGCCGGTCGGTATTGGCCTTGGTCGTCGCGATACCGGCATGTGAATTCGAAAAGCGAAGGATGACCTCGAGTGCAACAATCATGCCAATCATGGTCACCACGGCGGCAAGCCTCGCCCAGGGGTGCAGCGGCAGCGGGTGCCTCCAATCTGCATTTCGCACAAACTTGGGCGGCTGGTTCTGCGGGGGCGGAGCGCCGCCAAAGATTTTGAAGTAGCCCCTCGCAGCCTTTTCGGCCTTTTCGTAAGGCTCGACGCCGGTGTAGTAGTTCGTGCCGAGCAGCTTCTCTCGCACTGTCGACGTGTCGGCAGCACCCGTGCCGCGCAGACACTGAAGAAGCTGGCGGCTGTGTGCGAGTAGAGTGGCCATGTTGATAATTGTATTCGGGTCGCGCGGCAGGAAGCCCTTAGCCGGCGCGAGGGCGACCGCCACGAGTACGAGCACGAGGACGAAGCCCAAAAGTCCAGACAGGAGATGCGCCGGTATCTGGCGGACGTTGAGCCGTTCGCCAATGATGACGGCCGTGCCGGTGGATTTCTCTTGCGTCTCCCCCATCATTGAACTGCGCGCTACCAGAGCCGTGTACTGCTTCCAGTATGCCGTTGAGATCTTCGTGAGATTATCCGTCTTCAAGAACGTCTCAATCGGAGGCACACCATTGTCCTTGATCTGCATAGCGACAGCCGAGTTCATGACGGCGTCGGAAGCGACAATGGCAACGCCGGGGTATCGACTGTTGATGTTCGGTATCGCGGCGAGGATCTGCGAGTCAGTGGGATAGGAGTTGAAGTGCCCTTGCACAACATCCCACGGGTGGACCTTGTCGAGAGTCTTGTTGGCTGCCGACCGATTGCGTTCAATCTTGATGAGCTGCGTGTTGTTCTTGGTGACTTGGACCCTTGTGAGGACGTACGACGGACGACAGATGAGAGCTGCAGACCTCGATACAGCGCCTGAGATGGGCACATTGAAGACGTCGCTCCCCGTCGGAACGCTCGACTCATTAATCTGAATGGCTCCTGTCATCACGACGACCCTTCCGTCGTTGGGAAATGGTGAGTTCCCGCACATCCCAGCCTGGAAAGCCATGAAGAAGGTGGGAAGCGTGAAGCCAACCAGCGCCATATTGGGAATGGTCTGCCTCAACGAGCAATTAGGCGTCGAGACGGTGGCGTTGAGCTGAACATCCGAAGCTTGGATGAACTGAACCCCGGTGAGGGTAAACTGTGCCGGCTCGCACTCGATTTCGGATTCGAAGCCATCGACATTGGTACTCAGCTCCGCAGTCGCGGGCAGGTCCGCAGAAAAGGACTGAAAGGCAAACTCTTTCGACGTGCCATCTGGAAAATTGAGGCCTTTCGTCTGCAAGGCAGTCATAGTGAAGAAGGGCAAGGCGCCGGCATTTTGTAGCCCGGTGGGATCGTTCACAAACGTGTTGTGCAGGTTCAAGCTCACACCCCGAGCAGTCACAATCTGAAAAGTCGGGCTGACGAGGGCTACCGCAATAACAATCATGATCTTGAGCGTCAAGCCGACAGACGCCGTTGCCGCAACAAGCCAGTCCCGGTTCTTGGTCGCTTTCGCAATGGTCCACGGCTCAAACATGAAGACGTAATCGAGCATCAAGGTCCGGTCTACACTCGCAGGCCCCTTTGCCATCCGGAGCCACGGCGCGCTAGCTTTTGCTTGGTGTTCGGGCCTCGCCCAGAGTGCGGCGATGCAGGTGAAGATGAAGGCCGATCCGTACTGCCACAGATATCTAAATCCATGGTCTGGCGAACCAAGCCCTCCTCTTTTATTCGACAGGTCCAACACGGCTTCTACGGTGACTATTAATCCGGCGAAGAGGACCGCAAAGGAGCTGAGAACCCTTCTCTGGAGATAAAACGGCCGATATGGAAGAGCGACGTCGACTAACCCATCTTGTTTTCGCAGATCATCGGAATCGGCCGTCGTTGGCGGTGTCGGCGCTAGCGGTCGTGGTTGTACTCTCTGTATTCTTTGGGCCGGTGGTATCTGTTGCGCGGGCGGCGGCGGTCTCACCCCGGGCACCGCTAGTCTCTGAGAATTTGTTGGAGGGAACGTTGCCTGACGAGGCGTTAACGAGTATCGTGGACTGGCCCTCGGCGGTTTTCCTGGGCTGCTAATGGTGATTTCGGGCACCGGCAGCGCTCTCGGTGGTTCCACATCGCTGTTGCTACTTGACGAGGACAGCGCTAATATTGAAGGACGCGGCGTGCTAAAGGAACGGGAGTGACTGGTATACGGCCGGGCGATAATGTCCCCTTGCGGTGGCGGCAGCGTAGTTGATTCTGCTACGTAACGATGATAGGAGTCCATGTCACTCGTGGTTTGCTTTCCTACTCTGCGGGGCACGTTTGCCCTGGCCCTCGCCTCAGATGCCATCGATCAGAGGGGAGGAAGGCAGGCAGGATTCTCTTCTCGAGCGACGGACAAGTCCGGTCGAAAGAGGGAAAGGGGGAGTTCGGTCTATCGTCGACTGATGTTCATCGTCCCCCGAGTGTAGTTGTGGTGTTTTACGTCCCAGGCGACTCTGCTGTTTTGTTTATCGAAGGGCTGCCCCCTTAGCGGGAGGAAACGAAGATCGATGGTCGGGGTGTTTGTCGATCCTCTAAATTAGGATTGGGATTAAGAGCGCGCTTGTTGTAAGTAGATTGAGGCGAAGAACGGAAGAAAAGAGCGGAGAAGCGGGCAGGAAGACGGTGGTAGCCAGCCCAACCAACCAGTTAGCCCAGAACGAGGGTGGTGGCCACGACCTAGCTCGTCTGACGAACAGGAACCTGGGATGAGCAGCAAGGAAAGTGTGCTCGGCGCCGTGTTACTCTATACACACAATGTTGCATGAATGATGTTTGGGACTCCGGATGGGATTTTCTCTCAGTCGGCCTCTCATTGACTGGTACCAGCCCAGGGTGAGGCAAGTCGGTAACAGTCAGGTAAGAATATTATGAGCAAGGGGGAGGGGAAAGGGGACCCAATCTAAGGGCTCGGAAGAAGAAAGGAAGGGAACAGCCTTGCTCCCACCCCGCGTACGATCACAGGTCGTCGCATGATATAAGAGAAGTAATCAGGAACGCTTCTCAGAAACCAGAGGGAGGGGCAACGGCCGGAGGGGAAGACGCCGCTCGGTTGGTATGCCAGCCTGCCAGCCTGCCATCATAAGATCGTGCCGAGCTGTCTTGTGTCTGCCGTCTTCTGTCACCTCGGCGTTCCAAGTTCTCTCTGATGGTGCTTCTCATCCCAATACGAGGGGGGAGGACATTGTTCCTGACCGCTTGGCAACAACGACGGCCCAAGAAACTTCAAGCACGGCCTAGGGAGATAGACGTGCAGAGGCAGCGGGCCAGTTTCAGAAGCAGGTCGGTCGGCCGCCTGTGGGGGAGGTGAGGCTTGCTCAACGGGCGAGGTTGAGGACGTTGAAGACGATTGGGCGGACAGCATGAGAGGTAGTCTGGAGAGCACTGGAGGCCATCGGGAGGTTAATCTTATTGGTCCCGACTGGGCACGGTGAAACTGCCGCGTGTGGCGGCTGTGTGACAGAGTGTCACAGACCCCGGTTTCGATGGGTGCTTGTCTCGTCCCCTCAACTCCTGTCCAGTCTGGAAACGCCCACTTAGACTCTTTCTCAACTTCTTCCCACACTGCATTGCCTAGAGTCCGCTGCCGTGTGACGGACAGACCCGGCCATGTTGCGGGTCGTCTCCTCCCCTCCAACCCAAAAAAAGAATAACGCGGAGGGATCTGCAGCTAGCAGGGAGACGCAGACGAGCGTAAAGAGACCACTGGGTCGGTCACTGGGTCTGGGGGGTTTGTCCACAGTTTCTTTCCATAGTTGTCCAATTGGAAACGCAAGGGTGCCCAATTCGTCAACGAGGTTCAGCATCGAAAGGGGGTCGCTAGCGTTCGGGAGGTTTGACTGCGAGGAATCATTGTTCGCGCTCACAAAGTGTCTTGAGGTGTCCCGAAAAGAAAAGGTGAAACGGGAACATCTCTTCAAGAGGAGAAGAGGTCGGATCGGGATGGCGGTACGTACCAGTTTATCCGCAGCGCCGTCCTCTCACCTCAAGGACCACCTCAAGGTAAAAACGTGCCTTACCTAACAGGGCGGGACGGTCTGTGCAAGCTCCCTACTGCAAGCTGCAATCGGAGCTGCAACCAAAGCTTCACTGCCTTAAGGTGCTCCATAAGGTAAGGTAGCTGCACATCATTCTGCAGAAGACGCACCTCGAAATGGTCCTAGTCGTATTCGTATCGTCAATCAAGTTCAATCATCCGAACGCCTGGTGACGAGAATAAATAGGTCAATCGTCTACAAGCATCCATGAATGAATGAAAGCCAATTGTTACATGACGGAAACGCCCTTGAGCGTTGCGCTGCTCATCAGGTTGAGGATGCCTCAATTCCCATCATTTATTCTTCACTTGCTACCTCGGTTGCTTGAGCTCTGAGTTTTTCGGTATCGATTCGCAGCTCCCACAACACACGCATAGACTCTTACGATTAAGCTTCCCTCGGGGTTTGAACAATGTTGCAAAGAGCGACTGGGCAAAACAGAAATTGTACTCAAGAGAGTTGTCCTACCCAGGCGTTCAGTTAGATTCGATGGTCAGCCAAACCTACTACCTGGCTAGACTATCATTGCGATCAGCTTCCTGGTTCATCCACATCACCCAAGTATGTGAAGTTCGCGATATTCGCTGCCATACCTCGACTGGGTTTCGAACCCCGAATTGTCTGCCCAAGGAAGTCACTCCTCAATTGATGTCTCGCACCCAAAACATTGATCACTCTTAGGAGTTTGCTCGTCCGCCGCCCTGATCCAAACCTTTTCTCCCACAAGGCTGAATGACCGCCCTGCCGGTCGAACCGCTCGCCACCTCACCCTACAGTACCTACCACGCGGGGTGACACGTGCATACCGAACCCGACAGCCATCGCCACTCGATGGTTCGGTCGGGCAGGGACAACTTTGATAATCGGGCCATTTTCAAAAGGCTTTGACCCCGACTGATTTGCTGAGAACAGCACGACGTCACATTACACATTCGTCGTCACATTTTCACTACTCCGATCGTTGCGCCTCGGCCACTGTGCCCATCTTCGTCAGAAAGGATAGGCAGCACAACACCTAGATAATGGGCGAAGTAGGCGATCATGTCCGAAGAGAACCGAAGAGGACCAAACTCTTCCGATATGCGGAGATCGGATTTACTGACAGCCATGAGACATCCTTAACGATACACACCAGTAAGTTGGAGTTGGCCATACCATGGTGACACACGGCCACCGGCAGTCCATAATCTGTGTTTCGATTCTCCTCGGCCCCCTCTTCCGGCCCCTCGTCTAAAATACCAGACTGCTTTGGTGTACAAGATAAGATGCAAATGGTAGGTAACGAAAATCAGTCACCCTGGGTATATAATGCGGAAGCCCTAGTTGTTTCGAACGAGGACTGACCGTCTCAATCGTGCCATCATAATGCAGTCGTCGCCCGCAAAACGCCAAAATGCCAGTGTTTCGCCAGTCGTACTAGACGGTAGTGTTTCCTCCCTCTCAAACAGCACACGGCGGCCTCTGTATGCTCCTGGGCTCCTGGTCGACACTCTCTTCCCTCGGATCATAGGTTCCCCGATTTGCCGGAGCCGCTGGGGTTCCAATGGGCTCCGCTGAGTTTCGCTGGATCTCTCGCCCCACGACGAATATTCAGGGCACCGTGGGCTGTGTAGGTGTCCAATGTTGATTCGCTCCGCCTGATTCTGCCACAGCTAAATGTCATCGAGCTTTGCTCGAACTTTCGTTGCTTCGTTCGTATGGTTTATGCACCAATTCTGGTTGCCTGCCATCAAATCCTGTGCTTCTTGGGGTTCCAGCTTCGCGCTTCGATGATATTCTTTGCCTCGGCCTTGACGAGGAAGCCTGAATCGCAGTAGGACATTTGTGGCCTGGTAATTTCGGGCGGGTAATGCTAAGTCGGCCGTTAGCGATAACTCCGACAAGGACAGTCTGATGTGAACAAACCAGTCGCATGCAACACGCGTCCACCCAGCCCGTCGCGCAAGTTCCCAGGTTCTGCCCAAACTTCGTCTTGTACTTCTCTCCATTCGCCAATTCGCAATCGGTGCCAACCCTCAGCTTGTCGTCGATGGGGCCCTTACAGCAGTGCGGCTGCAGGGTGATGAATCGACTCGCGAGCTTATCGGTGGGCGGGTACGGATAACAGTGGAACGGCTCACTCTGGGCGAGGATGACGGGTAATCCGAATATTAGGAACAGCGTGACCAGGAAGGCTGAGAGGCCCAGCGGGCGATGCATCTTGGTAGGGATAAACGAGTGTATGCGGACGATTATGGCAGACGAGGCAACGGCGGCGAATAAGCGCGCAATGTGGTGGTGAACCTTTTGGAGGACTTCGTGAATTGGTCGGGGAAGGTGTTGGGCCAGCAGGTGTAGATAAGTGGCCGTAATGGCGAGGATCGGGGGTGGCGACGACGATGCAGGCGGCATTATAGCTACCTAAATGGACTTTTATTAATGGGACCCTCTTTGTTCGACGAGACTAACGACAGGCACGCAGCCGGACAGATTGACCACGACCAGCAGGCTGGCGCGGGAGCGGGTCGCCAGAAGGCCTGTTTGAGTGGAACGTCGGGGTGGTTGCAAGGGATGTCCAAGGCGAGGAGGTAGGCGTAAGCAAGTGTGCGCAGGCTGACTACCCGTACCTTCCACGTCAGACTGGGATCTCCGTGGGCACCGTATATCGCGGCGGGCGGTACGACGTGGAGGTCTTTTTTTTTTTTTTTTTTTTTTAACCAAGTCCCCAGGGCGCCCGGGGGGGGGGCCTGGGGGAGGTGGGGGGCGGGCGGGTGACGGGGGGGGGGTGGGGGGGGGGGGGGGGGGGGGGGGGGGGTTTTTTTTTTTTTTTTTTTTTTTTAAACCAAACTCCAAAGGGGCCACGGGATGGAGACTCGGAGAAGGGCTAGTGCTGCTGAATGACGCCGGGACTAGCGAGTGGCCTCTGCGGAGGGAGGGGAGCGTCGCAGCGTTCTGAGCTTAAAGTGTGGCTCTGCCGGGAATATGGCCGTTGAAAGGGGTGCGGACGAGCAGCGAAGTGACGGTGGACGCGTTGAGGGTGTGGTGAATGCGGCCAGGATGTGCTGTGGGTGTGACGAGACGTTTGGCAGAGTATTTGTACAGATGCTCTTTTCGAGGAATCAAGCAGCGAGACAACGGGAACGACTGGATATCTGGCAGAAGGGCCTGGACTGTAGATCGCTGGAAGTGTCGATTGCCGGAGAGTTTCGCGTTGAGAAGGGCACACTCTAGGAAGTTGGGATCGAAGTGAAAACGATCTATTGGATGGGGATCGTGGTCGAGGATGTGCTTGACGTTGCCGACTTGCGATGAAAGAACGCGCAATCCACCCTTTGCGACAAACAGGAGAGACGAAGACCGGAAAGTCAAGCTACCGAGTGATGGCTTGTAGGTGTGCATGTACGGATAGGTGTGTCGCAATTGAATGGAGGGATAAGTTTGCAAGAGTCGCGAACATTTGCAGAGGGAGAGGGAAGGAAGGGAATCAAGTCACTTTTGTTGCTACAGCGCACAAAAAAAAAAAGCCACCGCTTAAGATTTAAGCCATCAGCCAAGACACGTCGCAAGCGAGAAGGAGCTAAGCGAAGCTAAAAGGCAGGAATCATGGGATTTGGGCCTCGATGGGAAGGATTGGCGATGACACAGGTGGAAGGAAGGAGGCGAGAGAGGAGGAACAAGCAAAGGGAAGGGGCAGCGGTGGTGAGCCACGGGTGGGAAACGCAGCAAGCAGCCTTCGTACCTTACCCAGGGCGAGACCGGGCGACAGAGGCTCGGCGCGCATAGGATGAGGGGGAAAAAAAGCAAGGGAAGGACCAAGGACGAAAGTGCGGTATTGCATACGAACAGTCGAAAAGGAACAAACATCTCGGACAGGTAGACGGCTGCCTGCTTGTAGTTCTTGAGTGTGTCTTTGACCTTTCCAGCCGTGTTCCGCCATTGAAATTGCGCCTCGTAAGCACCCATCGCAACTTGCCAAAGCGCCTAGAATTGGCCCATACACAATGCGTCGTCTGGACGGAAGAACAACATACTTACGCCCGAATGACCGCAACATAATAAAAGACCCCATATGATGCGTATTCGCCCACTCGTCGCTGCCAGGTACGCATCGGACTAGGACACATCTGGAGCTCTGTCATTCCTCTGCCCGCTTAGCCGGGCGTTTTCCCCCGCCGTTGCGCCGCACGCGAGCCGCCAGTGTCCATATTGAACCGCAGCGTCGAAAGAACACGATGCGGCACAGCAGCAAGGGTCCAACAAAATCCTTCTCCTAACCTCTTTTTTGTTTTACTTGTTTTTTTTTTGGTACAACTTGTCGCTCTCGGTCCCTCCTTACGTTACAAGAAAGTTTTAATTCAATTTCAGCTTGTGGCTAATACCACCCTACTCAAAATAAATGGTGATGATCTCGAACAAACAAGTTGGAATACCTTGACATGACTCGAATGGTTGACGGGATAGATAGCGCGTTGAACCATTGACTAAGTTATAGTTGCCCAAAATCCCGAGTTCGCCGCATCTCCTCAGATGACAGTTCAAATCTACCGAGCGGAGGGCAACAGACCGCAGCAGAGTTGAGAGGGAAAGCAAAAGAAGAACACCTCACACACATCCAATCCAATTTCCTTCAGGCTTCTGCATGGTTTTACTGTCTCCTCCAGGGGGGTTCCCTGGCGTCACTCATTAATCCATGCAAGGGCCAGGCCACATCCCTCCAATCCACCCGTTTGCTTCTCTAACCTAGTTCTAATTGGCTGAAAGTGCCCAAAAAGGGGTATCCACCCTTGTACCCTACCAAACGAGTCACGAATCAGATGCGCCCGCCTCACTCCCAACCCATCCATGCACGGGTCTTTAAGTAGCCCCGGCACCCGATTAAGGTTATCCGGCCGGTCACTTCTCACGAATCGCCGGTGACGCCGGAAAGAACGCCACGCCCCAACCTTTTGGGCCCGGCCTGCCATCGGTCTTGTGAATTGGCAATCCGTCCGAAGGGTCCCTGCTTACGTGCTCTATCGTCCACACAACATATAACCCACATTGTCCTCCCACACCTGACGCGCCTTCAACCCCCATGAGCCACAATCTTCTCGTCCGAAATCATTGCCGGCGTGGTGATTACATCTGTCTGCCCAAAGTCTAACGCTCCATTATCTCGGGCACATCTCCATTCACCCTCCATGGATGATGGCACCACCGGGGGAATTCCGTCGCGAACAGGTTCTTTGGCCCACCGCCTGCCGCATTCTCCGACGATGAAATAATCTATTTGCTGGATTTGAATGAAACCCCAAGGACCCAACTTCCCTTTTGAATTCTTGAAAAACCTTGTCGCAACTTTTAACGCCGATCCAAATATGTCGCGGTAGAGGCTTCATGTTGATTGTTCCTCATCAAATCCACGCAGCCAGTATGCGTACCATGACTTCGGGATACCGTGGATTCGGGTATACCGTCATGATATTGATCACTATCCGCTCGGTATTGATCGCGCCCGGTGCACATTGCCTAGATTACCTACCAAAACTGTATTAGATTGAGGAATTCGTTGGCCTACACGTGTATAATAGTGGTTTCGGCCAGCCGAATCTGGGAGACTGAGGCAGGGTAAACCTTGATTCGCGGTTGCCTGACGATGGCTGGCGGGGCTGAGCTGACTGTGCAGTTTGTGAGGAGACCCCGAATATCACATGTTGCATTGAGTGGCAGAGCTTGTTGTTCTTAATTGTCTGGCTATCCTACGTACGTCTCAGCCAAGCCAATGGCTTCTGTAAGTGCAGCCTTCGCATCAGTATTTTTTCTTGACGTCTCTCCGTTCGACCTGTGCAAGTGATCATGGGCTAGCTTCGCGCGTAAGAGGACCCAATACCTGGTGACACCTGGCATAAGTAGCCCGTGGTATTTTAGTGCAGGCTGCGTGCAGACGCTCGACTCAATCTCGTCCGTCTCTTCGGTACCAGTTAGCAGAACTCGTCTGTCAATTGTCGTTCCGGGACAGCAATAGCGACATGATGCTGGGGAAACGCTGTATCTCCTACTATTGGCAACCACCACACGCGTTCCGGATGGGATGAGATGGGATGGGATGGGATCATTGCCTTATTATCCCCATGTTCCTTCCCGTATTTGACGCCCCTCAACCGTCCTAGGCCTCTTTTTGAACATTAACAAGCAGCCATAATATCTCCATGCCCCCTCCCCCTTACGCTCCTCACGGATCCCCCCAAACCTCATCAATAATCCAAACAGCAACCAAAACCACAAACCCAAACGCCGAATCCCTCCTCCTACCCCCTCTCCTCTCCGGACTCTCCCCCATCTCCCCCGCCCCCGCCCCCGCCCCCATCGTCACCGGCGGCAGCGGCAACGCTCCGGCGCCCGAAGAAACCACCGCTCCACCTCCGCCCTCGAACCTCTCCCGCGGATAACACCGCCCCAACCAACACCGCTCATCCCTGCTACACCCGCCCAGCGCACCACAGCACTCCCCCGTAACGCACATCCCGCCGCAGAGCCTCTTCCCGCGAGAGCAGCACACCCCGACCACGGCGTCGACGCAGTCAAAGCCTTTGGCGCAGCAACCCGGTCCACAGCACGTCATTGATTCGTAGCAGCAGTTCCAGTTGTGGGGGAGGTTGCAGGATACTCAAGGAGGAAGGTATACGTTAGCGAAAAGTGTTGACTATCTGGGATGAAGTTGAAACAAAACAGACTATAAGTAAAATGCATACCTGTTCCTTTGGGACATGTTTCTGAATCGTCGACGGAGCGCGCGTATAATGCAGAGCTGCCGACTTCCCACTCCGAGATGGGGACGGCCGGCTGTTCGGCTGGTGATTCTGACGGTTGGAGCCTGTTTGATATGTTCAGAGGCGTAGCGGGGCATAGCGAGCTGGCGGCCAGTGCTAGCCCAAGGATCTGAGAAGTTTGGACGAACTTCATATTGGTCAAGGTTCCGCCGTTCCCTTGTCAAAGAGCTTGGAACTGTTTATAGTTGGCGTTGAGATCGAGGTGCGGCAACCAACACAAGCCCCATATAAAGGTACGTTTCGTAAACCGTGGTGAATCACTTCTGAGGAAAACCGCCAATGACCTTTATGACTAAATGACTCCGATTCACCACTATTTGTTGTGGATTTTGTTTGGTATTATCAAACCCGCCATCTATGCAACTCCGAAAGCCCGCCACTCCATCAACCTTTGCGTCAAAACCATGGGTTGGTTGGTTGCTGCAACCTAAATCTTTCCAGCATCCTCCTTCAGCGACACAATGCGGTTAAGAATAATCTTCTCATCGGTACTGTCAGAATCTATGGCCTAGTAAGGTGTTAGCTTGTCTCCGAGTTTCATTCTTCTCGTGGGCAACTTACAAAGTAGGCAATGCGAGTCGCCTGGAAACGAACACTCTCTGGTCCACCCTTGCCCAGCTCGCTCTCACCGGCAGCCTCGGGCCAGGGCGCCCGGCGCTTGACTTCGTCGAAACCGCTCTCGATGAGCGCATCGGGATAGATCACCTCGCTCTCCGGGTTGATGTCGTTGAGGAAACCGCCCTCAGCGTCATCCGGCTTCTCGCTCTTGAACAAGGAGTTGTGGATGCGGGCCTCGACCTTCTTAGAACCTTCAGTGCCGACCCAGTTGATAAAGGCCTTGGGCTTCTTTGTCTCCTTGTCGAAGACGGCCCGGATCTCAGTGACCTTGCCTGTCGTCTCGTCCTTGGTGTAGGAGGTAGCCTTGATGGGGAAAGGGGCGTTGAGCAGACCAACTGTCTTGTTGGGCGCCAGACGGAAGTAGTCCTTGCTGTCGACCTCCCTGAAGTCGGCGCGGTCGATGTAGACGGTTGGGGTGAACTTGATCGTGTGAGAACCCATGTTAGGATCCTTGGGGGAGAAGGCGAGTTCCACGTCAGTAGCCTCCGCATCTTCGATGACAACCGGAATGGGATCCAAAACCATCATCAGTCTAGGGACGGTCCGTTCCAGGTACTTGCGCACCGTCTGCTCGAAACGCTTGATCTGAATGACAGAGACAGAGGTCGTGACTCCCAGCTCGTTGACAAAGTCGAGAATGGCGCGAGGAGGTACACCACGGCGCTTGATACCGATCAAAGTGTACAGACGGGGATCGTCCCAACCACGCACAATCTTCTCCTCGACCAGCTTGAGGATCTTCCTCTTTGACAGGACGGTGCCAGTGATACCCAGGCGGCCGTACTCGCGCTGCATTGGCTCGTAAACGCCAAGAGTCTTGTTGAGCCACTCGTACGAGACTCGGCTCTGAACGAATTCTGTTGTGCAGAGGGAATGAGTGATGCCCTCGAAGCTATCACATAGGCAGTGCGTGAAGTCGTATGTCGGGTAGATCTTCCAGTCCCAGCCTGTGCGGTGATGAGGTGCGTCGGTCTTGATGCGGTATGCCGCCAGATCCCACATCTGGGGGTTGCCATCGGTGATATCCTGCTTCATGCGCAAGAAGGCTTCCCTAGGCTTGTATTTCCCGTTCTTCATATCCCTGAACTTTTGCAAGTTCTCTTCGACCGTGTGGTTTGCGTGCTCGCATCGGAATCTAGGAGAAGCGCCCTTCTCACCGCCTCGCTGAAGCTTAATCTCGGTGTCTAAGAATTGAGCGATTAGCGAACGCAAAAGACGCAGAATCTGATGCAGAAACGCGACTTACCACCGCAGTAGCATACGTAGGCCTTCTCCAAAGTGATCATCTTCTCTGCCAAGTCGTACAGCTTCTGGAAGTTGTCGCTCGAGTACGTGATCTTGTATGGCGTGAAACCCAGCCAACTGATCATCTCCTCAATCGCCGTGAAATATCTCTCCTCCTCTTTCTCCGGGTTTGTATCGTCGAATCTCAGGTAGCAAACACCACCATGGTGCTTGGCGAAGCCGAAATTGACCGCGATGGCCTTAGCATGGCCAATGTGCAGGCTGGAGATAGCTGTTAGAGGCGTGGTAAAGATAAGCATTGATGGTCACGTACTATCCATTGGGTTCGGGAGGGAAACGCGTGACGACATTGTCCGAAGGCCTCTCCTTGTAGACTTCCTGGAGGAAGCCCTGCTTGAACATGGCCTCCGGGTCCAGGACCACCTCCTCAGGCTTTGCTTTGGGCTTAGGCGCAGGCTTGCTGTCGCTTGCACCGGCGGTCTTTGCAACAGCATCTTTAGCAGCCTTTGCCTTTTCCGTGGCGGCTTTCTTCGCCCGCTTTGCCAGTCTCTTCTTCAGCTCACCCTTGCTGACCATCTCTCCAGTCTCCTCGTCAAGCTGGAGCTTGGCCGTCGACTCGGCCAGCTTGGCGGTGGGGTCCGCTGCAGCGTCCGCCATAATTGCTATATTCGGTCTAAGAGAGGAGAATGGGCCGGAAGTGGGGTTTGTCGAAGATAGGGAGTACGGCGATGTCGCTGAACTCTAGAAGTTCGTTCAATTGGGTGCCACGAGATGCTCACGTCGAGGAAAATGTGTGGTTGTGGTGGCGGGGCAACACTCTTCTTTTGCGGCGGGGATGACTCAAACGGATCCAACGAGGGGTCACGGCACCGGCTCAGCGTGCCTACCTCAGCTTGCGCCTGCGACACGCGACAAAGGGCGATTCGCCCTTGGCCGATAAGATAAAGGGCTTATCGATTGTTGTGCATCGCGATAAGGCTAGTTACCGCGATGCCTCAATGGCCAACGATGATTTGGCATCTATGGCCTCAAAGATATATATCGCTATAAGAGATTCGTTGATAAAATGTCAACAATACTCTTGCGCAATCTCTGAAATTCTTGCATTATCGAGAGGCACTTCATTAACAACCTGGAACTCAGCGATCCGCTGAATCAAAGTGTAAGGTGAGGCACCTAAGGTTGGTAAGTACCTCAGATAGGTAGGTACCTAAGGGACTTACCTAAGGTAGGTGGTAAGGTAGGTGCCGCAGCGATAACAATGCGATAAGGTGCCGACAGCTGTCAATGCAGCCAAGCTCCCCCAACTCCAATTGAGCTCCAAATAGCGCGGGGTCTTTCGTCATGGGCTCCCACCTCTCTCTCCTATCTCCGGTCGGCTGCTTCTGTGTCACCAAAACCTAAAGACCAACCCGCCGGGCCCGTTCCAAAACCTGGCAAACCATCGACAACAAGCTCGGACAAGCAACCCACACATTCGCCCATGCCAATCCGACAAGCCGCCAACATGGTCACCACCGCCGTCGCCGACATCCCCACCGTCGAGCTCCTCTACAAGCTCGGCAAGCTCACTGCCTCCTCGAAGCCGCTCTTCTCCCACAACGCGTCGCATAACCAAAAGGTTGCCGTAATCCGAGGCGACATCACCACGCTCGGCGTCGATGCGGTCGTCAATGCCGCGAACAAGAGCCTTCTCGGAGGCGGCGGCGTCGACGGCGCGATTCATCGCGCAGCCGGCCGAGGTCTGCTCCAGGAGTGTAAGACCTTGAAAGGCTGTGCGACGGGTTCCGCCAAGATCACGGGCGCCTACAAACTCCCGTGCGAGAAGATCATTCACGCCGTCGGCCCCGTCTACGACGACCTGAACCCCGAGTCCTCGGAGACAAAGCTGGCGGGCTGCTACAGCACCAGCCTGAAGCTCGCTGTACAGAATGGCTGTCGCAGCATCGCTTTCAGCGCGTTAAGCACCGGTGTCTACGGCTACCCGAGCATGGAGGCAGCTCCTGTTGCTGTAGAAATCGTTAGAGAGTTCCTCGATGGAGAGGATGGCGACAAGCTGGACAAGATTGTCTTCTGCACCTTTGAGATGAAGGATGTCAAGGCCTACAACGAGACCCTTCCGTACGTCACAGTCTAGAGACTCCACTGCGCGGTAAGTAATTTGCTAACACTCTGGTGACAGTGTCTTCTTCCCTCCCGACGACCAGCCAACCACGAAAGAGCAGGCTGAGGACGGTCCATCAAAGAAGGAAACAGAAGAGGCAAAGGCTATCGCGGCCGAGCTTCCTAGCGTTCCCCAGTCCGACCCTTCTCAGTAAACAACGTGTCTGCAGAAGAGGAAACGCAGTTTGCCGGCGCGCAGCTGCTCACGAATCTACGACTGGACATCATGATGGCTTGGGGAGTTTGGGGCATTATACCAGGAATTAGCGAACGGCCTAGTACGCCAACTTTCGTCAGTAAAAAACTATTCTAATAGAGTTTGTGGGCATTCTTTTTTGGTCTCCGTGATCGACCGCGAACTTTCTTTGAGTTCGTGCCTTCCCTGTAAAACTTTCTTTAGATCGGTCAAATTGCCCACGTGACCCACGCAAATTCAACTTCACTGTCAAAGAAACATTAAACTGGCTTCTGTTCAATTATTGCAGGTCTGTCTCATGGGGGTGTACTATCTAAGTTATGATGGACAGGCTAGCAATATCGGGTGCGACATATCTGCACTAAACCAAGGCATTTGCAACGTCATTATCTCACAAGTTCTCAGAGGAAAACACGAGATTGGGGGTTTATGCCGCAGTGTTGCAAATCAAATGAAGCAACGAAAGATTTATCAAAACGGAAACTCTTCACTATGCTGTGGAAAACTGAGGTTGGAAAAGAAGCAAGCAGAGAACCTCTTATGAATATGAGTTGTCAAATATAATTTAATTTGGTCCAATCACAGGAACGCATACTCTAAGTTTTTCTACCACTGTGGGAGCTAAGTAGTCTGCATATGCAGCAGGGAAGAGGAACCCGTGCATAGCGAACGTTTGCTCGAATGTAAACGATGGTAAATGAAAACCTAGGGCCGATTATTCTAACACCGACATCTCTATGCTGAACGGACGTGTCGTAATCGAGCCTGAATTCATCCATCCTCTGCTTTTACTTGTACGATTAATTGGGAATGAGTAGAAAGTTCAATTTAGACTTGGCGCTAGGGTAAAACTGTTTTAAGACATTTGAAGCCTCCACGATCAACGCCACTGTGAGTCACCATTTGTTCAATATGCACCGACGGCTATTATTACTGCAGTGGCATCTAAGTCCGATTGAGGGTTCAAAACATTGGTGTTTTAAAAATAAGCTGGCCTTCAATTGCGAGGACTTTTGTCTTGGACCCACGATGATTTGATGCAGGTCGCAGGGAAACAACAAACTTTACATCCACGCCCTAGGCTTTCAAGCATGGAAAATGTGTGGATGTCGACAAAAAAAAATAGCGTTTTACCTATATGTTTTGCCGCTACATAGAACTTGAGACATAGGCAATGCCAGCAGAAAATGATTAGGAACAGAATGGGAACAAAATGACACTGGCAAGAGCAGGGTGAAGTATACGCAGGTGTGCACCCCATTCGTGTGGCCGGGCCGAGGCCGTTGCCAGGCACGGACAAATGAGATCGCCATTGACCGTTGCCAATGGTGTGAATTGCGACAGAGATACGGCACTTGTTTGCCGCGGGACCAGGGATCTTTGCCCACCGACCTAATCTGTCTTGAGCAGGTGTTTTTCCCAGGTGCCCCCGCAACCCGGAGCTAAAGCGAAAAAAAAAAAGGTCTTACGCCAACCCAAGGTCAAAAGTTCCAACGGACCAACGGCAACAGTAGGATATTATCACAATTTGAGAGATAAGGCGAGTGACGCCGATCCTCGTCATTTAGTACTAATAACGTAGCTTCCTGTTTCGCAGCTTGCCAAACTATTTGCCAAAAGGGAAGCCCTCCCTCTGGACCTCTGGAAGAGTCAGTGTCAGACCTGAGTCAATGTCAGGCTGGTGACTAAGACGGACTGGGGTCTAGGTAAAGTCTCTACGGGATAATACAGTTCATGACTGTCAGTTCAGTCGGCAGCAACGGACTTCAGTATTGGCCTTTAGCCAATGACTTTCCAACTCTGGTCACATCCAATATCGGAGGGTAAACAAGTGAGGGCATTGCTACCCGGCCCACCGCCGGGTGCAGATATGCAGGCCAAGAGTTGCGGCAACCGGGGTCGCGCCCCAGTCTTGTGGTAACACCGTACACGCGACCTGCCATCTTGAGCTAGCTCCTCATGTGGTGGGAGCAATACAAACTGGAGCGATCGGGATGAACGCCCACTCGACATCCGATGGTGACATCGACGGGCTCCAGTAAACGACAGCAGGTCCCTCGGACGATTGTCACTGAGAAGTGGATGACGACTGCAATGGCCCTCGATATTGTGAGGTATAAGAGACGCGCCGCCGCGGTCGGCGGGCGCAACAACTTTGGAGTTTGAGACTGCAGCCAGTTCCGACTCCTAGGCAACGTCGTGTCGTGTAACTCTCGTTCAATTGGCACTATGCGGAGCTCCTCGATTGCCGTGCCAGCTTTGCTGGCCAGCGCCGCTGATCGCGCTGCCGCTTTCTTCCCCAACTCGACGATCCCGGGCAATAGCTCTGAGCCATGTGCTGCTGTGAGCGCTTCTTGGGCTTCGCAGCATGCGAAGGCTCCGACTGGTATTTGAGTCCCCATAACGATATGCCCACTTGACGTAGCTGACAAGGGTGCTGCAACAGTTACGCCGTCTGTGCCAGCCCAGCTGGCCTACGACTGCCTCAACTCCGTCCCTCTCGGAAAGGAGGCTGCCATTGAGCTCGTGGACTCTCTGTTCCCGTACCTGGAGTGGCAGACTGGTAAGCTCGCAGCTCAAGGACTTCGTTGCTGGCCTTTGCTCTGAACTGACTTGCTTTCAGACGCCGCTTATAAGGCGGATCCTCCACCAGAGTACGACTTCCCCGGCTACGATCTCTTCGCAGCCGCCTCGAGCATCAGACAAAACCTGGTGGACGATGTTTACACCAGCGAATACGCCTTCCAGTCTGCTCTCTACGAGGAGGTGTTTGGCCCAGGCCACGATGGTCACTACGTGTACTACCCCGACTTGCTCACGGCGGTATTTGAGTGGACCCGTCAGCGGGGCTTGGTTTCCATTAGCGAGGATGGCTCATCTTTGCCGGTGATCAAGATCTACGGTAGGTCTTGACTCTTGGGTCATGAATCGAATGGTGGCTAATGTGATCCTTTTGTAGAGGAGGTCATCTCTTCCCCCGAGACCGCTTCTATAGTCAAGCTCATCAACGGCATCGATGCTTCCAAGTACCTCGAAGATACCGTGAACAAGGCCAACTGGAACCGCGATGCCAACTCTGCCTACAACTCCATGTTCTTTGAGCAGTCTGGAAAGGCTACCGGAACTGGTAATGGCTACTTCAGCTCTGGTGGTCGTATCAGGTACGTGAGGGATCAGGGACAATATGAGAGACCTAAGCATACTAATATGGTCAATACAGATACGTCTACCAAGGTCCCAACACGACCATCACTTTTGAGAACGGCACCGAGGTCACCTTCGAGAACCATGCACGGGTCAAGAAGGATCTCACCGGCATCGTGGACGGCCCCTCGTTCTACGCCAAGTTCTGCAACCCTCTCAGCCCGGCCTCCGCTACTCCCGCAGGTACCACTCCCTCCAATGCCACCGCCGCCATCCTCCCAGGATACCCGAAACCCGTCATCGTCACCAGCGACGGCGTCGTGTCCGGCTACTACCTCGAGGGCGAAGGCTTCGAGGACGTCGCCGTCGTCGTCCTGACCGCCTTCGAGAGCGACAGCCCGGCCGAGTTCCAAAAGGTCACCAAGGACTTCTACACCGCCGCCCTCGCCGCCGGTAAGACCAAGCTAGTCATTGACTTCCAGCAAAACGGCGGCGGCTACATCCTGCAGGGCTACGACTTCTTCCGCCAGCTGTTCCCCGAAACGGACCAGGACGGCTTCTCCCGCTGGAAGGAGAGCGACGGCTTCGTCGCCGCGGCCCAGATTGTATCGGATCTCGTGGCTGATCTGAACATCTACACCAGCGACGACGAGGACTTGATTTCCCTGGCCGAGACCTGGTTCAACTGGCGCTACGACTACAACATCACCAACCAGCCCTTCACCTCCTACGAGGCCAAGTTCGCGCCCCAAGTCTTCCAAAACACTACCTACACGGAACTGATGCGCTGGAACCTCAACGACCCCCTCACCACCGTCAACGCCACCTTTGGTCTCGGTGTCGAGCTCAACGGCTACGGCAACCTCACCGGCCTGCCCCAGCCCTTCGCCGCCGAGAACATCATCATCCTCTACGACGGCGTCTGCGCCTCGACCTGCACACTCGCCTCCGAGTTCCTCCGCATCCACGGCGGCGTCAAATCCGTCGCCTTTGGCGGCCTCCCCGTCGAGGGCCCCATCGAGGGCGTCGGCGGCATCAAGGGCTCCCAGGTCCTGGACTGGAGCAACATCTACGACTACACCACCTCCCTTCTCCCCTACGCCTCCACCGACGAGCAAAAGGCCGCCTTTGCCCGCTACAGCGACCTGCCCCTGAACCGCAGCATCTCGGCCGCCGTCAACGTCCGCGACCAGATCCTGAGGGACAACGTCGAGGATGGTATCCCCGCGCAGTATGTCCGCGAGGAGGCCGACTGCCGCCTCTACTGGACTCTGCCCATGATCAAGGACGTCACCGAGGTCTGGAAGGCGACTGCGAGCGCGGCTTTCAATGGTGGCAAGTGTGCTTACGGAGGCATCGCCAAGCGCGATGTGTCTGCAAAGGCGGCTGTCAGGCGCAGCGAGTACTTGGCTGCTTCGCGTCTGCAGGAGCGGGCTGCTGCTGTTCGCCGTGACGCACCGGCTACAAATGGCCGTTTCTGGCAGGATAAGTTCGTTCAGAAGGCTATTGAATAAAGGGGGTTGGGGGTCAGACTGAGGCTTTTAGAGCAAGGGATTTACCATTTTCTTTTTGGAGCTCAATGTCCACGATATTCGTTGTGAGGCTTCAGAATGGTTTCAGATCAGTGTTCTTAATAATTACGTTCCTTGTACAAAATGAATCCATACAGCAACACCACATAATGATTCCTCCCTCACTTGAAGAAATACGTTGTCCACCAGTTCCGCTCTTTGGAAACAAGCGGCAATTGCATTGGTCCTGGCGGGAAAGCTCCCTCAAGGTCTGAAAGCTCTTCGTCTGTGAAGAGGTCTAGACGCCGAATTTCTTTGATTGTTTGCTCGGCTGTTGGTGCCATTATTTTGCCGCCGGACTTGATTACAAACTCTCCAATATTTCTGCCGTTCGTAAATGCACCAAATTCTATCATCAGCTTGCAAGCTTGAAACAAATTATGTGGCCGATCTGGTAGATTAACGGCCGGCTTAATCATATCGATAAAATTTGCAAAGTCAAACCTATAGGGCCCGTCGTGGGTCGGACGCTTGCCCAAGAATAGGACGTCTCGCAGCAACTGCAGATCCACGGACCGTGTCCAAACTATCTCCGGAGGGTCACCAGCCTCCACATGCATCGACCCTGTCAGGATGCTTTGCAGTGCAAAAAATCTGACTGTGTCCCCGGGTAGTGTCGACAGGGTGGTAGGCACTGCAAAAAATGACCTGGCCCAGACTTGATATATCAGTCGGCTGCTTTCGCGTCTCCAGTTGTCTTCCAACAACATTTGTGCCATATCTAGACACATATTTTGAAACCCAGGACCGGAAGATATCACGTCGTGCGTATCTGCTTGATCGATTATGCATAGAGACCTCAAAATATAGTTCCTGCCAATGCCATAAGCAGCCATTTCCTTTCGAAAAACAGACTGTACACACGACAATGCAAGCCAATAGCGTTGGTGTTTGAGTGGCGTCCGCCACTGAGCAACGTCGGAATGCTGAAGAAACTCGACTACTGTCCGGTGAAGAAACCCAATTCTCGGGGCAAATGGGCCAGGCTCATCCGCCTCCCAGCTCTGAACCAGGTCGCGACATTGTGCTAAAATTTGATCCTTTTTCCTCAATACCTGACTTTTATCCCAAAGCCCGGTTTGCGTGTCGTAAGAATGGTCTCGATGGCGACGGTAAACAGCTTCTTCGGAATCTTGCTGAATATCTTCCTGCGAAGTCGGCGTGCTCCAAAACCGCTTCGCTGATGACTTATTCCTTGGCTTCGCTACTCCAAGCGAAGCTGCAGCCTCAATCGTATTCATTTCTTCGATGTAGGCATCCATGTTTAAGAAGCAAACCACGGGAACAGGCATGTCCGCCATTAGTAACATAGAAAATGTTCTAGATGCGGTCTCCGTGTAGACGTCCTCAATGGAGTCTAGCATCCTCTGGAAAAATTCGTCGAGATCAGAAGGGAACTCTGACACTCTCTCGTGCAATATTCCTATGTCGTCCCAGTTGTCCAGTCCGCGAGCGAGAGACTTGACAACCAGAGCCACCCAAAAGAAAACGCCTTCTGATTTTTGCGAGATGGATTCGATAAGTTTGATCGCCTCAGCCTCATCCGTTTCCAGTAAACACTGGTAGTGTTCATGTTGGCCCAAGATATCGCTGACGTAGGTTGCCATATCCTTGGCTGTAAGTCGGTCCATCTGGATGCGAGTGAGAGAGTTGCCGAAAGCACTCTCAAATACTGGCCACGGCCGGCTTGCGCAGCAGATCTTGATGTCAGAAGACTGGGACATATTGTCGAGAAATTTCACCACGTCTTTGTGGTCGCCCTTGTATTCATCCAGCCCGTCTACGAACATCAAGATGCGCTTTGACAGTGACGGGATACTCCTGAGACGTTCAAAAGCGACCAATAACGTCTCGATTGTCCATGAATCAAGAACATAGGTTGGACTCGTGTATCTCTCTGGGAAAACATCAGAAATCATTTCCGGGCATTGCACCGTAATCTGGAACAGCAATGATCTGAGAAGGCCTTCTTGAGAACTTTGAAGACCACTCCTGATGCTCTAAAAGAAGTGACTGGCGACGATGAGTTGTTGTGGGGCCGCCCAAGCTTTTGCCAGCTGCAAAGTCTTCTCATGCCCGGAAATGAACTTCATCAAAGTTGATTTTCCGGAACCTGGTTTTCCCGTGACCCAGAAGATGCCAGTCGAGCCTTGGAGCCAGGATGAGAAATTGACGTCGTTGTTTTCTTGGAAGACCCACTCAAAAGTGTTTTGGTGAGCCTTGGGTATCTCAGTTTGTCGTTCAATGATCTGTGCGAACCGGAGGCTTTTGAGAATTTGCCGAATATTGCCCTGATGCTTCGCTTCTTCTACGAAACGGGCTAGCATCGTCGCAAACGACTCCAGTTCTTTCCCAGATGCAGCCTCACTTGTGGACTCCACAAGTTTGCCGATATCCTTAGACATTCGATCAAGTCTAGCATCCGTGGTACGATTCCAGACTGATGAAGCATCACCCAAAGAACGCACATGGTCTGATAGCTCGAGACGATGTTGACTTGAAAAATGTGTTAGCTTTACGAATATCCTAGAAAGTGATACTTTGATAACACTTACTAGAGAAGTGCTTGGAGCGTCCCAAAGATTTCGGTTTTGATTTTGCCTAGCCTTTCTTGAATGTCGTTGATCTTGCTTTCCTTCCAATAGGCTTTGAAAGAGAGTTTGATCTTGACCCATCTGAGATGTTTGTCGTCAGTAGCGATCGCCAGACCACTGACCTCATCAACAAGTTCTTTTGAAGTCTCTATGCAACGTTGTATGAGCCTGTTCATGCCGGCATCCGTTTTGATAGCAGTGTCTGCTTGCAATCGAGCACAGCGGCGTTGCAAATCTTCAGCCATGGCTTTCAGGTCAACTTGCTGCGGTAACAGGCCATCTGAGGGTCTCTATATCAGCGTTTGACCGGCGATCCAACCAACGGTTGGAACCTCTCTTTTCCACTTCACGCAGAGATCAATACAAGAGTAATTGACCCTTCGTCACCACGGTTCGATCGAACAAATCACCCTGTGATTACGTAAACCAACAGTTATTGATCGACCCCGCTTTTCGAGATGATGATGAAGGTGAGAAAATTCAGGCAAAGAGGTCGGTTCAGTTAGGCAATAATGTCAGCTGAAGGAACTTGGCGTCGGCCACACACACTGACAGCGACCGCCACATTCGTGTCAACCTTGCAGCCTGCTGTGAATGAGCCCAATCAAAGATGTGCATTAATTTTGATAATGCAGGCTGATACAGCCATATCGTATGATCTTTGATAGTAGTCGCGTAAATTGAAAACGACCATTCAAGGTTGGGGATCAATGGACCTGTTTTGACCAAAGCGTTCGAGTAACGATAAGCGAGATGATTATCATTCCCAAAAGCCTCTTTGAAGAGGTTGAAGAGGTAGTTAATCATTCCTACACACCCGACTAAGGCGCAGGCAAGATAACCTAGCGAGACACCGTCAAAATAGGCTCTTAGAATGCTCCATGGTGTGAAGACCATCCCCTTTTCACCCTCTAGGTAGTTTGGCGAGCTTCGAGCAAAGCCCTGCGTACTTAATTAAATTGGAACTACAATTCAATTTCAGCATAGGATCAAGCGCCGTGCATGAATTAGTCGATGACAATATCCAAGACTGGTACTCAATAAGCCAACGTTCCAAATAACATGGAAATGGTAATGTCTAGTATATTATATGCGAAAAGTCTGTTTCCGGTATCGCATTCAGCATTGGCTCCTAGAAGCAAATCCCACAATTCATGTTTCTGGTATCTGCCCAAACGCCGCCCTCTAGTCTAGTCTCTTCCACCAGAGCTCTCCACGATTCCCGCCATCTCTTTGTGTTGAGATGCGCAAGATCTTCCCATCTTCGTAGAGTGTGTAATTGCGCGCTTGGCTGCCTCCAGCCATGGACGGAACGTTGGCTACCGTCAAGGGCCCGTGCAGGACTTGGCCAAAGGTTGCATTCGCGGGGATCGCATCGCTGATTCGGAGTGGCCCTGCGTAGCCGATGCTGTGCTTGCCGACAAGGGCCCAGTCGGCGTCTGATTGTGAATCTTCGAAGGGGAATGTCAAGTTGGCAGGTCGATCTTCGGGGTTTGTTGATGTGATAGTTGCAGACATGAAGCCGGACTTGCTGTAGGATAGGATGCCAACAGGGTTGGAGCCGTATGTTCGGTCCGGGACAGTCACTCCATCCCGTGTACTGTTCAAGTCAAATATTAAACCCGTGAACCGTGTCTGGATTTGGAAGAAACATGAACTCAAAGGTGGCTTACGCAGACGTGTTCAGGAGCTGATAAGTTCCTGCCAAGATGGCGAGGATTTCTGTAGGCTGCATTTTGGCGTAAGAATAAGGTGCTTTCTAGGAAGACGGACAAACTGAATTAGCTCAAAAGATCGTTCGAGGTGTCTATGAGAGCGATGAATAAGGGTCTTTAAGTATTCATCTGCCATCAAAACGTATGCCGTCCGTCTAGAGCTTTTAGTCCTCACCCAAGTCCAAACATGTCCGCCTCTGCACGTCCATCCGCGCGGGTACGCCCTGAGAAGGGTATGCTCCAAGCGGTTACGTGATAGGTCACCACATCTCATAAACTGTTTCCTGAAGGGCGTGATGCAAGGGTCTCCGAGTAACTTTAACAAACCTGCTTAGGCATGCAGCTTTCATGCCCTGGATCAGGACATGGATCGCGTGCCAAGGAATTAAAGTTATGGGAATACCCTGCGGCTCCACCTTCGTCCAAAAAGCCCAGAAGCACCGAGAGCAGCTTACAGCCTTAATTCCTTATCGCCATGGATGTTAAGCGAGCCGCGGCACTGACTCGCAGACTAATGGAAATGGTCTTTTCGCCGAGATAATGGCGAAGAAAGGGGTGCCGCGCGCCTTGAATCGTTGTTCCGAGTTGTCACGAAGGGAAAAAACGACGCAATAAACGCTTTGTTTCGTCCAAAGTTCCTCCGTTCTTGGCCTTTGAAAGGCTGTGCTAACCTTGAAGAACGGACAGTAGAGGAAAAGTTGGGGAAACCGAGCCAAAGAGCTGGAGGTTTTGCTTGGCCCTACTTGGCGCAACTTGGCGTATTGGAACTACCACACAAGGCGATAGTGGGGGATCTCGTGCGGGGTACGTCTTTAGCTGGATTCTTATTTTGAGTAAAAGTTGAGAAACATGTGGATGGGTTACTGATCCCGGCCATTCCGGAAGAGAACCACAACTGTGGCCCAAGAGGGTTACAAACTCCGCAAGCTATCTTGGTCCGGGTGCAACGGGTGAGCCGGAATTGACCTGCCAAATCTAGAAATAGCACGAGCATCTGGCACAAAAACATGAACACCTCATTCGAAGGGAATTGCACGTAATGAGTTCCAGCCTCAAGAAGCGATGGGGCCACGAGAGACCATGGGATTGATGCTGGGAGGCTCATGGTGATCTGCCTTGGTACCTAAGGCCCTTCAGATCTTCCCATAGATTGAAGCGAATTCGTTCTCCCAATCATCTGCACATGATAAACTCCCGATTCACATGCATCTTGTGTCCGCTCCCGAAGAACTTGGGGTTCAAGCAGCGACTAATTAATCAAAACCTTGGGGCATCGACTTTGATAGAGCATGGACGTCTTTGTTTCGCAGTGCTATGCCAAGCATGCTGGTGGGACTCGGCTCCTCAGCTCTAAGTTGGTTTAGGAAACTCGGATTTAACCAGCCAAAATCCGTGCATACCTTCAACTCTTTCATACTCATTCGATGCGTAGTAAGGACTTGATGGTACTTATAAATCTAGTGAACACAACATGCGCTGACCACCAGCGCCGCTTCACACTATACTTAGAATTGTACATTTCCAAGTCCTGTGCGATAGAGGTACCTCTTTTACCGCGAGTGAGTCACGAGTGGATGTTCTTCGGTCTTTAAATCAAGGTAGAGGCGCCCCAGAAGATTGGAATTACAACAAAAATTGAAAGATGCAGAATTGTTCTGGTGGGCCAAGCAATCAACCGCGATGACGTCTTCTGGAGTGCCGGTTGTGGCTCCAGGCGTATGTGGTATAGCCTGAGGGGACATGATCAGCATTTCGTCAACTGCACAATACTGTGGCTGTGACAATAAGCCAAGAGTATACCTTCACAATTGTCAGATATAGATCCAAGCTGTAATCCAATGGAAAAAAGGCTGGATTATGGAAGACGGGCGTCACGTGGTACATAGACTTGCTGTGTTGAGCATTACCAGCCACGGCGATCAATCCCACGCCAGAACCAATCTCACAATGATTGGTTCACAGGTCCCGCCCAGCGGCAATTGGCATCAGAGGCTCAGACATAGCCAAATACTATTCACCTTGGCACTCAGACTTTATAAAGAGATGCTCCCGGAATGAGACAGTACCATCACTCCTGCTCAGGTTTCAATCCGAACGTAGCTAGTCTCGGGCGAGACGTGTTGTTCATCTTTTTGCTGATCATTGAAATTGGCTTCATATATAATAGCCTGCCGAAGTGTGCGAAGTAACTCTGTCCTCCAAACTCATTTGGTGCTGTCAAGAAAGAAGAGCATTCCTCGATCCTGATACACGTTTATTTTCTCCAAGCCCATTTTCTCAGAAAACTTTTCACTTTAACCTGAAGAATAATGGCATCTTGGCGGGTTTTCACTGTGGTCGGTGCAGCCATGTTTGTCGGCTCACTTGGGCTTCTTATTCTCACCTGCGTATCTGTACCCAACACAAGTTTGTCACTCTTCACAATGGAAGCTGCGAGAAGTGGGGCCTGTGGGTCAAGTGGACCATCCATTGTCGTCGACTTCGGACTTTGGGGTTGGTGCCAGACAACGGCAGCAGAGTGGTAAGTGTAGGCCCTAGCTAATATGGATAATGGCTCTGCATTGTAATATACATATGCAATTTTTTTGAAGAGGATAGTATGTAACTAAAAGGTGCTGTTTTAGGACGAGATACCCACAAGGATGCCTCAGAGTCAGAGGCTCCCCTGGTTACGATCCAGCCGCCATCATTCGACCGATGATCTCGCAGTTTCCCTCTTCGATTAAAAGCAGAGGCATGCGCGATTTGACGTTGGGGTTCGCCTTGCCGGCCGTCGCCACTGCTACTGCTAGCCTAGGGTTTCTTTCCACCCTAGCAGGCCTCGTCAAGTACAATCGATTCACAACCTTGGCCAGCGCGATCCGAGCGGCCTTATCGTTCCTGTTCGCCGTAGCAGCACTAAGGTGCGTCTTTTCACTCTTTGAGAAGATTAGAAGAGAGTTGCCAAGGAGCACGGTTTTGAGGCTCGCAACCAACTCACGAGATATGTACGACATATCCACAAAATACGGAGCGTCTTCTTGGACCTTAGTCGCTGCTTGTGCGATATTGTTGATTGGCACAACCGCCCTGATATTTGCGTGGCTCGCTGAGGTACGAGAGAACCGACGGAAATGGAGTGACGATGTCAGAGAGAAGTCTAGCAGCTCGCCCTCAGAGGGTAGGCCATCCGGCGCCGGAAACTAATTGTTCGCAATTGAGAAGACCAGACGCTTCATGTACGATCAAAAAGAAACGAGATTGCTCGGTCTTCTGTTCCGAAGTTGTCTCTTCTACAACCCAATACCTTACTTCGCGACATGGAAAGAAATGATATCCACAAAGTGCAAGTAAGTTGATTGCATGAAACTACCGCGACGATATCGTTCTCAATTCAAGGTGACGAAATCTGGATAGAACATAGCACCAGTCTCAGCTAACACAACGGAATCAAGAGTATTTTTATCAACCCTCAGACTGTATCTCGTCTCTTTTGCGTCGAATGTAAATATTAGAGAATTCTGAGGAACAAGAGTTCAATAAGTAGGAGGATTCAATGCCCACGATTCAAAGCGAATTGCATGCTGTCATTTTCTCACACGAGTAATTCTATCTGCCCGTGACTTTCTTTGTCCAGAAGCGGGAGAAGATTGCAAGACGTTAAGGTTGATAGCGAAGTAGTGATAAGGGGAATTCAGAAGTATGAGAAGAGTAATGAGAAATAGCGCCAAGACCCAGGAGGGAAAGTTGTTGGGTAATATAAGTTCGATTACCTTGAATGAAATGATATCTCCAATTGATATGAGCATGGGGCATGCCAAGACCGAGCAAGAAAGGATTGTCAACTTTGGCTTCGCTGAAACTCTGATCTAAACCCAGCTGCATCCATATCCTCCTTCAAAATAGCAACATTTTGTGTACTCTGTAAATATTCTCGGATCTCGATCGCTCAGGGGACATATTTTGCCGTCCCATTGCCATTGACCACCCACAGCATTACAACATGCAAAACTGGCAATGTCGTTTCCGTGAACGTCATCATGAGTGTCGATGTCCCAACAGCTACAGTTGATAATGTTGGGAGCTTGCCTTGGGACGGCAATGGCGCGGACCACCGTGATCCCGCTCGCAAGTACAGAAATGGAGAAGGCCGGGATCTTCATTATCTGAAGGTTGGTTAGCATTTTCTCGATGTCAGCAATTAAAACCCACAAAATTGTGAATCTGCCATACAATGAAGATGGTATGCAACAAATATGGTCCAAGAATGGAGAGGCTGATCAGTAATCGAGGCAGCGAAGAGTAGGACGCCTGCGGCTAATTGATGAGTCTTTTCGAGTCGGTGGGGATGTTGTCGTTTTCTAAACAGTGTCCAAAAAAAAGGGGAAATTAGAAGATCATTGCTCATTTATATACATACCGGCGATCTTTTAGAGTTAGACGACACTTACGATAGCCACAAGCCACACAAACTTTGTCATGACGGTGGGTTGAAAGGGTACTGGATGCTTCAAATCATAACGCGATGATGAGACTTTACGTTCTTCAGATAATTCTCCGACTCGTGATGATCCTACGCAATCTGAACGGTATATCTGAATTGCGTCTTCGTAGCTGGTGAGGTAGAAAGGGCACAGGAAACTATGCGCGACGCTCTAGTAGTGAGTCAATAGCGACAGAGATTGGACCTCTGAAAATATGGACCTGCTCGTGTCGGAATAAGCCAAGTCACTAAAGTTCCTGATGCACAGAAATATATAAAGAGCGTGCCCGCCCGCGTGATTCTTAAGAGTTCTTATTAAGTTTTTGATTGGTGCAAAGAATGCGGGAGGTAAAGTTACCCTGCCGATGTCATTTTCTTCCTGATTTAATGTAATTTTTTAGCCTGCCGATTGATCTAGATGCAAGATCACAATCCGTCTGAGGCATTTATTTTGGCTAGGCTGCTGAGCCATGAGGGTCAATATAGATTTTACCTTCTGCATACCATAAAGGCTTCGGGCCAGGCTTAGAAAGTCATCGCTACTTCTCTCCCTCTCTATCGACAGTCAAAACTAGAACGTTCCCCAGACGCACAGGAAAACTGACCTTCTAGTGCGAGGAATTTTCAAAAGGGGAATGCCGGACATCGTTATTGCATTGGAACATGCTGTAAGCTATCGTAATCTCGGCAGACCTCGACAGCATCCTCGAAAACAATGTTGAACGTAGCCTGTTCAGAAGCCGACGATCTATCAACAAGGGGACGGAAAAAGGATTGCCCTCATCATAGCACAGATTAAGTCAGACGGAATGACATCACAAATTAGGTTTGAACTTGCGCAGAGCATAAGAAGCTGTAGCATTACTCATCAAGCTTTCCGCACAGCAAGTCAAGACATCGGACGTTTCATCCTCTGAGCTACCGTCGGACATGACCTCGGACCCGCGGAGCGACTGTTATTGCGGACTACTTAAAATGCCGAGCTCCCCGGGATCAGAGCTCCGCAGCTTTGACATCAGCGTGTGAGATTTTCGTCCGACGACCATCGCCAGCTTTAAGCAAACCAAAGACCGATACAGCGAGCGACCATGTCGACAGTCTTCCAGGTCACTGTTCACGTTGCGCCACAGGATGTCTCTAGGTTCCTGCGCGCTTCTGAGCCGACAATTGAGAAGATGAAGAGAGAGTCCGAGTTAATGTACTTTGAAATGTACCAGGTCCATGACTCTCCGGGTACAATTACGTGGATTGAGAAATGGTACGCGGAACTCGAAATGTTAAGTCACAGCGTCGGAAACTTGGCTGATGATGTTTCCAGGTCAGAGCCGGTAGACTGGATAATGAAAGTAAGGTGAACCGCCATCGAGTACATCGTGCTCCAACTGACCAGTGTATTGCTCAGCACCAAATGACGAAGGATTACTATAACGAATACTTTGACGTCACAGAACCGCTCTACGTCGCACCTCGTGAGCTGAGAATTCTGAGCTCTCTCGGGCCTCGTCATACGTATCAGAGGTCGTAACGCCAGCTATATACGCGGTGACGAAAGTCGCTCAGTAAGGATCTTAGTGATTGGAAATTTACGAAGTATGACGCGAGATGATAGTTGGCTATGTAATACTACGCTGTCTCTATGAGTCTATGTACGAAAATCTACGAATACATGACTCTCAGAGTTCACACATAATTGCTTTGGGATCCTTACAGTGTATTGGCTTTCTGAATCACTCCGGTTACCTTCCCATTTCAGATCAGGTGCGGAAACGTTCCTTTCAATTTGGATATAAATCCGAGATCAATCAGAGTCTCTCAGGACCAAGTCAGAATGGGAACCAGCACGCTGCTCAACGTCAAAAGAATTGAGAGTACACGGCCCAGTCAATCGATGTGTAAAGAGCACGTCTAGGTAAGTTGAATGGCTCGATTCCCCTATGGCCCGGCGGTCTGGACCTTTGAGATCTTGGCGAGATAACACCTCTTGGCGAGCAACAATGCTGGAAGCACCGGAGACTTTTGGAGGTCATTCCAAGACTTTTCCACCCCACACTTTTGAGGGGCCACCTCCACACAGAAGATAGACACATTCCTATTCCCGCATAGGTCGGTTAGAAGTGCTGAGATCATCGTCACGCCAAAGGAAACATCATGACGTCTCTAGCTTTGGGGCAGGGTAACTGCAGCCTTGGCGAAATTATCGCTCTCTCGGCGCAAGGTCGAAGGGCCCGTTGAGGATAAATAGAATGATAACCCGGTTCACATTCCATGCTGCCCGCCATTGCCCCCTCTTGCCTCCATCCTCCACTACAAGAAACCTGTTGGACCTCCGGAGCAAACTCCGTGACGATCGACCTGACGATGCGCCTTCAAGAGATTGCGGCTTTCGGCCTGCTTCGCGCAGGCCTCACCGCCGCTCAACTCACCTATGCCAGCAACCAGGTCGAGGTGATCCGAGATAGCGAGACGGTAGCCGCGAACTTCCCCGACGTCGAGGAGGTCGAGCTGCATTCGCCCGCCTTCGCCAATCCGGAGAGTGTCTCGGCCACCTTTGCCAATGGCACTGGTGGTCCAACAGACCAGGCAACACTCGGTGAGTCGGAATGAGCTGACAAGCCTCGACTCTCGTATCCCATTTCGACAACTGACATCTTGCAGACTACTTCCTGCAGACCCTTGCCGCGCGTAACGAGTGGATGACCTACCAAAATCCCAGCTTCAAGTCAGAAGAAGGTCGTTCAATCCCCTACGTCTACCTCTCAACCTCGCAAGGAACTCCGACGGACAACAGCCTTAACACCCACGGCAACGCCAGCGCGCCGGGAAAGGTGCGCATCTGGATGCAGGGCGGCGTTCACGGAAACGAACCAGCCGGCGACCAGGCCCTGCTCGCGCTGCTGGGGAGGTTCGACGCCAATGCCACCTGGGCGGCCTCCATCCTCAAAAAGGTCGACATCGTGATGCTGCCCAGGTATAACCCGGACGGCATGGCGTACTTCCAGCGCTACTTTGCAACCGGCTTCGATCCCAACCGCGACCACACAAAGCTCGCACGCCAACAGACACGCGATATCAAGCAGCTGGTGATGGGCTTCGCGCCCCACGTCGGCGTAGATTGCCACGAGTACAGTCCGACCACGCCCTTTGGCGCCAACGAGCAATGGGTAGACGCGCAAGACGGACAGTTCTCTGCCATGAAGAATGCGAATATCCACCCCGACATCCGCAACATCTCGGAATCGCTCTTTGCGAACAATATTGCCGCAGCCATGGAGAGACGCGGCCTGCGATGGGGCCCTTACGTCGTCGGCCCCTCTGGCACAGACGACCTCGTGCTCGAGGAGACCACTGGCGACGCCAAGATTGGCGACAGTGCTGTCGCGCTGACCCAGGCAATCATGTTCCTCACCGAGACGCGGGGCATCGGGCTGGCAGACCAGCACTGGCAGCGTCGCGTTGCCACGGGCCTGACCATGGTCGAGACGATTGTCCAAACGGCGGCAGACTGGGCGGAAGATGTATACGAGACGGTGGAGAGCGCGCGCGCACGCTTCATCGCCAGCAACGACGACATCATCGTGACGGAATCTGCGCGCCCGACGACCATCTCGTGGCAGTTCATCGAGGCGACGACGGGCAAACTCGTCCCCGTTCCCGTCCAGTTCCTCAACACGACGCCCGTGGTGGCGAACCTCACCCGGTCGCGACCAGAGGCCTATGTGTTCTCGCGCGCGTGGGCTGATGTGGCGGAGCGTCTGCGTGTCACTGGCTTGGACGTGCAGACGCTGCCGTCCGACTTTGTGGGCAACGTCGAGGCGTTGCACGTTACCGGTGCCGCGGTGGCGCGCACAAAGTACGAGGGGGTCGCTCGCACGACGGTCACGACGGAGACTGTGACGAAGCAGGTTCGGATCCCGGCCGGGGGGTTCTGGGTCAGCACCCGACAGGCGAATGCCGCGCACGCATTTGTGACGCTGGAGCCGGAAGGCATCGACTCGTATGCCACCTTTAATGTGCTGCCGGTGAGCGTGGGTGATGAGTATCCGGTTTACCGTGTCATGGCATAGGAGATGACTTGGGGGCCTCTACTCATGCTCTTCATCGTAATGAACAATGTGAAGCTCTGTCTTGCTCATTTGGATTCTTCTGCGTCCTTGAAACCTTTTGACGTACAGGATATTCGTAAGATCGCCGCTGCTCAGATTGCATGGACACAGCTTTGCACGTATAGGAGGATCGGTGTCGGTCCAAGATCTAGACTTCACAGCCCCATTTCTCGGAAAGTCTGGAAAGTCTAAGTGACCTCAAGATTAGTAAGTTTCTAAAGACTAAGCCGGGGTATTGCCTAATCTGCTCAATGTCTGAACGGGTGAGGTCCGGGTTCCGGTGCGGGGGCGGAGAGAATCCCCCGTCCTTCTCGGTGGACTTATAAGTGACGGACAACCACCCAACCCATAGAGCTCGGTTACATTTTGTCAAAGAATTTTTCAATCCTCTTCCTCCAAGCTACCAGTAGGAGATATCGAAAAGCCACTTGTTAAGGCATAGACAGAAACGGCCAACAGCATATTATACACTGACTGAGCTCGACGGGTAAAAAGAGTCTCTGCAACACAGGCGACGGGACATACGTCTGGCGGGATAAGAGAAAGCGGGTAAACACATATCAAGGAGGTAGGCACCCAACCAAACAAAGGTAGCTAAGTGAAGCAAAGCACAATCACAAAGAGCCAGGCGAACGAAGTGCATGCTTCCAACGAGCAAAAAGATCAACTCCAGCAAAAGATTTTGACCAGCATGGGGGTCGAACCCACAATCTCCTGATGCCACGGTGTATCGTAGTCAGACGCCTTGCCATTGGGCCAACCGGCCAGACAGTTGATAAGCATCTTAAATGCTCGTCTGTGCCGGTTGCTGCGGGTTTGTGATTTATCTTGCGTTGCGGCAGGGCGAATGGCTTGGACCTGCTTGCTTTGACTTGGTGGAGGGGCGTCTGTGATGCGTGTGCTGTCGGCCAATGACGAACCCCAAAATTGGTGTCCAGGTGAAAAACTTTGCTAGCTGCTTTGCCGGCGGGATTGCGGAGGGGCGGGCTAAATGCCTCAGCCCCTCCCGATGTCGGGTGGTTTTTAGGGTCCCGGTTTTCCTCGGCCCCGCTGGCTGTCCAAGAGGATGTGCGTGGGGTTATGATAATGACAATGGACTATGATTCCAGCGTGAGTCATTGTCATTCATGTCTAATTTCCCCCGCTTGAGTGCTACAACTTGAGCTGTCGAGGCTGGAGGAATTGAATGGCTTAGCTAGACGAGAGTTCACCTGCCCAGGGTCTGTCTATCAGATAGTGCAATAGCAACATAGGCTCGCTCTTGCGTGGGAGGTCTTGAGATTGTGGTCTTGTGTACGATCTATTGTTTTCAGTTGCAAATCGAAGTTCTATCGATAGTTCCACTGAGACCCGTTGTCTCATCTTTTGTTTTGTAACCCTTTTTCTGGTTTCATTTTTTCCTCCCAGAACACAAGGACACCGGGACCTAGTATCCACGGAAAACAAGGTCCTCTCTCTTGGGGCCAGTACCGATCCAGACAATCTTAACACCGATAAACTTCTCAATGAACTCAATGTACGCGCGAGCCTGCTTGGGCAGGTCGTAGTACGACTTGGCGCCCGTCGTGGGGGTGTTCCAGCCCTCGAGCTCCTCGTACACGACCTCGGCGTCCTCGAGGGCCTTGAGGTCGGCAGGGAAAGAGGCAAAGTTCTCGCCCGTGTGCTTGTTCTTGTAGGCGACGGCGACCTTGATGGTGGGGAAGGTGTCGAGGATGTCGAGCTTGGTGAGGTTGAGCGCGGTGTAGTGGTTCAGGTCCGTCGAGTACTTGACGACGACCAGGTCGAGCCAGCCGCAGCGGCGGGAGCGGCCGGTGGAGACGCCAATCTCGTGGCCAATCTTTTGCAGCTTCTCGCCCGTCTCGTTGAGGAGTTCCGTGGGGAAACCGCCGCCACCGACGCGGGTGGTGTAACTCTTCACAACACCGACAATGTTCTTGATCTTCTTGGGGTTGAGGCCGAGCTAGTTATGCGTTAGGGGTGGGATTCAATCTATTCGACGGCCGTGTACTTACGCCAGTGAAGACACCGCCGAGGCCAGTGTTGGATGATGTGACGTAGGGGTAAGTACCGAAGTCTTGTCAATGTCAGCAGGGCCATCCACGTTTTTTTGTTTCGTGTTCACGTACTCAAGTCAAGCATGACAGCCTGGGCACCCTCGACCAGGATCTTGTTACCGTTCCTCTGGGCGTCGGCGATAATGGGGACAGCGTCGACAACAAAGGTCTGTCAAGGAGAGTGAATCATTAGCACGGCATTGTTTTGCTGGCAGATGGAAGAACTTACGCGAAGGTCCTCCCTGTACTGCTTGAAGCGCTTGATCTCGTCCTCAACGTCGTAGACGAGGAGGTCGCCGAAGCGCTTCTTGAACCCGTGAGCGAGCTGGCGAAGCTTGCGCTCAAAGAGCTCCTCGTCGAACATCTCACTGATGGTGATGCCGTTGCGGGCAGCCATGGTGCTGTAGGTTGGGCCGATGCCGCGCTTGGTGGTGCCGATGCTGTTGCCTCCAAGCTCCTGCTCCTCCAAACCATCAACCTGGATGTGACAGTCGGTGATGATGTGGCATCGGTCAGACACCAAAAGGCGGTCGCGGATGTTCTTCAAGCCCTTGGCCTCGAGATCGGCCATCTCCTTGAAAAAGGTTGGGACGTGGACGACGGCGCCGGATCCGATGAGGCTGATGCACTTTTGATGCAGGAGACCGGAGGGGAGAAGGTCTGGGGGGGAGGCGGTCGTCAGCATGAGGGGAGGGAAAAGATACGACATGACTAGACGGGGACTTACGGAAGTCGTAGCTTACACCATCGGCGATGACAGTGTGGCCGGCTGTTGGAGGTCGGGTTAGAAACTACGTCGCGATGGTTTTAGGAGTTGGAGTGACTCCTACCATTGTGTCCGCCCTAGGGCCATCAGCATGCCATTGATTATCCAAAGAGTACCAAAGACCCAACCTGAGCTCTGGCGCAAATCTGCGCGTCTTGTCCGAGGCTGTATCGCGGGGGTCAGAAGAGGGGTCCGGCGGCAGAATGGAGGGCAGGAGGGATAGCCTACACATCGACCAGCTTTCCCTTGCCCTCGTCACTATTGGTGCGCGATGTGTCAGTTCATGGTTCTGCGGTAGGTCGTCAATGGCGCAGCAGGGCTAAATGTTATCGTTGTGTCGCGATCCCTCACGGGGATACACATGAACGACCCACGCGTGGACACTCTGGAGGTCCCCTTGTATCATGAATTGCTCTGCTGGCCGGAAGATGACAAATATGGTAGATGCGCGAGAGCACGAAGAGAACAAAGAAGAGAAATGAGAGATGGTGAGAAGGCGTTTGGGTGTGTAGAGCAAAAGGTAGAGCAATAGGGCCGCGGAAAGATTGACAGCTTACCCCCACTGGGCGCCGAGAACGATGTCAATCGTAGCCATGGCGTCCGGTATGGTATGAGTGTGTGTGTGTGTATAGCAACAAGTGTCTTGTATAGCGAATTGTCCAAAGTATGGGTTGTTGCGATCGCAACGTCGGTCTGCGATAACTTCACAAAAACAGTCAGAAGGGGAAGACGCGGGGTTTAAAAATTGGCCGTGGAGGGGCAGGTTTTGCTTTGGCGGGGTTCCAGGTCTGCGGGCCAACGTGACGTTGATCCACTTCTCTTCCGCTGCGTTGACTCTGCGCGCCGTGTCTTTGGTCAATTGCTGCGTCCACGCCAAACGATTGCGTTATCGGCCGCTTGTCGGGACTCGGGGAGTACGTACCGCGGCTATGGTGTACCAATCGCCGGCTCGACGGGACGGAATCGTCCGGAGTAGAAGAATCAGGTAACGCCGGGCGATACTCCGTCGTGTGGCTAATGTCTTACCTAATACAACCACAAATTGCTGAGCCATACACCAGCCACCTGTCTCGATGCAAGCCTCACCTAAACAAGCTTGACTCGGCCGACCAGGCTCTGCTCGAATCTTCTTTGTGCATCCGATGTTCGATGGACCTGATTGACTGACCATTGTTCCTCTTAAATCATATCGTAAACGTTCGTTATCAATAAACCAAGCCATCCTTTTCGGACCAAGTCGAGCCATCATCAACCATTTAACACTTCAGCAAGACATTGTACGACATAAAACTAGATGTTTTCGTCAAATGGATTACCCACACCTAGGAATTCTTCTCAACTGCCCCTGAACGGCTGATGTTCGTATCTGCTGTCCACAGTACGGATACCTCGCGCTTTCGCTCATCCACGTGCTGTCGTCCAAATCAGAGTAGATCAGCCGAGCCTGTACCTCGTCACATCAAGCTCATGAACCCGGCGCACATCGTCACCCCTGTCGAGTCTCCGCTTTACTGGCATGTTCACTTCGCCGAAGACCGAAGAAGCCGAATTTTGTTCAGGAACGAATACTCCAAGTTGCTTGATAATTGTCCCCACAGACGTTCGATGTGATGCCCATGAAATGGACTTGTCCAATACGGCGCTGAAAGGAAATGCAAACAAGGGTGGGATTCTAACAGCCTGACTTCCTACCGGCCACGCAAATATTTGCAGGTAGAGCAGAAATGAATGGGACAGTAATCTTTCGTCTGAATACCATTTATCTTCACGCGCCTTGCTGGACACATCCTCGGGCTGAGCAAAAGTTCCATGGAGTTCCATGGCCACCACAACATCACCAAGGTCGAAAAACGCTCACTCATCGGAACTGTTCCCGAGCAGGGGCAGGGGAACCCATGAAGGAAGAGGGTTAGCTCGATACAACTGGAGCGAGCCAGGGCCACAGCTGAAAACTCGCCCACTAAGCCTACCAAGTAGTGTACGTCGACGCCATCCAATCTTATCTGATGGATCAGATAACTTTCTTCACCCCCTACCCCATGCTTCTCCTCAGACCTTTATCAATCTCATCACGCCCTCCAACCAATGATCATGGTCACCAACGGCGAAACTAGGAGGTCCCTTCTCCACAGCACCGTCAAAAAGACCCTGGACAGGACCCGAATGAAGCGATAGAGCTCTAACCGAGCATCCAGATCCGGCATGGCCACAATGCATACTTGTACACCCCCTTGTCAAATTGACCGGAGCATCTAGCCGACCTTGGCTTCGAGCGTACCATCGAGCCACTCAACACGAACGTCCTGGCTCTCTGAAGTTTGGTAATGGGGAGAGAGAGGGTCGAATTGCTTTGCATAGGGACGCCACATGCAAGAGCCTGACTCTGCTCTTCTTCAGACACATGGCCAGCCCTCCTAGGCAGGCACGGCAGGCAGGGAAGGGAAAGCTCTTAAAAATGCTCGCAAATATATAATATCTCATGTAGCTCCGACACGAGCTCGACATCCTGAATTTCTTGCCTCTGTTCCGCTCTCTCTCCCCACCCACTGACTGCCATCGAAAAGTCTGCCACTCGCGTCGTCTCAAAGACCAAGAGTCCTTAACCGCAACGTTCAAGATGAAGTACGCCTACTTTCTCCTCGCCACCGCCGGCCTCGCCGCAGCCCAGCAAAAGTTCTCCGACGTCGTCCCCAAGTGCTCCATCGACTGCCTCACCCAGGCCGTCAAGGACGGCACCAAGTGCAGCAGCATCGACGACTCTGCCTGCATCTGCGAGGCGGACAACTACCGCAGCATCTACTCCGTCGGCGTCAACTGCGTCCTCCAAGCCTGCGGCTCTGACGTTGCTATTGGTATGCCGATTTGCCTTTCTCACTTTTCCCCCCTCCCCAAATCAACATATCGCGTCTGCACTAGGACACGCGAGAGCTTCGGCACCACCATGAACTGACGCATGCTCTCAATGACAGGCCAGCTCCTCCCCGCCGCCGGCAAGTTCTGCCGCGAGGTCACAGGCGGCGCTTCCGCTCCTCCCGTCGACTCTGCCTCTGCCTCTGCCTCCGCCGTCGTCTCTTCCGCCATTGCGTCTCTGTCATCTGCTGCCGCCTCTGCGTCCGCTGCCGCTTCCAGCGCGACTGCCTCCATCTCCGTCACCGCTACCCCGACTGCTGGCGCTAGCGGCGCAGCTGCCACGATCACCTCCACTTCCCAAGCTGGCGCTGCCCCTACCCTGGTCTCTATGGGTGCCCTTGGCATGCTTGCACTCGGTGGACTTGCTGCCTTCTAGAGCAGTGCGATTTGAGTTATGCTTGACTCGTGGAGTAGGGGGGGAGATGGAAAAGGATCATTGTTGCCGAGCCAGCTTGGCGACAAGTCAAACTACCTGTACATACACTTCCAGCCTAGTGATGATCCTTGAATGGTCGGGGATACTAGCGTACATCTAAATATCATGCGTTGTTTGATACCCTTACTATGAGACGTGTTTGGGTTATAGCTACATGTAGCCGGATCACTGAATTGTCTGCGCTCTCAAAATTCTGAAAAACCAGGTGCCCCTCCGATTGTGCCCCTCCGATGCTGGCATGCAACATCCACTTGACCCTTCATCTTCCAACGCCGCGAAATCCACCCCATTTCGGATGTCGTGCTTTCAGAACTTGAGCTCTACACCCACTTCCTCGAGTTGTGTTGAAACATTGAAGTGTCAATTCCCAAGGGCTCATTTCCCCAGAAGTCGCTTGGTCCACAATGTGCAACGTACGGAACTCAGGAAGATTTCCCATCAGCTTCTGTCCACCATTAATGAGAAACTGTCGGATTGGAAGCCCAATTCGACCTCGAGTCAGCGTCAGCGCAGGGGCCATCTGAGGGTCTCTATATTAGCGTTCAACTAATGATCTAGCCTCCGGTTAGAACCTCTCTTTTCCATTTTACGCAGAGATTAATATATCGTTAATTGACCCTTCGTCACTACGGTTTGACTCGAACAATCACACCTGTGATACGTAAACCAACAGAGACAGATCCCGGCAGCCTGAGAGACATAGGCATCGTAAAGTAGACAGCAATGCCTATACCAGTAAGGTGCTCGTATTCGGTCATCAGGGCTTTCGTTTGTACACAGAGTGCCCTTGACACTCAATTTGCAAACCTTGGAGCAACTTGGGCTCTTTTCGATATTTCGTTGCCTTTCTTTCCACATCAGTAAGATCATAACAGAAATCGGAGAATTTTCCAAGACGAATACCCATGCGTAAACGTTCGAGGGCGTGTGGCAGAGGTCTTGGACCCTTCATAACCAAGTCACCATTCATGTCGAGGCTCGAAACGTACTAAGAGTCCTTGGATAACAGAACATGGTTGTGGGTGCGTCATCTCTCTGACGGTGGAAAAGGAGAGAACACGTGGAGATAAATTAGTATTGCGGGAATGTCTATGTTACGCCGGATGGCCAGGCAAGAAATTTTCTTGGACTCGTGTTGAATATACGAAAATAGCTTGTACGGCCGGTGTCTGCAGCAACAGCAGTTCTCCCAAGGTAGCCGTTCCCATAAGAATATGATCGGCCTACTGAAAAAGTCGTCTCCCAACCATCGGACTCGGCACCCAGCAGCCAGCATCGACAAGTTTCTCAGAAGTTTCTAGACTCTTCAGATTCCTGAGCAATAGAGCTAGAGGCTTTTCACGAAATCCAGTTGATTGAAGGAAAATGCTTTGACATATTTAGCTAGACCTGGACGTTCAAGCAATGTGTGCACCAGAAATAGGGGTCCCTCCGTTTGCGACACAGAAATGATAAAGATATGGAGTCGCGATGTCTCACCAATAAGCGTCAACGAGACAAAGATTCGAAGGTTGCTGTTGTTGGGATGATCGTATCGGTAATTCAAAGTGTCCAGCGCCACCGTCCATGGTTCAAGAACTCTATGTATCGGCACCTATTGGCGTGATGACATTCAGGTAAGTAGTTCCTAATAGATCAAAAAGTACTGAGTTGCGACTTAACTGCTACATCTAGAATCGTAGAGTATCTCGTTAATAATAGACTATAAAACTTTGTCATACAATAGACTTCGTAAGGCATTAGAAATGAACACTCTTCGGGATGGCAATGTGCCAACTTGCTACACCTCCATGTACCTGTAACGTTGGATCAAGTTTCCATTCTGTACTGGCTGTAATTTTGACGGTCTCCAGCTACTGTCTGAAGTTTTTCATGAATCATAGGGAGAGTATCAGCATGAATTGCTCTCTCATAATTGGTACCTTACATTAGGAGTTTGGAAACACTTTATCCTATTTACAAATGTCGATACAAACTCCAAAAGACCCGAACCAAGTTTGGTGTTTGTTATTCATCACTGGGCCCCTGCAGTAGCCCCGATTTATATGTTGATCAGCAGGTGACACACCCTCCTTGCCAAGCAACAGTGTCGAAATCTCCTGACTAGATCGCTAGTGTCCACCCTCTTCAGTATCTACTTCGACTTCACTTCCTGAATCACTCTGGTGTCTTCTTGTTTCCAACCTCTGAAATTCCCTCCGGTGAACTAATCCGATTCTCCTGATTTTTTTGGGGGCCTGTGGAAAACTGAGGACTTAGAAGTCAATAGATGAAATGTGAGTCTTTCTCCTCAAAGCTGGGTGAATTTTTAGGCCGGGAAATGATTATCCAGGTATTCTCAGCCCAATTTAACCGGCGCCAATGAGACATCATAATGCTTCAAGCCTGCAGTCAGTCTCAACTCTCAGTAATACAGATCATTTAACCCCACGGGGAGGAAATCAGACCATATCTTATACCCTTGTCACCCGCCCCCCGGGTCATCTCATCCGAAAATCTATTATCATACTCTAACTCGAGCTTCTAAAATTTCGGAATATCCCAGACTTGCGGGGCGCTATGGAAACATCCTTCGTGGTCTCCTATACACCTAGAATGAAATCTCACTTACATTCATGTTATCATGACAATCTCTCACATGCAATGGACATGGCCACACCTGTAGTCAAGCCGCCTTACTTTGGGCTCAGGGGGAAGTCGCTAACATACCGGATCACTTTTGCATGTAGCGTAGACATGCTCATGTTTGGCTACGATCAGGCGGGTATGTGAATCGAAATAGCCATCTGCCCTACTGCTGACGAGTGCGAAGTCTTTAGCGGCGTCATCGTGACTGACGACTTCCTCGAGCTTCACAATCTTGTCGGTCCAGAGAAGACTCGGATGCTGTCTACGATTACAGCGATATATGACATTGGCTGTTTCGTTGGAGCGATTCTAGCGTTTACGATTGGGGAAACGCTAGGTCGAACCAAATCCATCCTGATTGGTACCGCCATCATGAGCGTTGGAGCCATTTTGATGGCGTCGTCTTATAGCTTGGCACAAATGTTTGTTGGGCGCATTGTTCTAGGGTGAGCTCCGCATATTCTCATTGTTCGTTTCGTGTCGAGGTGAGGTCATACTGATACCCACGCAACAGGATCGGCAACGGAGTCAACACAGCTACCGGACCCATTTGGCAGACCGAGACAGCTCCCGCACATTGGCGCGGCAAGTTAGTCATGTTTGAGATGATGATGAATATTGTGGGATTTTCCCTCTGCAACTGGATCAATTTCGGTCTGTCATACGCAGGCGGTGCTGTCGCATGGAGGTTTCCTCTCGCCTTTCAATTCGTCTTCATCATCGCCCTGTTCGCAACGGTTCCATGGCTGCCCGAGTCGCCCAGATGGCTCCTGTCACATGGACGTGAGATTGACGCAATACAGATTCTCGCCTGCCTCGAGGGAAAACTGGAGGATGATGCATTTGTCGTTTCGCAGAAAGAAGAGATACAATTTAGTATCGATTACGAACGAGAGCATAATATACGATGGAGGGATCTGCTGCGACCGCAGCCTGAAGCAACCAAACCTTTACGCCGGATCATCTTGGGTGCCGGCACACAGTTTATGCAGCAATCCGAAGGTAAGAGGGACTTCGGCTCAGAACAGGGTCCAAGTATTTCTGACAAAATCCTTACAGGCATCAATATTATGAGTTACTATATGCCAGCAGTGTTGATCTCTGCGGTAGGCCTATCGAATGAGCTGGCGCGTCTTCTGACGGCTGTCAACTCACTGACTTATCTCATCTTCGCATGCGTCTCAGTAACACTGGTCGAGAGATGGGGGCGGCGAGGGCTGATGCTGCTATCCACTGCCGGTCAAGGCTTGGCATTCCTCGTGATCACTATTCTTCTCAGATACGGTGGACCAGGAGGTAACCGGAGAGCCTCGGAAGGATCCATCGTTTTCTTTTTCCTCTACTTCATGGCCTTTGGCCTGGGTATGTTGGGCGTTCCATGGCTCTATCCAACCGAAATCAACTCGATTGCCATGCGAACGAAGGGTGCCGCATTTGCCACTGCCACGAATTGGTGATACCTATCTCCGAATTAGCATATTTGACTCAACTGATGAGGTATAGGATGGCGAATTATGTAATCGTTCAAATCACACCAATCGGGATTCAAGAATTGGGATGGAAGTTCTGGATTGTGTTTACAGTCCTGAATGCTGCATTCCTGCCCGTAATCTACCTCTTCTATCCCGAAACAGGTAAGAGCACCACAATGCCATTAAGGCTCCGTAGGAAGATCTTACCTTGACCTAACGTTTATTTTAGCAAACCGAACGTTGGAAGATCTCGACGAGTATTATCGCAACGGTCCACCCCTAATTGTTATGAGAGACAAGGACGCAATCGCAAGTAAAAGACCTAAAGAATACGTCGATCGACAAGAAGCACATGTTCAGCGTGTTGCCCATGGTACTGAGGTCATCGAGACTGTTGGTTTACGTATCACGGGGGTGATTTGTTCGATCGAACCGTGGTGACGAAGGGTCAATTAACTTGTATTGATCTCTGCGTGAAGTGGAAAAGAGAGGCTCCAACCGTTGGTTACATCGCCGGTTGAACGCTGATATAGAGACCCTCAGATGGCCCCTGCGCTGGCGCTGACTCGAGGTCGAATTGGGCTTCCAATCCGACAGAGACAGTTGATCGCGCCAGCCCAATCAAACAAATCAAATGAAGGGGTTATATCGTATTACTTCATTCTATTTTTGAAACATACTTTGGTTTCAAATTAAACTTTCTCCCTATCCTTGTGTTATCCATATATTATAGTTAGGTCTAATTATACTTAAATCGACTTTGTTATGGCATATTGAGCTACATATATTAGATCGAAGCTGCAAGTATTTTATTACGTGTTTGATTGGTGTGTTGAATGCATGTGAATGTGTTGGTGCGCTGCAGAAAATGGTGAGAGTTTGGTCTTCTCTGGATGAAAGCACCACACTATGTGAGCCAGGAGGTTATTTCGCAATGCATAATAACGATGTCGAAGGGGTACTCATAAACCGACCCGAATCCCCGAAGTCAAGGTACAGCCTCCTTCAACAATGATGTCGGCATCAGTTATGTAGCAGCACGCATCGCTGGCCAGAAACACGGACACCTGTGTCAAGCAGTTAGCAAATTTGCTTCCTAGACTAAGTGCTTGTCAACATTTGTCTCGCGCCTTTGAGTTCGGATACGTCAGCCATTGGCTTCCCTGGAATCATCCCCATCCACTTCTCGAAGCGCTTCTTTGGTTGAGCTTGTAGCACTCACATCGGTCAATATTTCAAAACCAGCCCATCCGCGTAGTTTCCGTTCCAATGAAACCGAGAGACACGCAATTAACGCGTGCAAAACCAACCCAGTCTACTGCGAGGCTCTTTGCCAGATGCATGGCCGCTGCGTTCGAAGAGCTGTATGCTACCTGCCGCTGGGGAATGATTACAAGCGACGCGCTGACTGACGCAGCAGCATTTAGGTTGCCGCGCCCCTGCTATTCAAAGAACTTTCCATCAGCCTTCGTAGTCCACATGACGCCGTCAAGGTCGACACTATTATTGTCCATCCACGTCTCTTCCGTATACTCAACGCTGGTAACATTAGCGCAAACGCCAGAGTTCGCGACTATGACATCAAGATGCACAATGTCTTCAAGAATCTGGTCCACTGTGGTGGGGATCAAGGCTCGAGATCGAACGTCGCTATGGCAGGCGGGCAGCGCGCCAGCCCATTCAAAATCATCAAACACAACATACAATCAATCAGTCAGATAGAGGTTACGTAACGAATTTAAAAGTGGAATGCCCACGGCCATATCTTTAACATATTAAATCAAATACACCACAGTCCGGTGCATCTGTAATTAGCATCTCTCGTAAAGGTAAAGAGCACAGCATATTTCAACCCGGCATTGAACTCGGAACCTCTGAGATAAGAGCGGAACTGTCGGATAGAATTAGGCGCCTACACTGCTTTCACGAGGTTATATGCGTACAAGTAAATAATATCCAAGACTTGCTTTAAGTCAAATCTATTGCAAATTGATTGAACCATGAAATAGGCGTCCAAAAAAAGAGTCAAAAAATCAAACACAGCCCCCAGATGTGATTTGGTTTTTTGGGCTGACGCGCTGTCTGGGGCGCGGGCGCGAACGCTCATCCACGTGGTCTTTGAAGTTTGACCGGCGATTCCGGTAGCACATAGATGAGAGCTACATCGGCGCCGGCTTCGGCCAGGCCGCGGAATTCCGAGGCGGATACTTCTGGCACCGCCCGTGACGGCGGCAATCTTATCCTTCAGTGAGAATCATGATGGGACAAGGGCGCTCGCATTAGGTGGCTTGTACAGAGGCATGCTGAATGAGGTATGATTGGGACGCTTTCGAAGATCGCGGAGAATATTGTATCTAACCTAAGGTAGTTGATACGTGGAGAGCAGCGGATCCGAGTAGATGCGATTGGGAGGGGTAAGTGAGGGGTTTGGGGAACCACGCCGAGTTGACTGAAGTAATCATGCAGGGGGCTTTCCTCGGGGCTAGGTTAAGAAAACCGTGCAGTCATGGTTCGTCCGAATGAGTCGTGTGTATTGCATCCTTTTCTTTAATGTTTTCCCCCTTGCTTTTGGACTACCCAGGGAATCCTGGCACCGGGAATACGGCATGCATCACCAGTTTCTCTTCTCAACTCTTGTGCTTTGAATGTACCAGCAGCCCTACATTTCTACTATTACCTGGATATAAAAATTAAACTTAAAGGCCGCGAGGTACGGATCCTAGTCCAGGACAGACGGACCAAGAATCAACATATTGTCCAACAGCGCATCACTCGACATTGCCGGTTCTTGACTTGTGTCCACAATTAATCTGGGGAACACCCATGGTTTGCCCTAGTGGCTAGTCTGCGCCCCCGAGCGCTTCGAAAAAAGGGCCAGGGGCTTACAATGCCATTGCCCGTCGCGAACGCGATGCGCAGTCGTTACAAGCGCCCGCGACGGATATGACCGGCCATGGAAACGGATATCGGCTGGGGGGGTTCGCGCCCCAACGCCCCGAAGTTTGCTGTCGATCGTCACCACCAGGCGACACTATAACCCTTTTCACCCTGACTACGGGACGCTAGGGGGAGCTTCATTTACTCTGGGGGATAGCGGGTGCCTTGGACCAGATTCGGCTAGGTCTCGTGGAGAGCCATATGCACCCCAGGAAGATGAATCCGTTTTCTGATCCGCAGCCCCGGCCAGCGCCATGAGTTCGGTGTTTCGTTGTAGATCCTATGCTGTAAGTCCTCTTTAAAAAGCGGCTGTCTGCCGGCTTCGCTAACTGGAAGCGTCCTAGCCACCATCGTCTCTATTGGCGCGCAAGTCTGCCGTTTGATCAAACCGCGTAGTCGAGTAGCCGTCGGATTAGGGACTTTGCGACGTCGAAAAGCATTTAAGGCGACGATTCGGCTGTCTCATTGCCTGTCGTGAGATCACGTCGAGTACCGACTGCTTCACACAACTTCATAGCTAGGGCATCTGCGTCTTCTCTCCCACAACACACCACACCATGGGCATCTCAAGCTTCCTCCTCCTCGGCCTCGGGGGCGCCTCGCTGGCCGCGGGGCAGTCCTTCCAATCGACTCCCGTCATGGGATGGAACTCATACAACCAAGTCTCCTGTAGCCCGACCAACGCCGTCATCACGGCCGCCATCAACTCCTTGTCCGACCGGGGCTTCATCGCCGCGGGTTACAAGTATTTCCAGATCGACTGCGGCTGGGCCTCGAGAGACGGCCAAAGAAACGCCACTTCGGGCGCCTTAGAGGTCAACTCCGACGCGTTTCCCCAGGGCCTGAAGCCTTTGAGCGACCTCGCGAGGTCCAAGGGCATGAAATGGACCATGTACTCCGACGCCGGCGTGCGCATGTGCGACCCCCAGGTCCCGAGTCCCGTCCTCGGCTCACTCGGTCACGAAGCCGCCGACGCCGACTTTTTCAAGAGTCTCAACACGGAGTATCTCAAGTGTGAGTTGGACAAAACCTTGACATTCACCTCTTCGCCTCTGCCACACGGCCTGTGCTGACTCCAACCTGCTTCAAGATGACAATTGCTACGCCGACGGTCCCGCCGCATCGCAGAACGCGCCCAAGGCCCCAAGGACCGACTTTGTCACGCGCTTCACCACCATGTGGAAAGAACTTCAACGCGTCGGCATTCCAGGCATGCTGATCTGCCAATGGGGAGTACCTTACTCGTCACCGAGTGGCCTGGAAGGACCCGCGGAATGGACCAAGGGCATCTCGACATCCTTCCGGCTGTCAGACGACATCGCCAGCGGCTGGGGCAACGTCTACCGCATCTACAACCAGGCCATTCACATCGCCAAGTCCGGCATTATTGGCCCGGGCAACATCGCCGACGCCGACCTCCTCGAAGTCGGCAACAAGGGCATGACCGTTGACGAGCAGGCCACCCACTTCGCCGCGTGGGCCATGCTCAAGTCTGCCCTCATGATCTCCACCGACGTCGCCGCCCTGTCGGCCCAGGCCGTCGCCGTCCTGCAGAACAAGGACCTGATCGCCATCAACCAGGACTCGGCCGTCAAGCCGATCCAGCTCGTCCAGCGCTACTACAATGATGCAGACCTGTGGGCCGGCGACCTCGCCAACGGCGACGTCGCAGTCCTCCTCGCGGAAATGAGAAACGCCTCCCGCCAAATGACCTTGCAATTTTCCGATCTCGGCATCACCTCCGCCACGGTCAAGGATCTCTGGGCAAACAAAACCGTTACAAACGCCAACAGTTACACCGCGCAGGTCAACCCCCACGGCTCCCTCGCTCTCCGCCTCTCCAACATCAAGCGCTCGACGGCCGCCGCCACGAAATACAACTACTTCTCCTTCGCCAACGGCTCCCTGTCCTCCGGCGCGAACCTCCAGTCCTGCTCCGGCTGCACGTCCTCCAACAAGGTCGGCGACATCGGCGGCTCCTCCGGCGGCCGCGTCGTCCTGTCCAACATCACCTCCTCAACGGCGGGGACGCAGACCGTCTTGTTCGACTACATCAATGGCGACGTCGGGTACCTCGGCGGCGGCAACAACGAGCGCCTCGCGTCCATCACCGTCAACGGGGTCACTGGGCAGACGGTCAGCTTCCCTCTCAGCGGCTATAACTGGTCCGCCGACGTCTTCAAGGGGTACAGGGTCGAGTTGAAAGGATTCCAGGCCGGTAGCGCCAACACGATTAGCATTACGGGTGTGGGAAGTGCGTGGGCGCCGGACTTTGACCGGGTTGGCGTAGCTGCGTAGATGTTTAGGTTCATATAGTTTAAGGTTGCAGATTTATTCGTAGATTAGTGCATGTAGCCATCCATCACTACTTCTCCTGAGACACGTTCATACCAATGAGTGCAGTGTTGGCGAAAATTGCCCTAAATAACCAAGTGCGTATCGCAAAAGTTAGCGGGTTTCCAACCATCAGATACGCACTCGGGCAGCGTAGAACGTGTTTGCCATGCTTCGTCTATTTCCTGTTCATCACGGAGCCAAACTTCCTGTTGAGAACGCCCTCTTGTCAGCAAGCATTCACAAAACCGCTTGGCATCCAGCTGTTACTTGAGGCAACTGAGGTACATTTGGTAAATCACTTCTTCAGGCCGTCTCTTTCACTCTTACTTTCGACTACGTCCAAAACGCATGGCATATAGTTCAACAATCACACTCCAGCCACCATTTACGACGGCCCCCTAATCTCTGCTAAATACTTTACAGTTCCGTGATTCCAGGTCAGCAGCGGCATATCCAACGATTGCCAAATTCAGTAGCACTGGAAACAGCCGGAAGGTAGAATGAGGGCAAGTTTTGGGAGTGCTAAATATATTGTAATCATCCACCAGGAAGCTAACATATATGTAGCTAAGGGTCTCCAATACGCCATTTTCCCTAATGCAATTTCCAATTCTCAACATCAAGACCCGCAAGATCGCTTCCTTGCTCTTGAAACTGATGCCTGAACTCGACTACTTTGACTCCCAGCTTCTCGATCTCTGTAAATTCAGACTGTGGACCTTTGACGCAGTCACAAGCAAAGTGCAATGTCTGAAATTCCGGAAGAGCACCACGGAATACCTGGGATGCCAACGTGGAGATTCCGTCATACTGGCGTCGGCCCCTATAATCTATTTCATGCTCCCAATTGCAGCCCGACAAGAACAGCGTGCGCAGTGAAGTCGGCAATGATTCGAAAAAGTCCCGTGTTCGGAGCTCTTCGTACCAGCACCTGTTGTCATTCCTGGAGCGGGCGAGTTCCAAACGAAGAGTTTCCAGGGAGGTGAAGCGTTGCAACAAGTCCGGGCCATTACGGCCCCACGTTGGACAGTTATAGTCACAGCCGAGGCTCAGTCGCAGCCGTTTGAGAGTAGCTGCTAGAGGCTCCAATGCGACTAGTACATGGCCTACTCTCGTGCTCTCCGGAGCGAGAATATGAATCTCTTCGATGGCTTTGCCGTATTTGCAAAACGTCTCCAAGTTCTTCAGGAGCATGCCTTCTACCTTTCCACCAATTTTCAAAGTCGTGAGGTTTCGGAACAATTTTTCAAGACAAGGCTTTGTAGAAGACTTGATTGGCGCATAGTTGAATAGGGCGATGGACGTCATGTTCGGCGCGACTTGAAGTGTGCGAAAGATATCATTGGCATCGTAGATGAGGAGATGACTTTTCGCTTTCGTCTTCATCACACCAAGTGCAATGTGAGCCAGATTGTCAAGTCCTGTCCATGATCTTCGAGGCGGTGTCAATGCCAAACTTTTGGCAGAAGCCACCAGGCTCGTTAGAATGCTGTGCGGCCAGTGGACTTGTAGCTTTACGTGCTTTACCCGAGGCGTATGTGACAGTAACATGGCCGCCAAGAACGACTGGAGTTCCTGGTCAGGTGGCATCTGCGGATCCATTCGGTATGCATCACGGCGGGGGAAGTACATTCCCAACTCTTTGCTTCTTGTCTCGAATAGCGTTGCTTCTTCTTTTCGATATCCACGTGAGCTGGGAAGATTATTCAGAGATACAGACTCAACATGTTTGCCAAGACCAGGGCATTCAATCAGAGTCCTGAGGAAAAGCGGAAGAGTCTTTGATGATCTGTAATTTCGGTAGAGAAGCTGCTGGCCAACCCTACGCCAGGCTGGACCGACGAGACAGACCTTGGACAGATTTCGTCGGGCCATTGACGCAACCCACGACTGCCATTCTGTGATCTCGGAAGATTCGTATTGCTTGTTGAGACCTGATGCTATGCGAAGGAGAATCTCGTCTGGGAGATGAGAGCTTCTGGAGGGGGGGTGATAATCCAAGATGGTGATTGGATGGTGAGATGCTAGTGCTATTTCTGGTGCCGTGAACTCAAGAGTGTTGGAGGTGTTTGAAGCCATCTTATTTTGGAAGGTTGGACAGGAAAGAGGTTTTGTAAGTTGTCCAAGCCGAGAAGACTGAAGAAATACGACAGCTCATATCTTCTCCTTCATGAATTTGATGTGTTGTATCTCCGCTACTCAGCGGGAGCAGTTTGTTACATAATGGTCACGAGGCGCTATACTGTGGATTAGTTACTCCGCATGGCCTGACTTCATTGGGGCACCTTTGCGTCCACCATGCCAAACACCCGGATGGAGATATTGATATCTACCACATGCAACAAAGAGTTGAATGATATAGTCCAAAGAAGTATCTGGATCGCACTTGGTCCTCTTCCTCGCGTTGATAATGTCACGAAAGCATCATCATCATCAAATGGCCATCTACATTAACCTCGGGATTCAGGACACCTGTTTTGTAAATATAGGGGTCGGCTTTTCTCAAACTTCTCTTACTAGAACTCAGTATCTTTATCCATAGTCTGTGCCCCTCTAAATCATGACAAGTAATGCAGTTGTCTCATTGATGAATATGTCAAGAACATCCTGGTCGGAGTGCATGTCATGCAATTACTGACAAGCAATCGTAGATGATTCAGCGCAATACGACAATGAAAGGTCAGGTGGTGTAAACACAACATTTATTTTGTGACTTCATCCTTCTGGGTACCTCCTCCAAGTAAAACGAGAGAATCTTTGAGATGACCAAGGTGCATGGCTGTGTACGGCTGGGAAGACCGAGAGACTACAATAAATTGACGATTCAACCGAAGACGCAGAGCAAGGAGGGAAAACTTCAATTGAAAGTCTCCATCGTCGCCATTGGTGTAAACAGAACAATCGATAAAGCTCCGTTCCCAAGTAGATCCAGGTTCTTTCCACGCCATCCGCGTATCTAACTTCTAACGGTTGGCATCTAGCAGGTAAAGAGGCTGGGACCGGGAATCGTGTACGACTCGACTGGAGGCCAGTCTAAGTACCATTCTGATTAGCGGAAATGTATTTGGGAAGTGTCTAGGGGGCGGAAAAGAATAGACATACAGATATTGATTGTGACTCCGGGGTCGGTTCCCTACAGACAATAGTCAGTTCTCATGTTTAGAGATCAGAAATCCAATATCTAGAAACACAGCTGCTTACTTTGTAGGCCCCGGGCAAGCTAACAGTGGAAGGAGTCTTGGTACCGGTCCCCCCCACAACGTTGATCTGAGCACATTCCATGTAGAACTGGGCACCCGGGTAGCTGCCAGCGCCATGCAGGGCAATCATCTCAGCGCGGAGGAGGTACTGGCCGGGAGCGATACACTCTGGAATCTTGATACTATGGCGGCCCTGGCCATTAATCACCTTTTCGGTGCCCCACACACCACCGCTGTAGCCATCTTGCTGGATCTTGAACCAGCCGTCCCCGACGCCCGTGTCGGTGGTGGCGTCGCTGACTTTCTTCAGGTAGGCAATGGTCGGGCCCTTGTGACTGCTGTCCATGACATCCGCGGGGGCAGAGCCGGTGGAGCTGAGCATGTAGCGCCAGATGGCGGTGACGTTCTGCCCGGCCTGGACGGTGATGATCTTTGAGGTGGGCGTCGTGGGGTTGGGCGCGCCGTTGCATGCGAGGGAGCTGGAGGTCACGTCCTCGATGGGACCGTTGTAGGAGGGAACGCGGACGCCGTTGCCGACGCCCTGGTTTGTGCCGCCGACCTCGAGAGAGGAGAAGATGGTGTGAGCGCTGGCCATGCTGGCCATCAGGAGAGAGATGAGGACCTTCATCGTGAGCTCGCGTTACGGGGCTTGTCTGGAAAGAGAAGGATTGTATGAAAGAATGAGTTTGTGCTCAAACGCGCTCGGCTTGAGTATGGCAGTGATGAATAGAACAGATTATGGGTAACGAACTGGAAGGGTATATATAGGAGTTGAATTTCCGCAACAGATGGGCCAAGGAAACACCACGACTTTCCCACTCCTCGTCGGAGGGTTTCCCGTTCAAGGCGCTTTGGTCCAGGTGATGAGAAGCCAAGAATGCCATGCCGGCGACACGCCGACCGTGATGTTGCCATGTCACGAAAGCCAGGCGAATCCTCTGCCTTTATTAGGTCGGGAGGATCATCAGCCAGGGCTCCAGGTGGATCGACGGAGGATGATGGTCCGGATAACACAGCAATATTGCTCGGAGTTGGTACCGATATTCCCGTTCGCCGTGACCCAAGCTTCTGGGCTTTCATTTAATCAATGTGTTTCAATTCTTGCTAATTCATTCGTCAGTTTCTGCACGCATTGCACGTTTACCCAGCTGTTGGTTCTCGACCTTGCCATGGCTGTATAACTGCTTTGGGCAGGACGGCGTTGATTGACTAACCAGAAAGACATGCACGGCAATGTATTGCTCTGCAGTCTCGATACTGGAGTCATGGCTCAGTCAAACAACTGGCGAGTTTGAGTCTCCAACACACTCTTGATGCACCGACCAAGACTGAATAACCTCAAAGTACCATGTAAACACTGATGGATATTGAACCTTTGTCTCCCTCCCATTAGATTTAGCCTGATATTCCCGGGGAGGGGGGGTTACATACAGTCTAGAAATTTTAAACAAGTCCTGCTTGGTCATATACGCGACTGGAAGATTCAGCTAACCCTTACTCCTCCGAAACCCTGAAATCGAAATAGTCGTCGTACTTACGATTGCCTCGCTTCTCTATCAGACATAGTGAACCTCTTCACCTGTGGATGGGTGGCTTATGTATTTTGATCAGGTCTTTTGCATTCTCCAATACTTGCATGTATTCAAGTCCCTTCGTTCTCTTTCTGAGTTTTACGGTAATGTTTGCTCGAAAATCTGATCAATGGCTCTGATCAATTGCACGGGCACTCATGACTCTGCTGTGCTCGTTTTGAAACAAATTTCATTATTACAGTAGTGAGAGAAAAGAAATTTGAACTTACAAGTGGGAAGGAGCAAAAAAGGGAAAAAAATGAAATCGTCTAGCATCCATGAAAATCGGATATAAGACGAGATGGTCGTTTGTAAATACACCGAGACACGTCAAATACATATGTTACCTAGTTCCCTTCTGGGACTTGTCAATTGTAGTACGAAGTTGCGATGGTCAGTAATTCCGAAGCCATAAATGTGACGCGATTTGGGGTGAATAATGAGTTAGTTGCTTGAACTTTCAACTGCAGTGTTTTCTTGTTTGACTTTCAATCAATTGAACTTTTAGACTTGGAACAACACGGTCATGCACGTTACGCAGGGGAAAAAATTCTAGATCGATCATTGTCACCAAATGGAATTTTTTGCTTCCTCTTCGGGTGGCTTGCTTAGTAGATCCACTAACTCATCGGTTCCTGCACTAGACCACGCAAAGATTCCTCAGAGCCCTGCCAGGGTGGATATTTTGGCTGAAGGATGCGGTATTAGTGCGATCGATGATTACTGTTTCCTGACAGAAACTTTCGGCCGATCTACCGGCCCATGTGGACTCTTCCGAGCAAATGAGATTCGTGATTTGGATGTGCTACTGCTAGTTAACTGACTATTCTATGGATGACGACAAGAGGACTTGATCATTATGTCACCTTTCCTACGATTCAAGCAGCGCAAGGTCACGTTACCTGCAAGCTTGGCACTCGTATCGAGTTACGTAACACTATTTCCCCCTTTCTCAGATTATCGTCTTGGCGGCCCAGTGAGATTCACAACCACGACCAGTGGAGGATCAAAAGAAGCTTTTCCAAGGCCTTGTCGCACCCGTGCAGCGCGCCTAGAAATAAACCTTCCACGCCTCCGCATCGACTTCTCCCATCAGCATCATGCCCTCGAGAAGTGACGGGGCCGGAACTTCCCAAGTTCCCATTGTTTGCCCACCGAAAGAGCCACGAGTCGTGCGGGAAGCCTGGTAGATTTGCTCCCCACTTCTCTCCATAAAACTAGATTCACTTTTGATCAACCGTTGGCCGCTGACCAGTAGTAGAGCCTCAAGCGAAAGGAGGCCCATGCCCTCGCAATCTACCAATCATCCCGCCTGAAACCAAGCAAGGGCGAGATGGGCTCACGGCAGTGCAAGCTTTAGTGCCAAGGAGGTCACTGGAGGATTGTGTGCTGTGTAGATCCGACAATCACGTCCGAGGTGTGCGCGCGGGAGCTCTCACCGGGGAAAAAAGCAGCGAGTCTCCGGGACGAGGTTCTCCACTATTTGTGACGTGACGATCCAAATGAGTCGGACCTTTAGCCAAACCGAGCGAGCTGAATTACAAAATAGAGCGCGGTGCCTCGAATGCTCGATTCAAGGCCCTCCAACAACGGGTGAAGTCGACGGGTTATGTCTCAGTTCAGTCCGCTCCAAAAAAGCAAATGGCGGCCCGGTGAGGACGTACCTTGGTCTACACTAGGTCAGGTTAAGTAAAGATAGAAACCAACGAACACGAGAAATCTTTGCCGTGGTGTTCCGCGACAGCGTTACTTGGGGGTGTGCCAAATGCACCTTTCGGCGCTATGCCTGCTTTAGTGGCGACTCGAAGCATCGAAGCGAGAGATACGGTAGGTAGATAGAGAGAGATAGAGACAGAGAGACAGAGAGACAGAGAGACAGAGAGACAGAGACGGCGAGAGGTCTGGCCTGGGCCGGCCGGAGAGTCTGCGCCCCTTTCTCGAACCCACTTGGGCCAAGTGGAGGGTCACATTTTGGCAAACAAGAATCTCGACAAAAAGTCCTGATTCGTTTGCCATGTGAACCCACTTGCCGCGTGGGAGGTTGCATTAAGCAGTCCCATCGAGAATTTCGATAAAACTGTTGGGTGTTTATTACCATTGCGCCTGTGGCTCATTTGCCTAAGTTTCTCTCTTCCCTTCCCCGTTGCGCGCGTACCATCTTCTTTGCGAGTTTCCGGCCACCACGTTCTTTTGATCAACAACTCTTCCCACCCCTTCCACTCTTTTTAACTTAAACTACTCGTAAGGTTTAAGATCAACAACCACAACCCAGTTGATTAACTTAATCGTATTCAACGTCCGCTCTTTTATTCGATTTATAGTTCACCTGTAAATCAGCCCCCGAGTCGTCATAATGGCTGTCCGAACCGCCGAAGTAGCTGCCCCAGCTATCAGCGCCGCACCGACCGGTACTCCCGTGCCCGTCGCGACGGTGGCACTCACGACGACCTTCACACCGCCCGCAGAATGTGCCGAGAATCACTTGACCATGTTGGTCGGCGCCCTCGAGAAGATCTGGATTAATGAGCCCGTACCTCTGCCCAACTCAACCCTCGCATCCTGCTATCCCACGCAATGGGTCACTGGCTACTCATCCGCCCTCTCCGCATCCAGCTCCATCGCACCCTTCATAAGCCCACTCGTCTGCCCGAGTGGTTATAATGCCGAGAGCAGCACCTGGTCGAACGGATACATTGCCTGCTGCGCTTCGTACGTTCTTCCCCCGGCACCATCGCTTGGAGCCAAGAAACAGCCAAGAGGATAATGTTCAAAATGCTAATTCCCTGAAAATAGTGGCTTCACCTTTGCCGCACCCGCCAAGACTGCCGACGCCGATCGCCCGGCGTACGGCGGTACATGTTACAGCAACTTTGAACTCAGCCAGACCGCCACCGTCACCGTCTACAACCCCGAAGAGCTCTCCACGACCATTGCCTGGGTCGCGACAACAACGCCCGCGCAGGCATACGCCCACCCCATTGACGGAATTGCCGCAGACTACACACCGGGCGCCTCCTCCTCGGGCTCGAGAACAAAGACCAACAGCGCCGGCGTGGCCGTGGAGACGGATAAGAATGCCGCGCCTAGACTGGGAGGCAACTCGAGGGCGGCATTCGTCGTTGGTTTCCTGCTTGCGAGTGTAATGATGTGGTAGATTCCCCACCTTTCCCTGACGGTTCTGACCAGCGGTCACAAAAAAACCCTCAGCCATTTTATGTTACGACTCAAGATTCTGCTTCTTTCAACTACCGGATTATCGAGGGAAAACGGCACTTCGCCAGGTCATGTCATTTTTTGCAATATTACGAAAGAATATATGTATTCTTTGGGTCCACCTTACCTCTCTAGTAGTCTTTTATACTACATATTTTTGAACCACACTTTACACGGCTCATCCTCGTCGGTGTGAGGGATCGCATGTCAGATACCAGTCGCACCACTGGTACACATGCACCATCCAGCTTCGGGTTGCTCAGGTTTTGATCACGGTATGCGTATGGCCGCATATGTCAACAATCTGACCTCACCTCAGCGTTCTGAATCACATTCAGCCTAGACTCAAACAATTTTTTTGATACTTTGCTTCGATTCCAAAGTGTCCCGAACGCCAAACAACTTGCACACCAACGTTCGACCGTTTTCTGCTCTTCTGTCTTCAATGATGCGTCAATTGCACCTGGGTTGGGGTAGCCACCCGCGGCCATGATGCTGCATGTAGGCAGCACCGCCCCTATCAATGTCGAGGGCGAGTTTTCGATGGAAAGTAATTTGAGGATCTCCAGAAGAAACAAGTTTCTCATAAAAGGACAGCTAGAAGAATGTGCTTTGAACGCATGAAATGAATATCAAGGTGCTCTGACACAATACATGGAATAGCACGAACGATGAGGTACAGGCGAAACTATGTTAGGATTTTCAGGTGCTTTACGTATAATTCAACCTTCACCCTAGTTAAACCTAATTTGGAAAAGCTCCTTAGATCTAGGTGAGCCTCGAATGTTCATCAGATTTGATTCAATGCTTGATAATGACGTAAAAGCCGAGACACAGCCCTGGAAACTCCGAGCTAATGACTTGACCCGGGCCAGGGTAAAATCCTCCGGGAGTGGACGCGGCTACACTAATCCCACCCTGAATGCGGGGGAAACCTGGTGGCCACAAGCTACCTGGCTATGCACAAATTCTGCAGGGAGAAAAGGAACAAGTCAGAAACGAGGATCACGCCGGATATGCAGAGATATGCTACGCTGATCTTTACGTCGGAGGAAGGCATATGCTCCAGCTGGAACATCGAGGTATAGAGGATTCTTCTCCCTGAAACAGGTTGACCCGTCACGAAAACGGCCGAGGCCACCCATTACGCGGTGGAAGAACTTTCGCTAAACTCACCTCGTGCTAACGCTTACACGCGGCCGCGCAAGATCTGCGCTTCCGAAGAGGACGTCACTCTGAAGACCGTCATTGCCCGCTACTGAGACGCAAAGGGTCCTCAGGCTGGGCGGAAGAATATCGCCGCTGGGCTCCAAGACCGCTCTGCCAAGGTCATGGCCATTTTTTTCATCAAGAGAAAGACCGCTTTATAGTCGTGCTGACTGTATGGGTGGTCTCAGGACTGTCGCCAGCGCTGGTTCCACTCTCTTGATCTATCACTCAAGAGGGGTCGATGGACAGCAAAAGAGGACCAGATTTTATTGTCGGCTTGTGCTCATATGGGTCCCACATAGCACGAAATTGGTATGCCATTCACTTTGTCAGGTGGCCGACCTGTGATACTCCCAGCCCTCTTCTGCGAAAGGCTTCCTGATAATCGGGAGCAAGGACGACCAATTCTCGAATAGATATATGGATATCCTGAAACGAAAAGTCACGGACCGCCTTTGCAACTGGTCACAAGAGAAAAATGAAATTCGACGAGAAGGTGTCAGGACGCTCGGTCGCCGGTGGTCCGCATTGCCGATAAGACTACCTGGCCGGCCGCTTCTCACCTATCGTAACAAATGGAGGGCATTATCAAAACATCAAAAAGAATAATGCTACTAACATATACAACTCCCTCTGAGCCTTACATCACATCGATCGGTGCACTAGCAATGGATATTCCTGCCTCGCCTGGGATACCCGCACCCCCTTTGACCTAGCCGTTTACCAAAGCGGATGCTGACTTGGGGGTATCACCGCAAATCAATCGATCATCTGTGGTGCGTAACTCAGTAAGACTTGTTCCGATCAATAATACTACCAGACATCCACCGAATTCATCGTCAAAGCCAGGCCATTGTGACCACCCTCTCAGTCTGTCGGTTTCTTCGCCACTGATGCCTTGCAAAGTCAGCCAGCGGAGTCTTCTAGAAACCTAGAATCACCGCAACAAGTCGCCCACAAGCATCGTCATTATCACCATCATTACCACGACCACCGCCATGATCACAACCGTTATTATCATGAGCAGTCATTACTCTTAGGGGTTTATTACTCTAAGACCAGTTGAACTCAAGCCAAGGTTGAATCTATGCAGTCGCAGTCTTGACCGTCTTTCCTTGGGAGGTGGAATATAGTTTTGATCCAGTTTGAACAGTTTACTCCCGTGTAAGTATTGATTCTTGTGTACATGCTTTTCTGTTTACCATCCCACATGTATCAATCAGTTATTCAGTCAATGTACAACTTCATGCATGCATCGTCTTGTGCTGGCATGGGAATTCGCACACAACGTGCTGACGCTGTGACGGCATTGGAGGTGCAATATGAGGCATGTCGTAGAGTAATTCCATGCCTCTTTTAGGAAGACTCCATGGGAGACCTCTACAAAACTTCCCGTCAAATCATCGGATATCCAACACTTATCAAGAGTACATCTAGTTTAGTAGTCTACATAGAATCCCTGTCCTTTTTATTCCTTACAAGATGCGGCAGGTACCTAGTTGACTGTTTCTTATCAGGTAGTTGCATGAGCTTGACGATCAACCTTGAACCCCACGGTATGGTCAAAGGCGGCGAGAAATACTAATAGTGATTTGCTTATTCAGAAAAGCATGCAACACTCATGCCGCACCGGGAAACTCTAGCTGCAGAGCTCAGGTGGGGGTTTTCAAGAAGGAAGATGAAGATAAAAAACTCATACACAAATCCTCTTGAGACCGTTACTAAACCAATCAGTTGTTGGTGACCTTGGCGACCTAGAAATCGTTTTTGTAATGATCAAATTTGAAATTACACTAGGTATGCATAGCACCTATCGTAAACTTAAGACTCATTGTCATAAAAATTCATTGTGACCTCGCTGTATGGCGTTCCATGAGCATTGGCGCAGTGGCTGTACTTTTCAGCATTACAAAGTTGGCTGGTAAGAGCCAAGATAAAGACTAAAAAGACGGCCAATTAACTTATGATGGACGAATCTTCAAAAGGTGAGAGATGGACATGTATAGCAAGGATAACTCTATAGAGAGAACTTTCAACTCTTTGTCAGCTGGCTCTTCTGTGTTGACTCTTGCTAGTGAACGAGATGATACTGTGATTATTGAAGTCTGGAATAGCTTTGCTAAATACCCATGTTACTTGTGCCTGTGTCTCCGTGCGTTTGCAAAACGGGCCCGTGGAAGGCATAACACCCCAGCAGGCGATATCATGGATTTCAAGGGCATTGTAATGTAATTTGACTTCAAGTAGTCCTCTGCCATATAAGAGCTATCAGGAAGACACTATAGGCTTTTATTGAAGGCTAATTTGAATTGCCGTTGAAGATAAACGTGGGAGCAAGACAAACAGAAAAATGAGGGTCGTTGATTCAAGAGCTATAGAGAGGGGCGAGATCCACAACACCACTGCGCCGACAACTTTTAGCCGAGTACTAATGTCATCAACTCTTAAACAGGATTTCATTTAGTGACTGTCCACTTGCGTTTAGAAACTTGAGTCGTACAATAGTGTGCATGCATGGAAGGTCCGTAAAAAACAGCCACCTGTGCAGGGCAAAAAGTCAAAAGACATACAACACCAGGTATTCGCTGATCGTCACCGACTCAACTACTAATCTGGCCCTCACTGGCTTGTCTATGGGAGAGCGGACGGGGTCCCGAATTTTCCAGTGGGTGTGGTCGTATGTGCTAGAATGGTGACGTTAACTTCATTATATTGGAATGTAAGCATGGTGTTGGAGCTTGAAAATGCTCCAGTCCTCAGTGTGGCGCATGTCACTTGCCCCTTGCATCAGGTCACATTTATTAAAGTGTTTCGAGAAGGTTTTTGTCTAGGGAAGAGAAGATTGGAACAAATTGTGCTCGGGGAGGCTTCCTGAGTTCAATAATCAACTTCCAAGTGGCTCAGATTTCAGCTTCTTACCTTGCACATACCGCCATTCAATCACTTGTGGCTTCGATGCCTCCCGCCTTATTGTTTTTGCGCCGGACACTATCTCAGTTTTAGAGAGCGGTTCTAAGCTTCATCTCGTTTATTCGGTCTCCGACGTCTTCAAGTCCAGTCCGTCCGGCCTCGCCATGTCACTACTCCAAGTCATCAACACGACCCTTCAGGCCTCAAAGGATTAATTCGAATCGACAACAGCGGTCTTCCAGGCGTGCCCTAAACATTCATTTGTATCTTAGTATCTCTGTGAGATTAAGGTGGTTTAAAGGACGAGTACTCCTGCATCAATGCAAGGGTTGTCATGACAGCCGATTTAGCGCTCCGAAAAAGTATCGCCTCGAATAAGAACAAGATGATTTGAGATTGCAGACAAAACAAAAAACCAGTGATGAGGTAATCTCCAATTCTCATGTGTTTCTTTCCCCATTGAAAGTTGACCATAGTTGAAGGTAATGCATGGCTCCTAGGAGTTGCAGTCATGAGACTAACACACTTTACAACACTGTCGGGAAATGAAAGTAAGACAATTTCGATAACCTTAAAAGCAATTTGCCCTTTCTAACTAGGGTGCCGTAAGCACCTATCCTCTCTACCAATGAACAATCTCAAATGCGATCGAAACACTGAAATCTTCTCATCATAGTTGCCTGGATGTTTACCATCTTTGATTCCATTGGCGCATCTCAACCACTGTGGTCAACACCACCTCCAACAGAAACGTTTCCATCACGGAATTGCCATACCATTCACGTTGCTCGCCGGTTCAAAAGTGGAATCGGATGTGCAGAAAGTTGTATCTTTTAGGTACTACAAAGCGGAAACGTCGAAGAATAGAAATTCTAGATAATATCATGTGTCAAATAAGTTAAGTGAGCCTAACGGGGCTCATTTGGGCGGTAGTCATTTTCGTTTCTATGGATCCTGTGAAAGAACAGACACCACAATTCAACATCACACAGCTTGCAACTCTCTGCTTTCTTTCCGGAACTTTTCAGGGATAGCTAGATAAGTCTAGTAGAGCTGTAGTTGATTTGAGGGTGGTATGTAACGCCTTCCTCGAAAGAGTCTCAGCTTCCAGAGTTTTCAGCCTCTAAGAGCTTACATGACGGCTTGCCCGCGTGAAGTAAGTCAACTGAAAAAGATGAGGAGCCATAATATCACTAGGAAAGCACTGACATGAGAAATAGTGAGGAGCTGGTTTTTCGTTCCAGAGCGTGAATGAGGCCGAGGGCGAGTGTGGCTGCTTCTGCGACAAATAGAGAATCATGGCCACCCAGATAGGTATTCTTCAGTACATATTACACGCGAAGTGCAAATAAATTATTAGAATTCCCCCATCAATAAAGCCACAATTGCATCTTGGAGCAGCGCCTCATCGCTCGCCTCATAGCCTCATAAATGCATAACGCCGACTTCCCTCAGAGAGAAGCGCTGAGATCAACCAAAACCTTGACTTGGTTATCCTTGTCCGTGATCAAAGCTTTAATACCATGCTCTACTAGGTCGTCAAGTGGGATCTTCCGCGTGATCATGGAGACAGGCTTGAGAGCTCCTGGTCGCAAGTCAGTTAGTAATGGGCCAAACGACCAAAGCGAATGAGAATCCTTACCTGTTCTCAAATTCTCAATCACGGCCTGGTAATCTGCCTTCTGATATCCGAGGACAGACTTATACGAGCTTTCTCTCCATGTTACCCAATTCGGATTGAAGGGAATTTCCTTTTCCCAAATGGCAACGTTGACAACCGTGCCGCGTGTTTTTACCGCCATGCACGCAGCTTTCACGCTATCCCCTATGTCAGTAAGACAGCTCATTGAAATAGTTTTGAAGGATGGAATACCTAGCCGGAACACCCGCACAGTCAAGGGTGACATCGGCACCAATGCCACCAGTAATCTTCATCACCTCCTCCGTGACATCTTGGTTCTTGGGATCGATGATATGCGCCGCGCCAAACTCCATTGCGAACCGCTGCCGGGCTGACGAAATTTCCGCGACTATGATTTTCGTCACCCCCTTCGCCTTCAAGCACAGCACGGCAGCCAACCCGATCGGACCGCCTCCCATCACCAAGACATTCGACCCGGGCGTGACGGAACCGGCAGCGACGGCATGCCAAGCAACCGAAAGTGGCTCCACCAAGGCGCCCAGCTCGAGGGAGATGCCCTCGGGCAAAGGGAAGACCTGATCCGCGGGCACTGACACCGCCTCGCTCAGGCCGCCACCCCCGCCGCTGAGTCCGATGAAGCCGCCGGTGTGGCACGCGTTCTCGGCACCGGCGTTGCAGGCCGCGCACTTGCCGCAGTAAATCGTGGGCTGCACTGCGCAAGGGAGGCCGACCTTGAGATGCTCCTGCTTCACGTCTGAGCCAATTTCCTTGATGATGCCGGAGAATTCGTGGCCGAGCGTCACGGGAATCTGGTCGCCCGTGACGGGATGTCTGGAGGAGGGGCAGAAGTTGGGGCCGCCGAGGTACTCGTGGAGATCAGTCCCGCAGATCCCGACGAATGCCGGGGTAATCTGGGCAAGACGAAGAAGTACGTGTCAGTGTTAAGCTTGAACTCCAAAGGCAATGTAACCGTCCCTACATTTTCCCCGCGCGGGGTAGACGCCGGGCGGATCAGATCCTGAGCAGGGTCTATATACACTCGGGGTATCTCACCTTGATCTGATTAGGACCGCATGGGGGCTCTGGTATCTGTTCGATCCGGATATCTTCCTTGCCGTAGTACCTTGCAGCTCTCATGGTGATGATTGGACGTATGGCGTTCGAGGTGTGAAATTGGAAGGTGATAGTCGAAGGAGATGGTGGGAAGATGGGTATTTGTATTTATGTAGTTGACGGCTGGACGAACGGAAGCCCGGTAAGTGACAGCTTATGCTTTCTCCTCTCGTGGCGTTACTTTGTCGTCCCAACGTTGCCGGTTCCGCAGGTGTGTCGGTATCACTGCGGAAATAGTGCCAGTCGGGCCATCGTATGATCATCAACCGCATTGAGCGCGTTCTAATGCCCCGCACCGTCAGGCCACGTGCTTAGCGGCAAACATCAAGGATTTTTTTCTTGTTTTGAAGTCTTGTCAAAAGACTAGGTACGGCGTGAGGAAACCGATATTTGACTAATAGGTACTGCGACGCTACCACTAGCATTGGTCGTTTAATAAGTTTTACCACTTGATGTAGAGCGTGATCCCTGCCAATCATACCTACCTTCAAACGGCCTTGAAAGATAAAGCTGGGGACGAAGTGGCTTTACTATGATAAGCCCTTGTAAATTCGACTAGAATACCTCACACATGATCGCTGAATGAGGAAAGAAAACCCATTTTCGTCGTCTACAGTTGTCTTTGGGATTGATGTATTTGGAATGGAAATCACCAAGAGCCACAAATAAGAAACTCTTCAAGGTGAGCAAAAAACCCTACCCGTGTTCCCACTACAGATGCCTCGCCAAAATGACCTTCACCATAACCTGGAAAAGAAGCCAAGCCTGCAATTTCCCTGGACTAAGTCTCGTGCTTTTTCCTTTTCCATCGTGCTCAAAATCATGGGTATCTTTGCTCCCTGCCCCCTCTCAGCCCATCCACCTCCATCGTCACATATGCGGCCTGCACTATGGGTTTAGCCGCTCGTCTCAACTTGGCATTAGCTTCCAAGTGTTTCCAAACTTATTGTTGCTAAGAGCAAGTTTAGAGATCTCCTTGACTGCAGAAAATAATTAGCATGACGTACAACCGGTAAAGCCTAGCTGTAAGTCCTACTCGGGCACAGCATACTTACAGTCGTTCCAGGTCATGGGATCCTTGGTCTCATCGGCAGACTGCCGCCAAAGTCTTGCCATCCAGCTGGTCACCAACAGATCCAGCTCCTTGGCCTCCATCGGCATTGTGATGTTTAACTGAGGCATTCCCAGCAATTTCTTCTCCTTGTCCCTCTTAGCGACCGTTTCAATAGCGACGACCTCTTCCCTCATGTTTTTCCAGTGAATCTTATCCTTATGCTTTATACGATGTGCCGCGCTATCTCCAGCTTTGAAATGATCCTTGACCGTCCATCCAGTGACACCGGGCATCAGATGAACTTCCTTAAAGGTCCTCTTCGAACTCGTCTGACCCTGAATGACTGTAACATCGCTCAGTTGCATTTTGAAGCTTTCAAGTCCCTTGAGAGGATCTTGAGTAAAGTCGTAGATGTGGTCCAACCTCGTCCTCACTTTGTCGCTGCCAGGCGATGAAGAGACTCTGTAGACCACTTTCTGAATTCCATACACTGTCGACTTTGCGTTGGTAACGATGTTGCTCAGCTCATAGAGCGCACGAGGTGGTGAAGTGTTGGCGAAAACCGTCGTTTTGTCCAGAAACAGTGTCGGTGTCTCTCCGCAACTGAGTTGCGCCCGTGACTCGCTGATGGCGTTGTCATACGTTGGCGGCTCCACGTCTACATCTGGCATGGATGGCTTGGCAGTCATTTTCGATAGTAGGTATGAAGTGCGATCCGATTGCTTAGTCGTTCTAACGCGCAATGAAGTATTGTAGTATTGTAAGAGATTATTACAAGGTGAATGGTGTAAAATTTATGCTGCCGTGTATTCGGGGTTCGGGGGCGGTCGGCGTGGGAACCATCCTCAAATAAGGGATTCATGCGTTCTTTATTGCTGTAAGCTCGCAATCACTGTGACACGTGTACTACATGTAGACAGTCGTGAGTGGCTGAGTGCGGAATGAGGCCACGCCCTGCTCATGTGTTCTCGTCTGTAGGCTGCAGCCAAGAAGAATGATACGCCTTGTTGGTCAATTTTGTTCTGGAAGCTGACTGGGCACCTCAATTCTGCATGAGAAGACGGGGCATGATTTGCGGGCCTTCCATGTCATTGGCCGTATCATTGCGAAGGATCTTCAACCTTGTCTCAGAGACGGCTCGGAATGGGTCTTGGTCAGTAAGGCAGAGCAGCATAGCCACTGCCACAGCGCTCCGATAAAAAGGCTTGGCCGGGTCAAGCCATATTTGGCTCCGAGCATGAGGGTGTTACGTCACATAAAGCTTGCGGTATTGGAACGAAATTTTCTTCGCGTGAAAGAATAATGGCAACTCCCTTCCAGTTAGAGATCTGAAGTCTGTTGTGCCGTATTCTTGAGCACATTGTGTTTGTAAAGCCGTAGATACGAGGTATTGGTCTACATTGGCGCGATAAGATGCTTAGTGGTGCTCTACATGGAAACAGCTCAAGTCTATTCAAAATTATGGAGACGCTTATTGAATCATCTTCATCTGAAATTCATACTAGAAACATTTGTCTATGCTCTAATGAAATAATAATGTTGAACGTACAGTGTCGAATATAAAGAGTGAGGTGAGCAGGTTTCTCCTTAGTATCTTACCTAAGAGAACCTCAGGGCCGAACCTCTGGGCCAAGAAGATCGCTACTCAGCTGTTGTTACCCTCACGAAAATACAGACATACAAGCGCAAGACGTAAGATTCCTATCAAGAAAAAGAAGAGGCTAGTGGAAAATATTAAAATTTTGAAACATTTAGACAATTATAAACTTAGTTCCTCGCTCGTATGTGTTACATCGGTATGTAACAGCTTTAAGATGCACGAATGTTCTTTGGGGCAGGCACGGGCCACCTCTGAAATATGACGAAAGATGGCACTCTCTAAATCATTGGATATTTTCAGTCTTCACCACCTCGTCGACGCGTGTCTGATTGCGAACGCTCTTTCTACACGGTCATTCTTAAGAAAAAAATCCCAAATGATACGATTAGGTACACAGTGGCCACTGAGACGCCTTAATCCGGCAGCAAAACGCGTATCGGCCGCGCCAACGAGACCAAATGCGCTCGAGCTCTCAGCGCGCCTGAGCACTGCCTCGCCACCAGGTGCAAAGTTCGAGACCAACACGAAGACCGGCCACGATAAAGCACCGGCTGAATCGCCTATGGACCTCGGTATAACGACACAAAAGAGGGAAAAGACAATAGCGGAGCTGGATGAGGAGCTGCGACTGAAGCTTGAGGGCATATCCGGAGATGGGGGGGCCTCTGGTGTCGAGTACGAAGGCGGAAAAGCCGAAGGATTAAAGAGGGGTGTCAAAGACAACATGTTCAGGGTCATATGATCTTGGTTCGACGCTCACCTGGCGATTGAATGTTCTGGTGGAAAGGGATGATGCCTTCGTTTCTTGCATCGCAGTCTCGACGAGGAGCTGGAGCAGCTTCTGCTTCGGTCGAATGTACAGCAATCCCAGTGGATAGTATAAAGTTGTCAGAGTGATGAAGGATTCAGTTCTGTTTCAAGGAGAGATTTCGAGTCTGTGAGCATACCTTGTGTTAAGGCCGGGTTTCGTTCCAGTAAACCGATACGCAATCGACGTCTCCGTCGAGGTCCTACGTAGTTGTCAATACGTGCACGAAGAAGGGAAATGATCTACTCGCGTCAGAACAATGATATGGTGAGTTTGCCATCCCAAGTATATTCGTTTCCTTGTTGGCGCGTGAATAACTGTAGTGCATCGCTCCAAGACATAGAGACTCTTCGCAAAGAGCCTGGCCCACCATCCGCTTGTGAATTGTTCCATGGAGACGAGACAAAGCAACGTAAGCCCCACTATAAATCGCCCGGGACAAACAGCTGTCCTTCAGCACACAAACATAAATAGTCGGCTTCTCCAAAGCTATTCCTGTTGATGGATCAATCGGAACATTAGCAACCGATATTGCGTCAGTCCCGGTGTTACAGACCCTTGCTACTCTCCTATGACACTCCCAAATGGCGATTTTCAACAAGTCTTCGTTGATTGCGGAAGGATCAACGCCAGCCGAAATGTACATACCCACAGTTGGCTTAGTACGACAATTTGGCTTCGTTCAGGCCGATCAAGGCAAATGTGTAGTCAATGTCTGCATCTTGTTATTGCGAAGGTTGAACGATGGCGACTTTGGATGTCACGGCGCGCGCCCACCCGCCATCCCGTCGATTTGCGCAGCATTGGGGGATCGCATGACACGAATGAGAAACTGAATTCTGAGCTTCCATGCTTTTATAAGGTCCTTTCCGCGGAAGAAGAGAGTCTTGCTGGTGCCGCCCCGCGACCCCGAGTGAACATGGCGAACACGATTGGGGCACGTAGAAGTCTTGCAGCAGCCATGCTTTGAGTTGAAGCCATCTTTCAAATAAACTAACAGGAAACTTTGAGATAGGGAAGCTTGAAATAGGGAAGTGGATGAGGCAAGCATGTTTGTAGCTAAGGAACGATCAGGGTTGTATGATGTGAGAGTTACGACACTGCTGAGTTTCTTGGGCTTTTGTGCCCAAAGCCGCCAATCTCTGCGACTGTCCAGTCCACCCAAGACTACATTGGTGCTGCCGAGGTCGCTTACAGAGTACTCGCCAAATAAATTGAGCGCTCAACCATGAGATGGCAACCGTCGGGGGTATCATATCTCTCGCTGATGACTGAGGCGCATCTCGCCCTTTAGCGACGGCAACGGACTGTGATCACGTTTTGCTAACTATGCCCTTGAGCGATGTGACTGACTGCAGGTCTTTTCCATGTCCGAGTAGGTCATCTGTACTTTCGGAAAAGCTATAAGGCAAGATTGGCATTTCGACTCAAATAAGGTCGCACTCCCGGAAAGGTTTACCCAAAGATATGGTACTTCATTAACATGCAGCAAAGCAACGTACATGGCTCACAGTCTCATCAAGATCAACCTAGGTAAGTAAAATAAAGCACAAGGAAATGGCTTCAAGGCTGCGCTAGCTCAATCAACTTCAGAAAATTGTAGAGATGAAGTAAGCAAAATGCAGTGATCAAAAATGATGTGTCCGTCTTCTGGACGTCAACTTGAGTCCAATCAGCTACAGTTTTGAGATTAACCGCTTTCCCTTTCTGAGCATTGAAGAAAAGGGGACTCTTTCAATACTTCTCCCACGTCGTTACTAAGGAGTTGGCCACTTCTGGACAGGTTACACACTGCTTCTATGACATCCTAGATAATCTCTACACTGGAAAAGCATAGTCTTTGGCAATGAACATGCCTACTTCGGTCATTGAATGATGCCGAAAGTCATCAATCAGTGGCATGGCCTCTCAGTGTACAGCTGTAGAGTCCGAAAGGATCAATCCGATAGGCTGTTCAACACAATTACGGGGTTTCAGCAACACGTGAACCGAGCCGAGGTCAACAGGCACTTCAGATGGACGTCAAACCTTGAGGATCTCCGCACAAGCCTCGGCGGCCATAGCTTTCAATAATGAGCACAAAGGTATAAACGCCGAGCACCCGCCTTCGTTTCTCCTCTCTTGGAAATACTGAAGCCAAGACGACGACGACGCAACAGTAGGATAATGGATTCTGGATCTGGATCGCTGCGTCAGAGGTCTGCAGCGCGGATCACCGCACTGAGAGGCCAACTCGTTTCGGGAACAGTGCCGAGTCGGAATGATATTCAAACGTCTGACCCTACGACATCGAACCAAACTCAGAATCCGGACAAAGATGGGTACCCGGCAAAGGTCCCCATTACTTATTATCCACTCGAAACCCAGAAGGTTTATATCTACAATGAGAACCGAATGAAGAGCAAGCTATACGGTAAATACTGTAATCGGGATCTTTACGTTTACGCCGACATTCCACAGTACATCCGCCAGCCCATTCCAGCCGAAGGCGTCCTGCCGATCACAGAGTCGCGTCGGCTGCTGGAACCCGGTACCCATACGCACGAGAATGGATGGCGATCCCTCCCCGATGGGACCGCGTACGTCACATCACGGACTCGTTTCCCTGGAACGACTGGAGACATGGTCCGCTGGTGGTTCTGGTGGCACAGCGTCGAGCCCGAGCGCTACGCCCTGTGGTTCCCGTACGACCACCTGAGTGCGCGGTCGACGTACGCGGACCGCCTGCATCGCACCGACCTCTCTCACACGCAAAAGTGGCTCGGATCCACGCATCGTGTAACGGAGTTCATCGGCTCCACCAAGATGACCGTGAACATCCACTTTGTCGACCCGGCTCAGTACGGTCTGCCCTGGGAGGAGCTCAAGGCGGCAGGCTACGAGGCCGCCGTCTGCGCGGAATTGAGGGATGGCCTTGTTTCGAACCTCAAAATTGGAGACTTCTTGCATCTATTTCGAAAGACAGAAGATGGGCTTGAGCTACGAAGTCGTTATTGGCTCGGTGGGGGCATTCATTACAAGGTCCTCGGCATGAAGGTTGGCATCGACTATCTTGCTGGCGCGCTGGGTTTCAAGCACCGCATGGCTGGGGACAATATCGCCTATGAGCATTTCATTCATGATCAGACTGAGTTTACGAATTTGGCCTCGTTTCTGCCGGATTTATACGCAGATTATATGGCTGGGAAGCTCTGAACAGGAGACACGTACAAAACACGCCTTTGAATCAACTGTTACTTTCCGATGCCTTGAGTTTCTAGTGAATAAAGGTTTGGCAATGTCAGATATTGTGAATCGTGGCAAGAGAAGTGCCTAGCATCATTGAAACCCTTTATTTAAATTGGTAGAGTATTTAAGAAGACGATGAATGAGAACAAGTCTTGAGCATTCATCTTGTGACACGGTTGGTCCATCCATCGAACTGTATTCAACTTGCTGGATGCAAATGAATCTTGTGATGATATTCCATAATAGATGCTGAGGTTGGGTAAAACCTCCGTGACAACTGTATCAGATTCAATCAGGCCATGAACGTTGAGGGCTCATTACTAGCTACACATATTTGTAGAGTCTTTACTCACAATCTCAGGCGAAGCTTGGGTACATCTTACATTCCGAGTGGAGGGTATGCATTGACTATTTATTTTGATACCTTTGAATTTTGCGCCATATAGACTTGAAGTCACTTCACAGTGCCGATGCTTACCTGCAATCAGAGTTCGTGATTATAAGAAGACCTTAGTCGCCCCCTACATCTAAGTATTGATCTTTTAGTTTACAAAGTCAGACCCATATTCACTCATAATAGCTCCTCATTTGCGAGGCCGTGAGACGTGTTATCTATGAAGTGTTGCTTATGAGTAGACAGCTTCTGGGTCATGACTGCCCGTCCGTTCATAAACCTTTTGGGCACGGACTTGATCTTTTGATTGTGCAAGGTACTTGCCCCAGTTACGTTTAGTATCTACGATAACTCTTGCTCAAATGACCAATATCTGTCTAAAGATTTTCTGTTCTTTCGTCTTTTGTTCTCGATCAGTTCTGCAGTGGTTGTTCCCATTTCTATTCCGTCGAACGTCCCTGCAGAACCTAATGCAGCCACCAACTACTCAGGTCAGAATCATGCCAGCCGTGGCGGTAGCCCAGGCATATACGAGCCATCTGCGTTGTTTTTTTTCATCTCTACAGATGCGAGATACCCAGAAAGTTTTTTTCATGTTCTTGTATCTCAAATCTTCCAGACTGGCTCTTACGTCGTCTCTTACGCCCTGCTTCAAAACTTGTTACTAAATGACTGATTTCGCTTCAGACTTGAGAAATTGAATTAATGTGTATCAGATACAGCTACGGAGAATTTTACGCGAAGCTTCATCTCAGAAAGGTCGATCTTGGATTCATTGCATGAAGAGCATCAACAACGTCCGCCACCTTGAATTCAAGTGACAATCACATTCCAAAAAGCAATGAAGAAAGGGTTCCTTTCGTGAAGATATCCTAGGCAGCCAATTCACCATCCTAATAGCCAAGCATGCACATGTATACATGCATATAAATAATTATTCATGATCAGACCATCATTCCAAGTCTCATCCTTGAAAGTTGAAGAGGGAGGAGCTAATTGCCGTTTACTTTCCAGAGATGGACAAAAAAGAATTATTCAAGGCAATGTCTGACTTGATCATTTATTTCGACCTACAATTCAAAATCCCCTGATGAATTGATGAGTTTTGAAAACTACAAGCGCTACTTTACGTGCAAAATTTACTCCCCTTTGACCCAACCCTCCTTCTCATTCTGCTCCTTGCTACGTCGGCTCCACTCTGGCGCTACATCGATGCCATCTTCTTCCTCCTTGTCGCCCTGTTCCTTGGTTTTGTGAACCGTCGTTGGCTTGTGCTCAGCTGGCGAGTAAACAGTGTAAAGAATCAACGGTGTCGGTCCTGTATTTAGAAATTGGTGCTTGGTTCCCGCAGGAACAATCACCATGTCACCGGCCTTGACCTCCTGCTCCTTGCCAGCAACCTGCGCAAGACCCTTGCCAGATGTGAAGGTGAGGATTTGGTCGACTGTATGAACCTGGTGCCCATTCAGGATATCGATCCGTCAATCAGGAAGGGATAAAATACCTCTTCGCCAATATCACCACCAACAGGTACAGTCATCAGCACAAGCTGGGAGTACAACCCCGTCCAAAGGACACGGCGAAACTCGCCAGATTCGGACGGCAAGGCCGTGGTCATGTCGGGGAAGTACTGCATCTCCTTTTTGGGAGGATCGCTCGAAGGGGTGGGGAAGGTTGACATCTTAGTGGTTGAAAAAGTGTTCTTCGCTTGGAATAGTCTTGATGGAAGCCGACTTGATAGAATGCTTCGTAGAGGCCTTGCAGCGCAGTATACTCTGGAGGAAAGCATGACTGATATTTGTATCTGCCGGCGAAGGAATGAGTGATTCTTCTTCCAAATGAACACCCTTGGAATTGGTTGAATGCACCGGCCTCTCAGGGAATGACATGATGATATTATGATGTTTCGGGGATTGATACGTCATCGATCAATCAGAACCCGTGGCCACCCAAATCCCGTCAGCCCGCCGCATGGATGAGTAACTCGCAAGGGTGTGTGAGCTGCATGTGTTGGAGCCTTAATCATTCACAAGAATTTGGTGGTACACCTGCAAAGTGTTCATCACAGGCGATCCGGATCATGATGTCTAGGTACAGTACCTCGGCGGCCCCACTTCTCCGGGAAAGCACCGGGAAGCCGGCGATCGCCGGAATTAGCATTTCTCATAAACTGCCGTGACTGCTTCATGCTACAGTCTACATAGCTTGCTTTGATTCATTCATTTCATTGACTGCCATGGTAAGTCCCATGTTCGTCACTGTATCGGTAGATACCGAGGCAGGTATGTCACTTCGATCAAGGCACGGATTCTGTAGCGTTACTGAGGCAGCGTCGCACCATGCTAGTTGGCTATAATCCCCGATTAATTGGTTGCTGGCGGTACATCGGCTACTACCCTTCCCGTCATCATCGAACAGATGCTCATCAATTAGTCCAGTCGGCATTGAAGAAATAAGCCGTAGATATAGCATGTCATGCCCGTTATGTTGTACTTACTTCTACATGTAGTGAGATGGCTGCCGGGAATTCTCTGTGGCTTTGAAGGCCACACCGTAATCTCATGCACCCATATTTACGCCACAGCCGCCGTCCATTTTTCATCCTCCACGAAAAGTCTCAACGGAGATCTGATTCAGCTCGGTGTTTCGATGAATTGTTCTTGCTCCTATGGCGCGCTTTATCTTTATCGCTTTTAAATTCAGAGCGCTTAAGCCGAGCCACACATGTCGTGTGCCCCTTGGTGATGCGTAATCCTGGGCTGCGGAGCAAACGATGAATCGGGCATAGTAATTGTGCCGATAGCCGCAAATGTAAGCAGTAACTTATTGTTGCTGCCTGATCACGCTAATCTTACAATCTTACAATCTCCACGTCTTGTTGATACCTAGTCTCCGCGCACTCGAAATCCGGGCTTTGCTGACTGCGCCGCGCTCAATGACATTCAGAACGACATGGAGACTACGCTGAATGCCTTCCAGGGCAACTGTCACTGTGGTGCGAATCGATACCAGATTCAACTCCCAGAGTGTCCCTCTTTGGTGATTTGTGACTGCTCGCTGTGCACAAAAAAGGGACACGTCTGGATTTACGATGCCGAGGAGAGCTTGAAGATCACAAAGGGGTGCACGGGCGAGACGTTGACATCTTACACCGCGTCAGACACTGAGGCCTTGAGGCATGAGGTACGTCCGTGTCGCCTAAATCCGCATTCTCTGAGTCTTTGGAGGGACTAGCTGATCTGTTATCACCAGTTCTGCAATGTCTGCGGCACCTCTCTCTTCGGGACACATACCTCTGGCGTTCAAGCCGGAAAGAAAGGCATAAACTTTCGAGTGATTGTCTCTGCTTTTCAAGATGTATTCATCAAGGGAAGGAGTGTCGTGACCATCGGCCCTTCAGCTACATACTTACCTTATTCAGGCTCTTTGAGGTGCGTGTCGCCAATCTAGAAATCGTGATGGACTAAGCTCAGAGCCGCAATAGTTTCGTTGAAAAAGCATCTTCATCTCCGCCGGTTGAATTCCGCGGCACGCCGCCCGATGCACCTGGGGACGACCTCACGCTGTATACTGGAGGCTGCGATTGCGGTGCCGTTCAAATTGCGCTCAAGACCAAATCTCTTTCTGAAGTCCAGATCAAAGAGGATAATTGCAGCATATGCGTTCGCGTACGTCTGCCATCCGTTTGCCTCGTCGAGTGTTGCACGAAAAGGGACTAACTTTGAACGGGAAATAGAACGGCTTCATTGGAGTGTATCCTCACCAGTCTCATGTGAGTATTGTCGGCAAAGACCAGACGCAAGACTATCAGTTCGGCCGCAAATTCAACGGGTCACCCTTTTGTCGCACCTGTGGCGTACACTGTTTTGGCAACCTGTATGGGCCGCCAAAAGAGATCATAGCTAGACTCCCAGAGGCAAAGCAGGAGTTTGTGCGAAAGCAACTCGAGGTTCAGCCGCTGAACGTCCGTGTTCTTGAAGGTTTCGAGTGGGGTACTGTCGATATTGAATGGAGCAACGACGGAACGGAGGGCTATAGTGTGTCCGATTGAGGAGGTCACTCTTTTCTTGCGCTTGCGTCACCATGTGCCGTTCTTATTTTATGACGACCTCTCCGAATCATTTCATCCTTCTATTAATTTATTGAAACTCATGTCTAATATCTTCCATAACATTCGGGGTTGCAGCTGCCAGCTCTAGGTGATGAACATGAAGATCTGGCTAAAGACTCGGCCCGCATCTGACAGGGCAGGTCGTTCGGTGTGCACCGATGACGAGCACCGGACGACAGTCCAAGCTTTTTAGGAATAATGGGGCGCCGGGGTTCGTGCCGCCTGCATCGTCCTGCTAGCGGTTCGGGCCACACTGCCGGACTTCATGTCTTTGTCACCCTTCTGACAAGGACTGCATGTGCTTCCCACAAGTTCCACCACTTTAGCAGGCATTGTCAGGGCAAGCCAAACCTCCGGTTCCATATCTGTCGCTGGAAACATTGCCCAGTTGGAGAGCAGCGCCAATAACGCCTCCCATGCCCTACAATACTTGTTAGTAAATCATTTTTGGCTTCATAGGGGGGGAAAGACGTACTTCGCCCGCGATACACCCACTGGCCACCGCAAAACATCTATCAGCGACGTTAGTTATGGCTCTAATAAACTAGATTTCATGGTCAGCACTTACATGAGCTCAAAGGAAGCTGGCTTCCAGCGACGCCAAACAAAGGCGATGATGGCACCGAGGAACGCGGCGTTGACGAAGACGGGACCGGGAATGACAAAAGACAGAGCGATGGCACCCCAGTTAGGAAGCCATTCCTGGTACTTTTCGCGGGGTCCAACCAGGTAGTAGTGGCGGAAGATAACCTGAAGAATGGAAAAGATGCCGAGGACAATAGCGAAGATGCCGGAAGACCGAGGGATCGGGACGTTGGGGCTGGTTACAACCTCGGCCACCGCAGCCCAGGCACTGACGGAAGGAACTAGGAACGGGCAGTGCTCGAGCTCTGCGTCCGTGATGCAGGGATATGCGGTGGTGAACAGCACGAATAGGCCGGGCGCAAGCCAAACCGAGACGAAGGTGCCGATAGCTTGGGCGATGAACTGCTTGTTAGGAGGGGTGCCAAGCAAAAACCCAGTACGGAAATCGGACGTCAGAGCCGTGGCAACGTCAGCAGCACCAGCGGCCAGGCCGGCGGAGATGAGGTTGATACGTTGAGCGTGCTGAACGGTATATCCTGCGCCAGTGGTAGTACCACCAATGACCAACTGAGCTGCCTTGGCGGCGGCAGTCAGGGGTGTCTGATCCGTGACGCCACCGATCTGGATGGCAAGGAAAGAGAAGAGAAAGGCGAGGATCAGGGCGAGGATAGTGACGCCGACGTTGACCTGCCACTGCAGGCCCATGACGATGCAGGCCAAGATGATGGACGCGAAGAGACCGAGGACCCAGATCCAAGTCTTTACCTGTTGTTCGGGTGTCGCTGGGTCTTCGACGTAATCCGCGTCGCGCTTTTCTTCTCTCTCGGCGTACTTTGCGAAGAATCCGATGCGCTTGCCCTTCTTCATCGCGGTCTCGTGAATGGAGAGGCAGATGGATTTCCAACCGGCGGCAAAGCCAATGTAGATGATCTTCCAGTGGACAAGGAGCTCACCCATGGAGGAGCAGACCATTACCATGACACCGGGCCACTGCGTATTGTCAGATTAGAATACATTTTGTATTCAGCATAGTCTACACTTACAAGCAGCCAGTATCGGGGGGATGGCGGACCTTGACCGACATTCTTCAGGGAGGTAAAGGAGTAAAGGCCCGACCAATTGGGGTCCTCGGAGGCCTGAACACCGATGCATTCGCCATCTGCCCATGAGTGTCAGCGCTTAGGAAAGGTAGTGGCGGTTGTTGACCTTACAGTGAACCAAGGTAGGGCCAATGACGCCCCATGCGAGGACCGATCCTGCCATCATTGAGCAGGCAGAGTTCATGCCAATGAGCATGCCGGAGCCGATGAAGGCGGTCGTCCACTCGAAGTACCTGAGCTCCGTGGTCAGCTAAGCCTCATAAACGGACTTGAGTCTCGCTCACCATCCCCACGACTCAATATTCATCGCCGACGAGGTATAGCCTGACCAAATGTGAATCCATGACATAATGTGCCAGTCGTAGAGGATTCCAATGGCGTAGTACGAGGCTACGCGGTGGACGATGCAGGCGCCGAAGGCGATGCCGAGAGCCTTGAGCTTGCTGACAGCCTCGCGGGCGCCGGCTACGCCAGAGTGCATGGACCTAATAGTCAGGGCAGTTGCGGTCGAGGTCGGGAAGATAAGTTTAAGCTCGCGGGCGGTGCGGATGATGAAGAATTTGCGCAGGGGAGTGACGAAGAAGAGGCCAAAGAATGAACAGCAAATGGTGAGCGTGAAGATCTTGCCAATGTCGCCGGACGGCGTGCTGTCCATGACTCCGAGTCTGTACATGGCTGGAATACCAGCTACGAAAATACCGGCGATACCTCCAGCACCGGTGGCAGCAGCCTGGTGATGTTAGTCATTTCTGTGCATGGTGGTTGCCGGGCCGAGCGGCCGTTCGCCGAGGTCAAAGTGGGGCCATTGGACCGGGTGGGTCGCCTCCCGGATCGCCGAAACCCGCCTCCGGGATAGCGAACTTCATCCCCGGGGTATAGTAGGGAACTTGCGGCGAGGAATCTGATGAATGCAGGGTCCACTTACTTGAACAATAGAGTTTTCTTGAGGTCCAAACGGTCCGCCGAGAATAGGAATGTTCGTTTGCGAGAGCAACTTCAAAATTCCGTACCCAAAAATGGCTATATCATCATCAACTTCAAGATTTCCACGTCAACAAAGAATCTGATTGAAAACTTACCACCAAATAAAGATGCGATAAAAGTGAAGCCATGCACGGAATGTGAGCTTTTAATGGATATCAAGCGTTCCAAGGAATTCTTACTGTTTTCTGGAGCGTTTGGTGTTAGAATCATGCAATTTGGTCGAGAATTCGTCGAGATAAGAAGATGTGGGTATCTTTCCCGACATTAGGAAGGCGCTTACCAAGCCAAGATACAAGTTGGACGCGTTGACCAAAGAACCCAGGATACATCCAATGACAACAGCCCTCACAGTCAAGATGTTTTCCTCATGCGGGATGCTTGGGTCCATCACGAGCGGGCGGTATAGATCCTCCTCTTTGTGCTCCTCGGTCTCGGGGACCTTGGTATCGACGACGGGCTCCGTCCATTCGCCGCCGATTGCGCCTTTCTCGTCGGGGTGGACGGTGACGCTGCCGGTGTAAGACGGGCGCGGCTCGGCGGTGTCGACGCGGGCCACGGGGGCCGGGGCCACTTTTTCGTCGGTCATGGCGGTGTTATCGGATTCTCTTTCCTCGGATGGGCAAGATGTTGCAAAGACTACGCGGGCTGGAGGGGAGAAAGGCGGGAACGAGCTGAGGGGGGTTGGAAGTCCTATTTGTCTACAAACATGCCCAGAGGTCGCATTCGTCCTGTCCGTCTGACTACCCCCCCTGTAGCGATATGGGAAACCTCGTCCACTGGTTGGAGAGAGGTTCTCGCGACTGGACTCTAGCCAAGTACCAGAGGACTTTTGGCCTGGCGGAGCGATATGCGGGCCCCCGCTGAACAAACGTACCGCTTGCTTATCCGGCCTGCTCCTGCACAATATACTCGCAGGGGTGGCCTGGCAGTCTCGTCCGGGGATGCTTCTTGTGGTAGAAGCTCGTGCCACTGCAGTTACAGTCGATCTCGGGACACAAGTCGCCTCCGGGCTCATTTTGCCCGGATGGGACTTTTGATGTAAGCCGCAACTGTCCATCGATGCTGGAATAGGAAGGTCCTTCACACGAACATGCCAAATTCTAAGCAACCCATCAGCGATCCCGAAAGGAACCTGTTCGCTGGCGAGGACTGCGGCCATTGGCTGCTCAATTTATCGACTTTCTAGTGGCGTTCTAGAATGAATGCCACCGCATTGTGGTCAATCTCACTGGCAAGACGAGGACGTTGATCGCCAGGCTGGAGATAGATCAGCTCCCTCAAGCCAGAAGTTACCGTGAGATCAGAATGAATGCGAAAGTGTGACTGGCGGTCGACGCCACGAACGGCGACTAAGAGCAGATCATCAAAAGTACTTTTAACCTTGATTGGAGGCTTCCTCGTACTTGAGCTCCAAGCGGGCTAATTACATTCCGCCTCCAACGATTTCTTACCTTTACGAATCTCTAAGGAATATCTTATCGCCTCGCCCTCAAACATGTGTCAAGTCTCCGTCCGATTGAGACAGCCTCGGGTCGGATAGACGAGAAGTTCTGCCTGGTTGAGACACAGCGGCCTGGGCTACAGTTACGGTGCCATGTCCGTGGTCTTGGCGACATGAAGCCTCCTGCAGGTAGTGAAAGTCCTACCAGAAAGTCTGACTGATCGTTGATGGTCCTGGTTGTCGTCCCATTCGTCGAAGGAGACGAGACACGCTACAAAAGGTCCTCCCCGATATTGGACCGCAGGGGTCCCGATTGGCAGATTCCTTAATGGGGCCCTAAGCGGGATGTGTGCCAGTGGACTGGAGTAACCGTAATGCGGATGCTTTGCCTTAGCCCTATTCAAATTCAACCTCGCCTACCCTCAACATGTGGTGTACGACCACAACTCTAAAATAACCGCGGAAAGCCGCATGAGGCCGTTCAAGTAGTCTACAATCTCTTTGAGAAACTACCTAGAGTCTAGAGAGCGTGGCAGCCGGGGGTGGTGAATCAAGTCGCAACCGACAGCGACTAGACCGCATGACAACACGTTTCCGTGCCAAGTCAAATAGTCAGAGCATGGAGCTACTCCCCGCAAATGCTCTCCACAGGGGTCTGCCGCCTCCCGACTTAGCATCCCCGGGGCCACTCTACCGCAGGACTGGGCTTAACCACCGCTGGGGAATCAAGCGTTTTGGGAACCCATGCCGCTTTCCATCGATTAACTACTATGACACTGCGGAGCCGCCAAGACCGCAATCGATGAATTGATAACGAAAAATCTTCACTTGATCATTGTCGAGCGAATAGATCGTCCCAGGACGGTCTTTAATCTGATGCCAAGATGGCTTCCATGGCATCCGCGTCGATTCCGTCAGTCATCTGTACCACAAATATCAGCTTGCCATTAGAAGGGTTCAAGATAAGCCTTGCGAAAAACAGGTGGCTTACCGCCCTCGACCGTTTTTCGAGGGCAATATCGTTCCAGTCCGCTATCACCCCGCCAAGCCAAGTAAATCTCTGGCACATGTATCCGTATCTATTTGGATTGAGTCATCAAGTCTAAGCAAAGGGAGTGGTAAGTGACAAACATTTCGCCGCTAATACATCCTAGGTAGCTTATTACATGATAAATATTCTTAGAGGAAGTGAGAATGGTTATAACAAACTCCCAGTATATTGCATAAAGACAATACTAGGAGAATCCAGCCAGTGCAACAGTGAAAGTGGATATAGTGATAAAAAGTTGATGGGATGAATTGAGCGGCAGGTTATCTGTCACCCACTTGAATGGGTAAGGACCGGTCACAAATGCTTTTAGCCTTTGCCTACGTATTGGGAGGTCCTTTACTGTCCAGCAACCGCCCACGTAGGTGCCACTCCTGTGCCTTTTCCTTCGTTCAATGTGTCAATGTGCCATGCAGGTGCGGTGAGGGTGTGAACGCCAAGAAGCTAATCTGGCCCTGGCGTACAAACAACGGTAGGATTCCGCCGCCGCTGGCCATCCAAACCCAGAACCCAGCGTCCCCAGGTCTGGGGCGCTCTCATGCGGTCCGCTACGCTCTGCTGCCGGTACAGTGTAGCCCTGGAGCCGGCAGGTCGATGTCTGCCGCACCAAGGCGACGGCCAAGCCACCGCAGCGACTTTGCCAATGCTTCCAAGCCGGGCTCCAAAAGCTTTGGCATGGTTTTTGCAAAGCTTGAATCTCCACCCAAACCAAGATCACTAGTGTTTGACAGGTCAAGGAGGATATGGCCGTGGTGTGAAGGACTTCTGTTTCCAGTCCAACACCAAACAAGAAGCTGCAGAGAGCAGCCAAGATGATATTTCACGCCATTTACACACGAGAATGACATTCTGACTTGACAGCTCGCCGAACCCTTTTCAAGCCTAGTGTATTCCAACGCTCACCTCAGGTTTAGGTAGTGGTCTCGTTCCACAACTCTAACGGCGCCCAAAGAAGCGCGATTGGAGCCGACGGGTCGAATTCCGCGCGTTGCCTCCCATATCAAACCCTTCCTTGCGGCGTCCGACTTGCCAAGACCGCAGACCACCGCTGGTACTGTCGTATCTTGAGTTCTGACACCCGCTAGACCAGCATGGCCAGCCAGATATCGCCCACATCCAGCCCCCGGACATTAATTCCCAAAAGGGCTTCGCGCCACTCTTTTCAACAGCCAACTCGTGGCCTCCGCAACCCCCCTGGTCCACCCCGCCACCAATCCACGCACCCGCGCCCTCGAACGCGCCTGGAACCTTTGAAGTCGGCCAAGGAATTTTTGCAGAGTGCCAAGAGTGTAAGAGGACGCACAGGCGCCCGACCCGACCTGTTTGGGCGAGCTCTTCGGTCCTACTCTTCAGATCTCGGTAATCATTAACCCTTTCTAAGGATCTATGACTCCCTCGCTTGTGACTCGTCGTCGAGAGCCTTATGCCAGGTGCCACATGTGGACCTTTGGCCTGGATTTCAGGCCAATTGAGTCATAACTGCAAGCAAGCCCGTAAGCAGTTTATCAGAATTCCACTTGACCAGTCGCCGCGCGATAGGATAACGGGATCTATGGCTTCCTGTTTGTCCCTTTCGCCTCCATGGGAAGACCTTTGCCACACTGTTCCCATGCTCAGTTCGGCGAGATCTCCCACCAGTGCTGGAACAGGGTCCATGGCTTCTGCACCCAGCTCAGCATAGAGATGAGAGACATAACGCTATTATTATCACGTTGTCTACCTACTGACTTGGCTCAAAAAAATTCACAACCCAACTGCTATCAGTGAAGGCAAACTTCGTCGCACCAGGCTGACCATTGATTTGACCAGTCATACAACTTGAACATCCTCGACGGCTTCGCTCGAGGCCGACCAGCTCCCATCCATCACCCCATGAACATAGGCGTCCCCAACCAGCAAGAAAGTCTTGCCATCCTCCTTCGGTCTCATGACATATGGAACCTTCCCACCAGCCAGGACCCAAACTTGGTCACCTACGCGAGACGAAAGTTTTCCCAACCCAACATACCCTTCATCAGTGATGAACAGTCGTCTGTTCATGATGATGGGTGCCATCAGCGTATAGTAAGCCCTGCCAAGCGGCCCTTGAAACCGCAAAAGGTTTCCCCCTTGCTGCTGGCTCATCATGTAGTGGGCCATTCGATGGATCTCATCCAGGGACGGGATGAGATCGCCATGGGCCTTTTGGTACTCGGAGGAAAGAATGACGCCAAACTCGCGGCTCTCGTGTGGCTCCAAGCCGTGCCTAGAGCCATTGAGTCGTATAGTCAAGTCCACTGTGAGCCACTGCTTGAAGCCTTGCCCGTGCCGCGGATGCGCTCCTGCTTCCGCGGCCGCCCCAGCGGCCGGCCCGGGTGTATCGCCCAAGTCGTATATCAAAGTCCGCCACAGAGCTTCGGCGGCACTCTCAGTACCTGCCGGATATCTGTCTGGGAGATGGGGGATGCAGAGAGCGACTTGCAGCGCAATATGGCGAAACTTACCATCATTAGGCGGGATGAATGCGATTTTCCCAACTCTCTTTCCTCTAAATGTGATGCAATCACCCTTGTAACGTGGTAGGGGCTCCGTAGGAATACCGCCAGACGCTCTAAACTTTGCCACAGATGAGAGCAAGTGTCCCTGGTCTCCTTTGATCGAAAAGTCAGGTGCCCAGGAGGGCAATCCAGCTGTCTTGGTAAATGTTCCATCTTCGACGAGAGAGAGCAGGCTCATGCCACCGCTGTTGCATAGCAGGAACTGGGCGACGTCTACAAAGACCTCGGCGGCGGACCGTGAAAAGTCAACCTCAGGAAACCCGCTGACTTCGGGTGGACAGACCATCTTCGCCATGCCAAATGTCGAGTAGACCCTGTCCACGGTCACCGTGCAGTCCTTTGACCTGGCAATGAAGAGTAGTATCGACCATGTCTGAGCCCACTGTTCCCTGCTTTCATCCCGGAGACAGTTCGAAAACATGCTGCGAAGGGGGAATAACTCGGTCCAGCCTCGGATCAGACGGACGCCTCTCATTTCCGGAGGAAGCTTCTCGTTGTTCATTGTGAGCTCTGATAGACGGTTGCTCCAGGCCTGCACGATGTTTCGGAGATCCCACGTGTCAGCCCATTTCAGCACGTTGAAGTCTTGGCCAACCACAAAGACGGGATTGCGGGCGACAACGGCCTCTTGCAAGGTCCATGCCCTGAGAAACCAAGATCTCGTGGCGAAGAACATGAGATACGTGACCCAATGATCCGCCAGTGAGGCATTCTCCAGCCTGAGGCCAAGCTCTTGCAGCAGTCGTCCGTCACCTGGGCCGTACGACCCAAGCCATTCAAAGAAGGCCGGGTACGACGCGAACTGCCTCTGGCGCTCTTTGATCGCTGGCAGCAGCTGGTTATATATCCAGAACAGACCTTCAAGGTCGCGGTCATGCTTTCCGAGCCAGATATAAACCGCCAAAGACCGCGCATAGATCTCGCCCATGAGCGGGATCTGGACGGCCTTCTCTTGAGGGTTCGTCTGATCTATACAGATGGCATCGATCCAGAAGGGGGGGACTTGTTCGTCGCATCGTTCAGAGCGTCGCACCAGGCTTAGCAGAAAGTCGGATAGGTTCTCGGTCAACTCGTATTCACTGAGGTGCGATCGCTCGACCCAGCTACAGTCACCAAGGGCATTGTCGTCGCTGATCATACGATGATACTCCCCGGGTTCTACCAATACGAGCTTTGCTTTGGCGACCGCATGCTCGGGCGTAGCGCTGTATGGTCCCCATTGCTCCGTCGATGAAACCGGATGGCCCCAAGTGTACGATAAGGCGGCATACTTTTTGGATGTCGTTCCAAAGTCGTCGAGTGTTACTTGATGCAGTGTAGCAAAGAGCTCAAGACTCTCTTCACTGAATCCAAAAATCTCGACCACTCTGATTGAGCGTTTCGTTGTCAACGGTTCGTAGGTGAGCGGCTTCAGGTTCGTCAAGCGGCGGGCTGATCTTGGGGGTGAGTGTGACCGATGCCGCCCACGGGACCCAACCGTGACAGTGGAAGATGGTTTCCGTGGCCCAAAGTACCGTCGATCCATTCTCTGATGTACCGTTGAGCGGTTTTGCTATGATCTCAGGTCCGATGGTTGGGTTGAGCCCATGGCGGATTGACAGACGAATAGAACTGGCACCAGGCTCCGGATGTCGGCAGCGTTCATCCGGCTGGAGAACTGTTGGCCATTGGTCGAGCTGACGATGACATGGCCCCAGTACAGGCCCATATAGCTTGATAGCTTCTCGCAGTAAAGTAAGTTACATGCCTCTTTTTCTGCTGACATTCCCGCAGGTGGTGCGTATAGATTTCGCTGAATTCAATCCAACGTGCTGATCAGGTAATATACTAGAAATCTGTCTGAACTTCAGTCCTGTGCCGTCAATACTGGTGCCAAGGGCAAGTTCCCAGCTAGAGCTTTTGACCTTTATCTCCGGGCCCTCTATGCTTTTACCAGCGGAAAATATATCTACGCGAATCCGTATCTGGCGAATGATGTTCACCTCGTTCAAGCACAACGATTTGATCTCGCAGTTGCTTCATCATTAGGAAAATCACTCCAGGCCTTCCTACTGGAACCGAGCGCAAATGTGAAATAATCGTTCAAACTCGTTCCTAAAAACTGGCCGGTGTCATTTTTTCTCTCTATCGCTGGGTCGCTTATTCTTGGTTACGATATCAAAGTTACGCAACTTGCCTTCGTCTTCCCCTCTCCCTCCCAAAGATCTTGGGCCCCGATAGACTAAGCTGTTCCAAAGTGCCTGTCAAAGTATCTGCTGAGCCCAACGTCGTAGTCGACTCATCGGATCCGCGGGACGAAAATGACCCTTCCCTACCAGGCCGTCTCCTGTGGTGCGCAGGATGGCCGCACCTGCGCCGACTTCTCAGCTTGTCGGGCTTCTCGGACGATTGGGATGCACTATCCGCAATGGATTCATCGAAGCTGACACTTCGGCTGAGTGTTTCGGTGCCTGCATTCGATGAAAAATCGGGCTCTGGACCTGCCACAGGATCGGGTTTCCCGTGTCTCCTTCTCCTGTGGAACTTCTCTGCCGCCGCTTCTGCTGCCGCAAGGTGTCTTGGTGAATGCCGGTCTAGTTTCATTCGGGAAAAAGACCTCTTTGTCTTTGAATCGTCATGTGCATCGGCCAGTTCAGCGACCGCCCCGTCCTTTGGACCACCGCCTCCAAGCTGTTCAACTTGCGCCGCGGCCTGGTTCTGGCCTACATCCTTGGGCGGCGTTGAAGGTGGGATCTCAAACTCAATGCCTTCCAGCTCTGGGCGCAACGTGGTCGCCCGGCTCAAGGGTGACCGAGAACTCAAGTTCTCGGATGAGAAGTTGATGAGATCCTCTCCTTCTCCCGCGTCCTCCATGACTGGTTCGAGTTCAAGTGTCCCAAGTGGTAACTTGTCCGCGCTTGGCTCCGTTGAAGAATTGTTTCGCGTGCCGACAGAGGCGTATCGTTGTAGTGCCCGTCGGTATGTCTTAGTGTTGATCAAGTCGTAGTCAAAGTCAAACTCTGTGGTGCTGACGACAGAGTCCCTGTTCCTCGGAATGCCGACCACACTGCCTTCATCCAGGGAGTTGGGGCTCGCAGGACGGAAGTTGGGGACTTCTGGATAGTAAGCAGCCGGTTCTCGAACGTCTTGTTTGGCCGCATTCAAGGTTGATTGGTTTTGTATCAACAAGGTCTTGATGTCTTGCGTAGAACGTCTGCGCGTAAAGTTAGAAGGCATTGAATCTTTGATCTGCCGTGCCGCCCCAGGACTCACAGATTCAACGTCTGCGTCAAGAGCGTCAAGGTGGCCTTTTTGCGGTCTAGTCGACCCAGCAGTCGAGTCATTTCTCCATCCTTCCACAAGACTTTGATCTTGGTCTTCCAATCACTGCGGAGAAACAAATCCTCGTACTCCTTGCTAATGGACAAAAGAGTCGCATGGCATCCGTTGACGGCCACAGTAAAGACATCTTCCAGCCCCAGACGGTCAATTGCTTCAGGGTCCTGGACCACGACGCTCTCGACCTGTCTGAGCGCTATCTGCACCGCATGTACCTCCTCAGCAATGTCGGCGACGTTCTGTGGTGCATCATCGTAGACGTCGATAGCCTCCTTGACTTTCCAAGATACTTTCAAGACGGCGCCTGCCAGAGAAGCCGCAGCAGTGACGATGGTAATAGGATCCATGGTTGTGAGTGAAAGAATGAGGACCCTTCATTACGGCTGATATACAAAGATCAGGATACGGCGTCGGTTTTGTTCTCATCCATTGTCTAAACTTTGTTTCAACGAGCCGTGCATGTTAAAATGGGGGCGCATTTTTGAAACGCGAAGTGGGAAAGCCGAGGTTGTTGAACACAGGCTTTATCGCACATGCATCACGCTGTGCCTGGCCGCAGCTTAAATGTATACCTTGATCCCAGAAATAGATTTGATCTAGCACCAGATGATGAACCCTGACTGCAGTTCTATCTTGTATTAGTTGAGCGTCTGGAGCAGCTGGTCCCTGGATGACTGCAGGACTGGAAGAGAGCTTGTTCCTGGATACCGGCGTGGCGACAGCCAAAGAGAAATACATCTTACGTTGAGGATTCAATCGTAGTCAATCTGCATAGCATATTCCAAAGACCAGTGTCGAATTGCTGCTGTTTAAACCAAAGGTCGAACTTGAAATTTTCATTGTTTTTCCCCAAACAGAGGAAACATGAAACTTTTGCACACGTACTTTAAAGCGCCAATTGATCGCTTACAGCCCAGATATGTTCAAGTGATTGGAGTGTTACAGATATTCTGTCAGTGAAACGGAGTTTCGAAGGAAGAGGGAGCTACAAGCAAATCACATTATGTTTGAATATTCTTCGCCAAGCCAAGATGGCATTTTGCACCAAGGACGGATCTACCGTGACGTGTACGTTTTGTCGCTGTTGTCAATCACCCAGAAGATGGATAAAACGCGGCGGTGTTGCTGTCCTTCATTGCGAGTAACGCGCTGAGATGAGTGCCGAGACCTTCATTCTTCGTGTGATGAGATGGTGCCCCGAGGAACAAACGCTACTGCTTCGTGATGTCTCTCCGCACCGTCAAAGATTCAGTGAATCCCAGCAGCCTCCGTTTGAGCAAGGGGGAATTCATCGCGCTAAACCAAATCGAGGTTTCGGGACAGGAAACTCAACTCGGTGTACGGAACCGAGCTGGCCAACCCATGATCCCCGCCGATGTATCCATAGACCCGAGAAAGAGGATGAGCGGTTGCCCCCAGTGGCCCCAGAACCCTATAACATCTTTCGACACTGTGGCTGGCATAGTTAATGTTGACCTCATTTGATACCCCCGCTCAGCTCTCCAGGCAGACCGAAACAAGGTGCCGGCGAGCTTCTGAGGCAAGGCGGAAAGGAGCAGGGTGTCAATGTTGCTGGGCTGGCGGAGCTTCCAACAGACCCCAAGAACCCAGTGCCCCTGGCCCAAGAGTCCAACGGGTGATCTCACAGGTTCGCGGATCAATCCCAGGCTCGCCAGAGGCCAAAAGATGTTTTGCCCAGGCCGCCCAATTCTCCCCCTGGGCGCATTCCTGTCGATTGCTCTCGTATTTGTCTTGGCGACGCACAATCCTTCCAGCGAAAGGACGAATTGAGATTGGATGGCAGGCCCTTGCACCGCCCCTATGCCCAGGCGAGCTGTGCCTCTTGGTAAATTCGTAGCCTCTTGGTATCGTTCTCCTGTCCTTTACACCGCGTCATTATCCTTCTTGGATGCATACCTCTCTAGCCTGGGTCCGGTTTCTCATCGTGCTTTCTTGACAATGAAGTCGAGCTGTCTCCTGTTCTCCTGTCAGCCCCATGTCGTCAAGTTGGTTCACCACATGAATCAGCGGGAATCCTAAAAGTAGTCCACATCTGCGCCAAGATGCCCAAAGGAGGGACTAAAGTAGCATGAATGCCGCCGCCATGCTCTTCCCCAGATGTTTTCCTAGCATAATTTGCCCTTGCTGGTTTCCGCATCTTGCGTTCGTTTCTCAGAGCGTCTCCCTAGATAATTCCAACTTTGCCGATCTCTTTCTTGTTGGTTTTTGAGGTTATTCTTGAACACATGCAGCAGTCAACTGCACCTCGACCCCAAACCCTGCCAAGTCGAAGAATCCTTACCTCCAACCCCCGAAATAGGCGGTGAAATACCAGCTGGCCCCCGTTGAACGAATCCTTTTTACAGGCGCAGCTTTTTGTCCTCCAACTGTGGTTTACGGTATAAGATCCCCCGCTTGCGCATCCGTTCGAATCAGCAACCCGATTACCGGTCCGAAACACACCAAGGTCCATTCCTCATTATCTCCAGCATCACCTGTGCAACCGGGCTCTCGCCATGAACCATTGATCGTGCCTATATCGATCAATTTATCGCTCGTTTTCTTTGCCTATGATTACAACCTAAACATCGGCTCGCACTTACTGGTTCGCTCACTCAAAATGCTGTCGTTTTTTGTTCCAGGCGTTGTGCCCGTGGCCTTGCTGGCCTTGTCTGGGGCTGCGGATGCGGCGTATTCTATCGACACAAGAGGTATGACAACAATCAAAAGCCATCACATCTACCACGTGTGTCAACGCCAGAGAGTCTAACCAAACCCCATCATACAGATGATATCATCACGACAGCCAGCACACTCGCATACGATCTAATGAAATTTTATGAAGGAAATAAGACGGGGCAAATCCCCGGTATCTTACCAGGACCGCCGGATTCCGGCGTCGGCTATTACTACTGGTGGCAGGGCGGCGCCATGATGGGAACATATGTCGACTACTGGTATTACACTGGCGACGAAAGTTACAACCACGTCGTCACCGAAGGGATGCTCCACCAAGTTGGCGAAGATCGCGATTACATGCCACGAAACCACACAGCTTCACTCGGCAACGACGATCAGGGATTCTGGGGCATGACGGCGATGCTCGCAGCTGAGAATAAGTTTCCCGATCCCCCAGAGGACAAACCACAGTGGCTTGCGCTCGCACAAGCCGTATGGACGACCCAGGCAGACCCGGAAAGACACGATGAGACGTGCGGCGGCGGCATGCGGTGGCAAGTTCCCCGGACCAACGTGGGATACGACTACAAAAACACCATTTCGAACGGGTGCTTTTTCAACATTGGTGCTCGACTGGCCCGCTACACCGGTAACGATACGTATGCTCGCTACGCCGAGGAGACATGGAACTGGCTTTGGGCGGTGAACTACATTGATCACGAGAACTGGCGAGTCTACGACGGTGGACATGTTCCGGAGAACTGCACAAACATCTTCAAGGCCACTTTTTCGTACAACATTGGCGTTTTAATGCAAGGCTGTGCCTTCATGGCGAATCATGCAAGTCCTTCTCCCCCGAATTCCATCACGGTCCCATCCTCTTCCAACCGCTGACCCTGCGCAGACGGGAGAATAAAAATGGTTCGACCGAACCCAAGCCCTCGCGAACCGCGCCCTCGAAGACTTCTTCGCCGACGGCGCCGCCTACGAAATCCCCTGCGAATTCGAAACAGGCCGCTGCTCGCAGGATATGCTGAGCTTCAAGGGCTACCTCCACCGCTGGATGACCGTCGTGACGCAGCTCGTGCCCTCGACCCGCGACCTCATCCTGCCGGTCCTGCGCAACTCGTCCCTGTCGGCCATCAAGCAGTGCACGGGCGGCGCCTCGGGTCGCGTGTGCGGATTCTACTGGACGAGGGGCGAATTCATCGATCCGGCCGTCGACAAGACGAGCGGCGCCGGCGAGGCGATGAACGTGCTGGCCGCGGTGCAGAGCCTGCTGGAGGTCGACCCGCCTGCTACGAACATCACCGGCGGCACGTCAAGGGGCGATCCCAATGCTGGCATGAACTCGAATCCGTTCAAGGAGTTTGAGCCCCTTACTACCGGCGACCGTGCGGGTGCCGGGATCTTGACGTTTGTGGTTCTCTCAAGCGCCATTGGTATCTGGGTGTGGATGTCGCTTGGGTACCAGGAATGGACAGAAGGGGAGAAGGGTAAAGAGAAAGATCGCCCGATGGGCGCAAAGGTTGATAATTCGCTGGACAGTATAGCGCTAGCGAAAGTGTCTAACCAGCAAGGCTAGGACCGGTTTCAAAGCGTAATGGTATTGAAGTGCTGGGTAGACTCATAACTCAAGTCTATCGACTATGAAGCTCATATCAAGATAACATTGAAAAGGAGCATGTGGGTGGCGTTAATTGCGAATTCAACAGAAGCGGCACATCAGAAGACTCTCTCACTACATCTATACTTTATGCAACCTGAAGGCTGAACGGTCAAAAGTCGTCCTGACTTCTCTTAGTTGATGATGTCGGGTTCACAGACGCAATGTTGCCCTGCCGCGTGCATCTTTCAGCAGACGGCCGACAACTCATGGCTGTCCAACAACAGTTCCTGGACATTGGAGTTTAATTCAGCGCAGTCTAGGCTTATCTGGCGAAGTTTTGATTGATCAATAATAGTGAAATTGGACTTTCATGTTACATTTTTGAAGGTTTCCATGAAAGGTCGTCGGGTATCGCACTATGAATACAAGACATCCACCATCGTATAAAGGCACATCATCTCTTTCGCTGGTCATTCCATCCTTACTGCCCATGGCTTATTTCGTGTGTGTAACATGGTTAGCAGTATAAGCAGGCGCCATGGGAGCCACGCCACCTGAATCCGGCGCCACATACCCAGCCTGACCTGGCTGAGCCATGTGCGCATATCCGTACCCTTGGTTCTGACCTTGACCGTAACCCTGAGTATAGCCGTATCCGCTGTTGGTGTTGCTGTTTCCATAACCCTGGGCGGGAGGAGGTGGCGCGTCAGTGCCGATGCTGGAGCGGTTGTCGCCGCCGTAGTACTTTTGCATCTCCTGCTGACGCCTCTTGCTCTTGTTCTTGTGGCGGCGGAAGAGACAGATGGCGATGATGATCGCGGCGAGGAAGAGGATCACGCCGATGACGATCGCGGCGATGATGCCGCCTCCGATGACTCTGACGCCGGTCCGGGCTCTGCCGATGCTACTTGTCCGGCTCGAGGTTGCGCGGGTGAAAAGCCTTGCGACATCGTGGGCGGCATTTGCGGCTCCGACTTGGATAGCGGGCATGGTGATGAACTTGTTACTTTCGAATATGACTGAGGAAAAGTGAAATCAGATTTGCGTTGAACAGTATTTTGTGTCAGGGTTTGGTAATGTGGCTTTCAAACAAGTTGGTTGATTATTGTAGTACTTTCAAAGAGAAACAAGCAGTCAAAAGTCAAGGCATATACTCAAGACTTTATCATTTCTGAGTTGACGCGCTAGACTTTCAGAACGTCATCCCAAGGGACTCAAGCCACACGCCAAAGCAGACTGAGGTGACCACCACCCTTAGTGATCCTACATCACCGCCTCAAATCGTTCTGAACCAGGGCGATGCCAAATGACATCGCCTGTGGCACAGCACACACTGAACCATCCCGATTAGGCAATACGAGTGGCTGTCCTCCACTGTCACAATTGGAATGGCTTCTTTGGCACGTCTAGCTGCCTGGTTCCGAGTGGTTGTGCACTGGTAGCGGCCGCAGTAGCTCCACACCAGGACCGCGGGATCGGCCGTTGATGTCATCGGTCTCACTGCCAAGACGGTGAGATCAGCCATGGCGAACACCATTTGGCTATGCGAATAGCTCCCTCCAGACGGTAGACTGTAGACCTTCATACTCGGCCAGTCGGTCTTCCGCGGGGCAGGACGCATTATCGGCGTACGCCGTTCCAAGGCGGTTTGAGAAGTTCGGTGTAAAAAAATTACCAAGGAACAGGAAAATGGGGCGTTGTGCTGCGACCACGCGGATCGGACCCGGATTCGGCTCTGGCGATGTTTAAGATCGGGCGGCCTACCTGTCTACCAGCGCCGATGAGGACATGGCTCATCTGTTCCCCGCCCAGGGGACCAGTGAACCCTCAACATTGGTGATCCTTGGCTACAGCACTGCCTTGTACGATTGCAGCTGCCCCTGTGTATGTTGCTGGCTGGAGAGCACAATTAGTTGCACATGTCGCCCGAGTGAAGTGGCCGACTAAGGTAAATGAGATCGAGCATCCTGTTCTTTGAGACCAGGTCAAGTCAAAACTTCTTGGGTGAGATGAGTCTCATATCATGACTGTACGTTCATTTCCCCTCGTCGCTGGTCATCATTGGAGCTTTGAGCTCACTTGGACAGCTACCGTTGATGGCCCCGTTTGAAATTCTCCAAAGATTTTGAGTGATATGTTTGTTGCGCTCGAATAAATGACTCGCTCAGATTTCGATATATTTGTACGTAAGAATTTCCAGGGTGTTGACAATTGTGACACCCAAAGCCGGACACTCGCCGACTACAGTGGTTTGATGCTAGGCTTTCCACTGTAAAGAGTTTCTCATAGACCTGAATTCTCTCATCGAGCATATGGAACAATCATTGCGACTCCTCCCATCATCTGAGAAGCTCAGAGTATCCATAGATGTCCCGTAGAAGGTGAAGCAGCTTACTTGGCTTGCGACACTAGATCAATATACTGAGGCCGAGACGGATCAGTACCCGTGTGGACCTCTTCTCAGAATTAAACGGAAAACAACAACGGACCGACCACACTTGATCAAGGTTGGTCGCAAGCTCCGATGTACCGCTGCAAGTGGCCCTCCTCCCCTCCCTCACCCCTCACTCATATCGGGAAACCCCTGCAGCTCGCGGGGGCTGGGCTGGTTTGTCCAGATCAAGATGATCTGATAAGATTAAAAAAAAAGGTATTACTCACCACACATACCACACGCGCACAGCATACTGCTGTCCACCCATTCAAACTACAACTACACCCTTGTCTTTGCTTTTCAGCAGCCTCCCAGGTGCCCCAAATTTCGCAAAACCGGCTGCAGAACTGCTGCAGAACTGCTGCAGAGCTGCAGAAAATCGCTCGCTCGCTTGGAGGAGGAGGGAGGGGAAGAACGTGCTAACGACGGTTGGCTTCCGTCGACCACAGCTCCATCCCGAATCGAAGCGACACAAACGCCCGCCAACGGAAGTAAGGCAAATCCAGGACCCTCTCAATCACAATCTTCCGCCTTTATTCTCTATTTCTCTCATCCGGTATTGCTCTCTGCCGCCGCCCCGGTTGCTCTACAGACTGGAGTTAGCCGCACCGATCTATCCAGCCCAAGTCACATATATATATATATATATATATATGTATGCCAGATGGCGCCCTTGGTCCCTCCCACGCGACGCTCGCGTAACGGCTGCATTGACTGCCGCAAGGCAAAGGTCAAGTGCGACGAGATTCGCCCCTCGTGCGGAACTTGCGCGCGACGCAGACTCGTGTGCCAGGGGTACAAGACGCAACCCGGCGCTGCCCAGCATGCCCGGCACTCACCCTCGTCTCTACTTGCCGTCGCCGCCGCCGCAACAGGGAAGGAGCCGGCGTCAGCTTCGGGACCCGCGTCAAAATCTCCGGGGGCGCTCTCGGTAACCGTCTCGGCCGGGTCTACAAACAGCAGCCCGACGACGCTGGTGGGGCAAAGCGCATCGACAGCGTCAAATCGGTCGACGCTGGCTCTAGACACGCGGACTTTCTCTCTGCTTCCTCCCGGCTCGGTACCCGCCGCGGACCAGCCGTATCTTGAACTCTACTTCAACAGACATCCCTTTGAGCTGCTGATTGGTCACGAGTTCGTATGCGAGATGAACGCCAACATCGTGATGATGCTGCAGCAGGATCCGGTGGTGATTGCTGACACGATATCGGCCATCGGCTACTCGTACGACGTGGGCAGTTCGTCGGCGGCTCTGCTCCCGGTGCTAAACCGGAGGGCAAAGATCCTCGCCAACCTGAGGAACATGAAGCCCTCGACTCACTACTTTGAAGAGGCGCTCTTCTTACTTCTCGGCTTGTGTGCCATGGAGGTGAGTTCTTTTTCTCCTCTCCCTCTCGTGTGGGTCCAATTCAACACACTTCTGCTTAGGATTGGGACATAAGCCCGTGAACCCTGCATTAGATGGATGAATGGATGGGCCACCACACCCCAGTGACCGAATCGCATTGCTCACCGGGTTTAGCTCGTCACTCTGGCACAACCGGGACACCATGCAACCATACCCACAGTCCTATCAAACGTGGCCTCCCTGATCAGCCACCACGTTTCTACAGGAGGCGACGTATCGTCCGTGGCGAGATATTACCTCCGCGCACTGGCAAGGCAAGATCTCGTCGTCTCACTGATCCAGCTACGCCGCCCTAGAATACCCAGCTATGTCTGGCTAGAAAACGAAGCGGCTAAGCCAGACCGCCTGCTTGGGTATACCGTAACCCTCATGCCCTTGCTAGAAGAGCTCTGCACGATGGCCGAGGAAATCCGCAATCAGATTCTGCAACCTGCTTTTCCAAATACCCTCCTAGGCAGCACATTACCATCTCCAATAACCCCGGAAGAGGGTGGTGGCTCATCATCCCCGCCCGTCTGCCTCGACGGCTGGCTCGATGCCGGCTACGACAACCTCGCCCTCCGCGCCGACTCCCTCCGCCTGCGCCTCGAATCCTGGAAGCCCACTATCGCAGACAGCCTCTCCTTCCGCTCGGCACGCAAATTCCGCGCCCAGGCCGCCTGCTACTGTGCGGGCGCCCTCCTCTACCTGCACCGTCTCTTCCACCTCCCCGGGTCCTCGGCGGCAGAGGAGGCGGACGCCGAGGCTCTGAGTAGGGCCCACGACGTGATGTTGTACACGAGCGGCCCGCCCTCCGAGTCCAAGATGCTGCTGTGGCCCGTCTTCATGGCCGCGTGCGAGATGCTGGACGCGGACGACCGGGCTACCGTGCTGGACGTCTTTGATGCGATTGGCACGCACCGCAAGACGGTGACGGTCGAGCGGACGAAGATGTTTGTCGAGGAACGGGTATGGAAGGCGAGGGACGAAGGGAGGGAATGGAATTGGATGATTTTAGCGCAAGAGTTCCCGGGAGAGTGTTTGCCGATCTGATTCATAGCATCCGGGGGGGTTCGGGCGTGTGGGCGGCGCGTCTTTAAATTAAAAGCACTCATTCAACCCCGGTGTTCGGGTTGTGGCGGCGGGCGGGCGGCACTCATCGCCTCTCTCTACCGCATAAGCATGATTTTCTTGAAAGGAACGGTGCATAGCTAGCTGAAGAAACTTCACACAGGACATGTTGACGTTGAAATAGGCTTCATTGCAAGCGCATCACTCGTCGTGGATCGGTCCCACGCGGACCTAGTCTTTGACGGTTGACTGATTCATTAGCTCTGAACCTGGCCGGCCACGTTGCGGCGCAGGCTTTGGCTATCTTTGCTATCATGGCAAGCTATCTTGATAAAGCACGACAAGACGTCAGTCAGAGTGTCGAAAGCCTTGGACAAGGTGGATGGACCAATCATTGTCTAACAGCGGTGGCACACTTGCTTTCCTGCATGTGTCTCTGCCAGGTCTTTACAGCATTTACAGCCCGCGCCTTAAGAGCGGATATCCGATCGACCAGCCTTTTTCAACCATCAGTCGTCTCCCCCCCAAAGGAATGTGTTTCCATTTCAGAACTCAAGCTACTACTCTCCATACAAAAATCGTCAGATCAGGTGCGGGGTCCAATGTGACCTCGGAGACAATCGGCGCCGCGCTTGCTGGAAGACTGAGAGTCTCTGTGCTGATCCCTGGAGGTGGCTTCAGGGATCTATGAATCTGATAAGGTCGAGCTGCAGATGGACTCGCACCACTCGATCAATCTGATAAGCTCTAGGATGGAGGGTGGACTATCCCCGTGTGGGGGGGATGCGGTGTTTTTATTACCGACATAAGAGCCACATCTGCTCTTTAGGCCAAAGTATTCCGTTCGAGTAGAAGAATTGGCACCGAGACTACTCTCAAGTTTCGACTTTGTGTCTGAGTTCCCAAGTTCCTCAACGAACTTTAGAGACATTTGGCACCGATTCGCGGTACAGACAGACGTTTTTCTCGTCTAGACACCAGAGTGGAACTTATCGTCCGGCATTAGACCCGCCATCTAGCGTCCTAGGACACAATGGCGAAAGCACTGCTCGAACGATTTCGGGTCCGGGATGACCACGAGCACGGATACGAGACGACAAAATGGATCAATCCTGACATTGCACCTCTGCCCCCGAACAGGAAGACTTGGGGAATGTGGGCATTCCTAGGATTTGGATCCATCTCCAAGTAAGTCCGATGAGATGCCAAGAAAGCTCGCTATTCGAGGCTTCTGTACTCACCATGAGGTTCCTAGTCTCTGCATTTCAGCATGGACAGGCGCGGCATCGTTACTCTCGCTAGGTCTCACAATCCCACAGACCATCGGTCTGATGATTCTGGCTAGAGCCCTCATCTGTCTGCTCGTCATCGGCAACGGATGGATGGGCTCGGAATGGCACATTGGCTTCACCGTGTCTCAAAGGTAAGCGACAGCACTCATTTCTGCGCTTGCTTCTAGGAAAACAAGGCCTTACCAAACTGACAAATTTCAATGCAGAATCATTCTTGGCATGAACGGTGCCTACATCGGTCAGCTGATCCGTATCATGCTGTCAATTGTCTGGTACGGATCTCAAGCCTGGCTAGGCGGTCTCTGCGTATCCGCCATGCTGAGCAGCTGGAGCTACAACTTCTTAATGATGGAGAACACGCTCCCGGAAAGCGCGCACATGGTCACCAGAGACCTTGTGGGATTTGTCATCTTCCACTTGATCTCTGTTCCATTCCTGGTGAGAGAACATGGCCATTATTCAACACTCAACAAGCGTCTTGCTAACCACTTCTTCACGCTGTATAGCTCATCAGAATTGAAAAGGCTAAGGTGCCCGTAATCGCAGCCAACCTAATCGTCTTCGTCACCATGATGGGCATCACAATCTGGGCCTGCACCACCGGAGGCACAGGCCCCCTCTTCGAATCCGGCGCGAAGCAGCCCTCCCTCCTGACCAAGGAATGGGCTTGGGTCTACGGCATCATCGCCTCGGTTGGCAACATCTCGGCCGGCATCCTGAACCAGAGCGACTTTACGCGTTTCGCCCGCAAGCAAGGGATCCAGGTCCCCGGCATCATCTTCTCCCTCTTCATCCCCGGCATGATCGTCCCCATCTTCGCCATCCTGACCGCCTCGGCGTCCATGGAAATCTGGCAGCTCGAGGAGCCCATGTGGAACCCCCTGACTGTCATCACGCAGTGGATGATGGACGACTACAGCTCCAAAGCCCGCGCCGGCGCCTTCTTTTGCAGTCTCGGGTTCGTCCTGGGCCAGATCGCCGAGAACATCCTCGGCAATGGGTATGCTGCCGGCATGGATCTCGCAGGTCTGCTCCCCACCTGGTTCACCATCAAGCGCGGTGCCCTCCTTGCCGCGGCTCTGTCCTGGGCCGTCCAGCCGTGGGAGTTTTACAACACCGCCAGCACGTTTGTTTCTGTCGCAGCCAGCTTCTCCGTCTTCATGGGCCCCTTGACCGGTATCATGATGACTGACTACTTTGTCCTCCGCCGACAAAAGATTGAAATCAGCCAGCTGTACACCGGGTCCAAGGAGGGCGCCTACTGGTACACCTACGGCTTCAACTGGAGAGCGTTCGTCGCTTGGGTCGTCTGCTTCGTCCCCGCCATGCCGGGGATGATTGCCGCCGTCAATCCCAACGTCAAGATCAACGACGGACTCTACAAGTACTACCTCGGAAACTACATTTTCGGATTCTTGGAAGCTGGAGTGCTGTACGCAGTCTTGACTTTCGTTTTCAAGCCCAAGAGACTTGGCTACCAGGATGGCTTTGACCTCTACGGCACGTTTGATGACGACACCGCAATCAGCAAGGGCATGGCGCCTTTCGAGAGACCAAAGGGACTGGACGGGCTTATTGATGGAACACCTGTGCACCTTGAAGATGATGACTCTAAGAACAAGCCCGGCCCTTCAAATGCTGTCTAAGCACTCAACTTCAACGCCGACAGGAGGAGACTGAAGCTATTAGATATAATCATATAGCTGACATAGCATTTGATCACATATAGACTTGATTTGATTCTTTGAAATTCTTGAAAAGGACCAATCAGCTTTTGACTAGGCTAGGATCCTATTTTGAGCATCTCTAACCCCAATATCTCCCTATTACCTTCGCAAGACGTTCCACTCCAGAATTGATTTCTTCATTCTACAGCACAAATATATCAGTTCATCCTTTATTCGCTTCAGTCTCGTAGAGTGAGATATCATGACTTACCGTCGGCGTAGCAAAAGAAAACCGGAAATGCGCCGTGCGCGGATCAGCACCCCGGGCCGACGTAGTCATCTTCTCTGGACCTTGCCAAGCATGATAGTACGACCCCGGTGTAAGGAGCACGAGTTCCGTCGCCCACGCCTGCCACAGCTCGTTTGCAAAATCTTGCTCTGGATCTCTATTGTTCGCGGCACCTTCAATCTGCATGAACCTTTCGACGCCGTCAAAGTAGAATTTGCACCACACAAACATGCCAGCGCCAGGATCAACGAAACTGAAAACCGGCTGTTTCACTTGGCCATCATGTGCACTTTTAATGCACGCTACAAGGCCCTGTGCTTGAGGCACGGGTGACTTCTCCGCGGGCACAATATCAAAGTGGGCGTGGAATGCGTCCAGGAGCCAGTCCCGTCTGGTGCGGTACTGCAACTGTAGGTTTTGGAGCCAGGTGAGGTAGCCGTCTACCCCCCACTTCCGAAGAAGGCCGAGGACAAATGCTTGGCTGAGACCAGCTGGGTCTTGCGTCTCGACCTCTGTTGCGCGGAGGAGACGCTCAGTGAAGACTGGATGGGCGACGAAGTATCCCAGGCGCAGACCGGGGAAAAGCGTCTTTGAGAAGGAGTCAAGGCGGATGACTCTGCCTTGCGTGTCCATGGAGAGGAACGTGGGTACGAGGGTGTTCAGGAATTCTGGGATAGGTTTAGGTATGGACGATGTCTCAACAGAGCTGCCGTAACTTGGGTATTGGAGAAAGTAGTAAGGGTCATCCTCGACGATGATGATATCTATCATATGTTAGAGACTGGACCATCAGCGGAAAATGTGCAGCTCAAGCGCACCAAACTCGACACAGATGTCGTAAATCTCCCTCCGTCTTTCTTTTGAAATCGTGATTCCTGTTGGATTCGATCCGACAGACACGAGATAGAGTCTATGTCTCATCAGACTCAAAAATCCAATGGCGTGAGATTTGATGGGACACTTACACTCGTGGTCTTCGGGCCCCTCTATCCCTCTCATCCCAATGCATCAAAATATTTCTGAGGTTCTTCGCCATCATTCCCGCCGCATCGGCAGCCACGGGAACAGCTTTGACTCCCAGTGGAATCCAAAGAGCTTGCGCTGATGGATACGTAAATTCTTCAACAAGAATGTAGTCGTCATCTTCGCAGAGCAGCCCGACGACTTTGGCCCACGCGTTGGTGTTACCGGGGTGTAGTAAACACTCGTACTCATAGGGCGGAGAATGAACCCTTTCAGTGAGCTCTTTTGCTAAATCTAACAGCTGCCGGTTGCCAGCCCCAGAGCCTGTTCGTCGTCAATATGAAAATGCAAGTCGGGAGTTGGAGGGTTCACTGAAACCAGTCCAGGTGGGACGGCATACCGTATTGAAGGAATTGAGTCAAATCTAAATCCCCTATAGAAGATCCACGTCCAAATGTCAGACCCAGTACATCATCTTTGTTTTGACCATCGGAATGTCGATCCGCTGTTAGAGAGGCCGCGGGAGATAGACACTCGAATTTGGCTTGGTCGAGGGGAAACAGAGATGGATGAGGCAGCCCTGCCGATTGTCAGATATCAAGTTATGGAATTCGGCTGAGAGACGGCGGTGTTACCTCCTGCAAAGCTGACCATGCCATCGTATCCCATAAATTTGATAATGTCTTTCAACGGCGAGGGATGGCGAGCTTTACTCTTCGCGTTGATGTGGTGGGACAAGTCTACCATAGCGGACTTGTAACCAAGGCTTCCCATCTTGCCAGCGGTCTCCGGCGTAGTTTGAGTCGCAGGGGTCAAATGATACCAAGGGGCTTGAGCAAGGGCAATATGCCAAGTTTACTCAGCCTTCGACAAAATCCCGAAAAACCAGTGGACTTCTCGCCGAAGCATCTGGTGTCTTATCTAAGCTTCATATTCTTTGTATGTTCCCGTTCATCGCCCTATCAGACTGTCTCACACGCCAATAGCCGGCTCTTCGGCCGGAGATCCGATTGAAGCATGGGTACGTATCTTATCAGTCAGGTTCCCGCGGAGGAAGATACCAGCCGTTATCGGCCCCACATCGGAACGGATCTCGGACCCCATCGGAGGCCAGTTCTGTTACCGAAACCCTCGTAGGATTGGCATATTCATCAAACAGTCTGGAGCCTGTAGCCCTCGTTGAATTACACGAAAGGTATTCACGCATTGAGGTTGCTTCCACCATGGGCAATACCATTTCATACCAAGAAACGCCGGTCGAGCTCGAACTGGGTGACCGAGGCACAATCCGCGGCCTCCAGCTCGACGACAAGTCCCGACGCTACACCGGGGTTCCTTACGCCCTGCCGCCGACTGGCGAACACCGGTGGCGCAAACCTCGGCCGTTGCCCACGTCATACTCCTACACCGATGGTAATGGAGGTGCCTATGACGCGACAAAGTTCAAATCCGTGTGCCCTCAGAAGGCCTTCCACGTGGTCAAGCCAGATGGCGGAGGAAATACGTACAGCGAAGACTGCTTATTCGTCAACATTTGGACCCCCGTGCCAAAAGAGGGCGAGGCAAACAAGAAATGGCCGGTACAGCTCTGGATCCATGGCGGCTGGTTCCAGATGGGCGATCCATCCCAAGAGCCGGGGATGGACGCGACGGAGCTGATTACTACGGGCGGGCTCAACGCCGTTGTCGTAGCGATCGGATACCGCCTCAACGTGTTTGGGTTTCTCGCGGGTAACGATCTCCTGCAGGAAAGCAACGGCGAAGCAGGAGGAAATTTTGGTCTATGGGATCAACGCGTGGCGGCAGAATGGGTAAAGGACAACATTGCTTATTTCGGAGGAGACCCGGGGAACCTGACGCTCGCCGGCCGCAGTGCTGGGGCGTACAGCGCCGAAGCACAGATGCTCTACGACTTTCGGAAAGCCGGTAGCAGCTCTTCGCTGTATCGTCGCATTTTCATGGACTCGAACGCGATTCCAGCGCAGCCAAAGTCTCTCGCCGATGTCCAAGGCCAATTTGAGGAGCTCTGCGAATATTTCAAGATCGACGTTGCTATTTCTGGAGGCGAAAAGCTCTCGATTCTTCGGGGGAAGACGGTTGAGGAGCTAGTGGAGGCGATCCCTAAGTTGAATAATCACACATTCCGACCCGTTACAGATGATGTCTTCATACACTCGGGTATGATTGAGTACCTCCAAAGCAAGGGGTTCGCAGACGAGTTCAAACGAAGAGGGTACAAGTTACTCATCGGCGAGGTCCGCAATGAAGAGACTCTCTACTCCTCCTACAATTCGCCTACAGAGCCCACGCTGGAAGCTCTGCGCTTGCAAGTCTCAAACTACTATGCTCCAGACGTCACAGACCGTGCTATTCAACAGTATACCTTGCCAGAAACAAACAAATTGCAAGACTGGAAAACCGCCTTTGGTAGGAAAGCCCGCGTGCAAAGGAAAGGAGTGCAGTTTGGTACAGGGCTACCATTGCTGACCAATTTGACCTAGGATCAATCGTTTCGGACGGCCAAGTGCGCGCGCCATCCAGGGCGCTGGCGAAAACGCTGGTTGACAACGGCGTTAACATTCGAGACGTGTGGCGGTACCAAATCGCCTACAGGCTGTCCTTCATTGACGAAAAGGTAGCGCCGGCATCGTTCGGGGTGGCGCATGCCATGGATAGGCCGATCTGGAAGTGAGTCCCTTTTTCTTCTCCTTTCGCATACCTTACTTGAACCCGTCATCTATACGCGCTTGCTGACATGTCGACAACCCAGCTTTTCAATCACTCATGGACCTACCGCGGCCGAAAGAAAGCTGATGGAAGACTGGATCCAAATCTTGGTCAATTTCGTGAACGATACTGTGGACTACGAGTTTGGGACAAAGAGCGTTGACCAGATGAAGGTCTTGACTCCGGAGGGAACGATCGAAGTTCGACCTGATGAGCGATGGAATGAGCTGGTGGAGTTAGGGGATATTTTTGCTGGCAAGTGAGCCTCTCTCTGATCCGAGGCCACCGGTAGCATCAATTCGAAGACTTTTGAATCACTTTCACTTGCAGCTTGAATCTAATGGTGCGTCATTCGACCTCTACGAAAAGCTATCGATGAAGGCTACACTGTTGACACTACGTGGTCTCTGGGTTCCGACGAAGCACAACACCACCAGCACGTTCTACACTTTGTGCGGCAAGCATGACCAACGAGATACGAAGTAATTACGCGCCGGACCAGAGTCGGCAGAGTGGCCAAGACATGGATCGCTTCGAAGAAGTTCGCTGAGCTACTACAGCACGGTTGGCAAATCCACAGTGCTGTACCACCTCGAGTGGCCATGGATTGCCCTCCACGGCGTCATGCTGGTCTCGGCGATTGCATTCTCATTTGTCACACTCAGCAACTTCGGCAGTCGTGACAATTTGCCGTTGTGGAAGAGCAGTTCTTTGGGGCCGCCATTAGGCATGGGCGCGATGTCGGCGGTGTTCAGAGCCGCAGCACTACTGGGCAAGATAGAAGACACTGCTGGGAAAGCCAGTGTGCATTTGCTTGGAAAAGATAGCGAGCAGAAGGAATCTTGTATTGATCGTACAATAGTTTCAAGCCCGTCCGAATCACAACATAGTTATTTATTAAAAACTTGATCGAGCGGTTACTAGAATACCTCATTGATGTCACAACAGGCAAGAGGCGGCAGTTTCCAAGACCGGCTAATACTTGTACTTGAAGTAAATGTTCTCCCTGTCCGTCATGTCGGCCTCAGCGTTCAACTTTCCGAGACGCTCGCTTTCCTCTTCCGAGATTCCTTGCTCGCGAATAAGCTTATCCCGCCTCTTATTCTCCCAAATGTCTTGGATGAAAAGTCAGCCTTCACATTCAGATATTATGAGCGGGGCTGGCACCTACAGTAGAAGCGCCAAGTAGCCATGCTGCAGAACTCGACGCAGTAGAGAACAGCACAAGCAGTGAGACCACGAATGTACTTTGGTGCGTCAGATGCCACGAACATTTGGGCACCCACCGCGTTCCCCACGCAATAGGCGACAAATAGGACTGTGGATGTAACTGTCTTCTTGGTCCTACCTGCTACATTGGACGGCAAGAAAGTCCAAATCACTGTGTTCCGTCAGTATATGAAAAGACAGGGCGAACATGGTGGACGGCGAGACACGTACTCAGACCTGGCAGCGACCCGAAGACTTGCAGGATATACATTCCCCATCTCGTCCACTTCATAGACGTTGTGGGAAGAAAGGCCAGAGCCATCATGCCACTGAAAGCCGGCAAGAGAGAAAACATCATCATCAAGACTAGTGAAGCCAAAAGTCAGTTGGTTCAAAGTCTAAGCTTTCATTGTAGGAGACTTACATCTAAGATTCGGCTTCTTCAACGTGACAAATCCAACTATCAAGAACCAGACGATGCTCACGCAGTAATAAGGGGTAGAGCCCTTCAGCAGCGTCTCCAGCGGTGTGAATCCGAATGACTTCCAGATCAATTTTGAAAATGTCGTGTTCGCTCCGTTAGGCAAGGCATTGATGATGGTAACGAAGAAGAAAAAATAGGTTTGGGGGTCTGCACATTGTAGCATCAGCCTCTGTTTTGCTCGCGTCGTTATGGCATCTAGTTCTTACCCTTGAATGTTGCCCACACCTGCTCCCATTTGAACTCGGATCTTTTTTGACGATCCGAGCCGGTCTGGTTGACGATGACGCGCGCCATGGCAGCCTTCTTCTCTTCTTCGTTGAGCCATCGGACTTCACGGGGTGTGCCGAGTATAAACCAGACTAGGATGCCGCACACAATCGTTAAACCGCCGAGAAATAGCGAGATTCCCTTCCACTAGCAAAGGTGTGTTAGCCCAAGTTGGTCGCGAGCAGGCTGAATACTCGACTTACTGCAGCCAAGCCATTCGGGTCTTTCTGGGCGTGCAGTCCAATTCCATACATGCAAAGCCCGGTAATGATGTTCATCCCGGCATTTGATGTTCCCCAAAGCAGAGACCTTAGGGTGTGTTCCTGGGAGGTATACCAAGTTCCGGTAATAAGCATAAACGTCGGCGAGATCGTGCACTCAAGGGCCCCCTGCAGCGTGCGAAGAATCATGAGATGCGCAAAGTTCTTGGCAAAGGCGATACAAAGGACGACCACACCCCATAGAACCATGACGACCGACAGGAACTTGCCCGTGTGGCTCTTCTGTATCAGCCAGTTTCCCGGGAACTCGCAGACGAGGTAGGAGATGTAGAAGATGGTGCTCAGCCAGTTGAACTGCTCGCCCACGAGCCCCGTGTCTTCCCGCAGGCCAAAGACGGCTTGGACGCTGAGGGATGTCTTGTCGGCTTGCTGCGTGCCATAGCACACCCACATCAGCGGGAGGAGCCATAGATCGATTTTGAAACGAAGATTTCGGAAGTAGCTGTCGGAATATTCGGTCGCATCTTCGACGGAGCCTTCGAGGATATCATCTGGCTTGCTGGTCTCGTCAACTTTGGGTGACTTCTTGGAATCGGCTGTGGAGGCCATGTTGGATTCAACACTGATGTTTGAATGCAGCTACCAAACTCTCTAGTTACTAAGAACTTGTGTGAACAGTTCCATTCAAAATTCCACTTTGCAAAGCAACACATGGGTCCACCACGAAGAGGAACACACTGCTTATACGTATCTATGACTATCTTGTACAGTATTTGACCGGTGCAGATCCTCCGCATGCGTTATCAAGGAGACTTCTGAATCTTGGGGCCTCGGTCCCATTACTGGGGGTTTCGGCCGGATCTCATCCGGCCGCGATACCGGAGATAACGGCCCACGACGCATTCCTGGTTATATCAACAGCCATTCGACGATAAGAACGGCCGCGGTGTAAGAAGCCAGTTATCTACTTGGCGATAGTCGCCCGATCGAGATTACATATCGGCCCGCGATCCGGCCGACCTTACCTCAGGTTCACAAGCCCTCCCTATCGATGGTATTTGTCCACAGGACCAGATTCGTCATCTAGGAGTGCACAGATATGATGATTTCGAAACTTACTTGTGTACTTCTTGCGAACTGGCTTTCCTCTTGTGTATGATAGGACCCAAGGAACCTGGAGAATTGCACAAGGTCTCCGAACATTGCCATAACAACACACGAAGCAGATCACACTATGGCCAACCATATTCAGTCCTCCGTTGTGAATGCACCAGGAAAGACAAGGCTACGTGAGTCCTTGGAGCGCGCGAAAAGAGGTCAAGGGCCTAGTGTTGGTCAATGGCTCGAGTTTCCCGGCTATTCTCTGGCGAGAACGGTAGCACCTTTGGGCGAGGATGTGAGTGGGCATCGCCATCTTGCACCACACATGATACTAACTAAGCTGAGTCTAGTGGGTTCTCATAGACACAGAGCATGGGAACATTGATGACAGTCAGATGTATCTGCAAGTTGGGGCCATCTCAACCTCGGGGGTATCTCCAATTGTGCGAATACCCGCTTCAGAACATTGGATGATGAAGAGAGCTCTAGACTGTGGAGCACACGCAATCATGGTACCGATGTGTGAGACCAAGGTAAACCTCTTTTAACAATCACTTGAGATTTTGCCTTCAGCTAATGAGAAACCCAGGAGCAAGCTGAAGCCATTGTCCGCGCTTGCAAGTATCCCTCCTCGCGCTGGCCACAAGGGCTTCGAGGTGCTGGAGCAATGTTTGCCCCTGCAGCTTTCAACCAAAGCGGCCGAGAGTATCTTCTTACCGCCAACGACAACGTTATGATCTGCGTCCAGATTGAGAGCCGAAAGGCCGTGGAGAACGTTGAGGAAATCGCGGCTGTTGATGGCATCGACATGTTGTTCATCGGACCCAACGACCTCGCATCATCGATGGGATACGTGGCGTTTGACCATGCCTCAATACCCGAAGTCCAAGAAGCATCGGCCCGTGTGCTGAAAGCGGGGCTTGAAGCTGGAAAATACGTCGGCCACTTTGCGCTTGGTGCTGATGCTGCGGCGTTGAAGTATGAGCAAGGCTTTCACTTTGTCAACTGCGGAGCCGATATCGTTGCCATTACAGCCTGGATGTCTGCCGAGATGGCGAAGTTGAGGGTCTTGGTGGCGGACACAGGGAGGGGAAGAGACGAGGTCAGACAGAAGACTGATACAAACAAGGAAAGCCAAGATTTAGAGGACTGATCACTTGCAAGCGAGGGTCATATTGGCTAATTATAGCTAAGGTATAGGTAGTCAACCTCGGCGCTAGTGTACATGTACAACTGGACATTGCTGATAACTATAAGTTGACATGACGTTGTCGGAAAGACCTGACTAATGGTGCAGTCACTACTTCACCAGAGCACAGGACATCAAGCACGAGAAAACGCAAAAGTCATTCGTCAACGCGAATTTCCAGGCGCAAATAAAATCAGCCTACCCGAAGAACACCTATAGCGCACTGAAGGATTGCCGACGCCGACGATGCAGGACCCGGCAAGACCGTTCCAGAACAAATGAAGCATGATTTGCAAATGAGGAAGAGCTCCGTCGTCTCAGCTCGGTGATGAAGCATGGGTTTGGCTTTTGATGCAAAATGTAGCATGAAACATACACAACTACCTACTCAGACGACGCCGGTTGATTATCCAGCACCCACCTCACCCCGCGAACAACGACCTCCGGCTGCGTCATCTGCACAAAATGCCCACTCTCTCTCGCAAATATAATCTCACTCCTCCTAGAGAGCTTCAAAAACTCTCTCATGAGCCCCTCACTCTTCGCATCAACAGTCTCAATAATCGCCCTGACATGCCTCCTCTCCTCCTCCGTCCCGTTCCCCCTCGCGACGCCCGCCGCGTATAACCCGCTCCAATCCCGGCTCCGCGTACCCGCAATCACATACACCGGCTTGTCACCGAGAAGCGGCTGTCTGGTCTCCAAGCCCTTCCTTCTGAGCGTCTCAAAACTCGGCGCGTACCCCTCGGAATTCTCCCGCTGCGCAATCAGCTTGTGCTTCTTGGTGGCCTCCGCCGCGATAAAGGCGTCCCACTCCTCTTGCGTGAGCTTATGCGACGCCGCCAGCCCCCAGGCGGCGTATACATTGACCCCCGCGGCGACGGTCCAAAGGACGGGATCATTGACGTTCAGCACAAGCGGCGCCGTCTCGTGGTTCGCGTCCACAAGCACAAGGCCTGCGACCTGACTGGTCCCCTTGAGAGCAAAGTACTCGTGCGTGAGCACGCCCGCCCAGGAGTGCCCCGCGAGAATCAGCGGGTTCGGAATGGGCGCGTGTTCGAGCAGGAGAGCGAGCTCTAAGGCGATGTTCTCGGCCGTCGGGGGGGAGGGCGAGGGGTCTGAGTTCCGGTAGCCGGAACGGTCATACGTGTAGCTCCGCAACTGAGAGGGGCCGAGAAGCCGCACTACGGCTTGCCAGTTGAGGGCGTCGCTGGCCACGCCGGAAACGAAGAGCACGACGGGGTCTGTGGGGCTTCTGGGCTCCGGTCCATGGGCGTAGAGTGCTAGAGAGTGGGTGCCGATGTTGACGAGACGGCCGTTTGGAGGAAGAGTTGAAGTCATTATTGGGATATGTATGTGTGAAGTCTGAGGGTTTATGTATTCTTGGCAACTCACAAGAGGGTTGGGATTTTGAAGGTCACGGTTTGCCAATTGAATTGAATACAACAGACGGTTTCAGAAGGACAAAAACCGATAAAATAGTAAGACAATGAAAGAGCGATGAAGTTAGTTTATAATGTCATCAGTCGGCGCCCTTCTAAGAACACCCATAGCCGTGCTGAGCCGCGCAGCCCGCGCAGCCCCCTGTCCAGGCATACGTCTAATAACGCTTAACCGTTTATGTAGTAACTAACCGCCGTTGATTATAAAGCGTACAGGGCCTTCCCCGTCTTTAAGCGGCACAAAACACTTCCTGTCCAGGCTTACATTCGGGATTTCGTGCTTACTTCTTGTTCAAGTGGGTCTGGGTGGTTAGGTTAGTGTCCTAGGTGCCTGGCTCACCCTGCTCACCATTCCCACCCAAAATCGCGCGATCTTATGGCGGCGCTTCATCCAGTAGAAGATGTTTCTGACACAAAACAGACGATTAGCTCAGTTATGAGATTCCCAGTACAGCTGTGGACAAACAACGATCGCTATACAACATTTCTGAAGCTATTGATTTCAGTTGTTTATGCCCCTCGACCTATCCAGTCCATGAAGCAAAAAGCATGGGATCCATACATGAATTATAACGAAATGGCTCTGAGCCTGTAGCATGACTCCAAGCCCCGTCGTCAATGCCAAGGGAAGAAGAAGGGGCGCCTTCAACATAAGCATACGGTCTTTTCCTGGTCTTTGGGCCGTTTTGTGATGATAACCTTTCTCCATTGCCACGATAGGCAGGAGAGTTACCAGCAATCTCGTTGCGGCGTCGGACTAGCAACTGCTCGATAATCTCTCTACTTCTCTTGGCCCCTGACCACCGAGGCTCCAGGTCCTTGAGAGATTTGGCACACTTTTCAGCGTCCTCCAATATGACTTGACTACTGCGATCAAGCGGCACACGGAGACTGGGACGGATTTTCCGTAAGCGCGTGTGATAAACATACCAGACAGGGCTCCTAGAACTCACAGGATTATGCCGGAAAGCGTAAGGTAGTGAACACAAATGGCCAAATGATGTGAAGATGGCACCAAGTCTCGAACCATGTCCGCGACGTAAACGCAGCCTTGCGCAGCATTGACGCACTGATCAATGGCACCCGAAACGTCGACATCGTTGCGTGTGGCCAATTCTTTGGGGTAATTCAAGAAAAATCTGTGATCAGTAAGCTATCCGGTCAAGCACTAGTCGAGTTGTTGGTGGGCTTACCGATACAAGTTGATGAGTGACCCTGCGTGTAGGAAGAAGATGATTACACAGTTGACCATAGATATGTCTCCATGGCTCTTGTTCTTCCTGTTTGCGGAAAATTGAATGTCGCCTGGTAGACTCTCGAGCCACTTTCGAAGAGCCTGGTCATGAGCATCGACGCGAGCCAAGAACCTTTGGGTTTTGTCTGCATTTGCGGAGGCAATTTTCCTCAGCTTCAAGGGGGAGCTGAACTCCTGTATCTTGCCTGCAAGTCGGCAGAGTCTAGCAAAAGCCAAGAAACCACTCATGGGACTCGGCGTATTTTCTTCGCTGATAGTCCCATTCTTCTGGCATGAGCCAGACACCACGTCTTCGTCCCGCATATCCAATGGTAATTCGCAGTGGCAGTCTTCATCTTGAACAGCCAGAGGACGTCCAAGGCAAATTGAAGTGATTCTGATAAGAGGAACGCATTTAGCATTGGTTAAAAACGCCGCCAAGGTGAACTTGGATGTCATATTACCTGTCCAGAGTGTAGACACACCACCACACGCGTCGAGAATGCTCAAGACGAATACATTCCTTGGTGTTTTTGACACTAACGGTCGAGTGCTGATATTCAGATAGCTCCAATTACATTAGCCTAGGTAGTTTAGATAGAATACAATGGATCATCTTACCGAAGTGCTACTAACATGCAAGCCCTTATCAATAGCAGCTCTCACTGCTTGGCCGGCCAGACTCCAGCTTTGCGAAATAGTATTCCACCCTGCTGAGCACATGGATAACAGTCCGAGGCATTGGACCTTCTCTAGAGAGGCCTCTCCAGTTGATCTAGAGATGATAAGAAGAGCATTTTGGTAGAAGTCGATGCCTGGCAAGCTGCTCTCCGAGTTGGTCGGCAGAAGGCCGGATGCGCACGCGCACACTGCGAAGAACACCATCAGGAACCTCCGAGTTTTGGGTGATGAACAGTCTGAGCCAGCTCGCAGCAGCTTTTGATACCGGCTCATAAAGTGCGGTTTGATAAGAATAGGAAAGGTGTAGTGAAGCTTGTCAAAATACAAGCTGACGAGCAAGTCTGAGACGTATTGGGGCGGACGCGGTAGGCTCTCTGGTTCGGGGAGATAGGGAAGCGGAGGCCAGACTTTTCCGTGGACAAAGGAAGGTATCTCAAGGTCCGGTAGGTTTGGTGTATTGTAACTGGCTCCGGTCGAGGATGGCGTGGTATTTACAACACTTGGCAGGAGGCTCTTTGCAGCCTCGACGATGAGGTTTGTCGCTGCGCCGCCGACGAAGCTGATATACAGAAGTGCTTAGTGTTTGAAGAAAAAGGGTCTATCAACTCGACATCCTTACCGTGTACGGCCGTATGAGTCTCGTACGAGAGCGCCTGCTCGACTAAGGCCCTCAACAGTTGACTCAGTCCAGCTATCGGTGTCAGTGCTAGAGTCAGAGTCTTCGCTGGTAGAAGATGGTGTTTCGACCAGGTCGGTGGTGCCTTTGTACGAGTCAGTGTTTGCTGCCGCTCCCACTGCCTGTCGTGGAGACGTAGTTGCCTGGGACAGCAACGTAGTAAGACATGGCAGAGATTTGAGAATATCAGCTGCTTCGTTACTGTCACAAGGCCGACTCTCGCTTGCTGACACAGGCGGAGGTCGGTCGAGAATGTTGATCGACTGCGCCAGCTGGCCAGTAAGCAGCTCTAGCCGTTGGCAAAGTGAACCCATCTGTTGACATCGTTCTTCAAAAGATGTAACGTAGCTGCCTCAGATTAAGACTTTTGCAGGACCCCGCAGTGGTATGAGAAGCTTCTTACTAACGACTGGCAGAAGCATTGTCCTTGGTTCCAGGAAACTCACATGCCTGATCACGGGAGCTGCAGTTGTGGCAGGGTTGCTTTCCATCGCATTTGATCTTCAAGTCTTTCTGTCAGTTCTTACTGAGTGGTATCATACGTGGAGTATGCACTTATGCTTCATAGCAAAGAGACAGACCTTTTTGCGCCGACAGGCAAGACAAGCTTGCCAAACCCGGCCACCGGCCGAGTCGGCGGCTGATGGGCCTTCTGGCTCGATGCCGCCTACGTCCTCTTGGGTAGACATGGCGAATTGTCTCAAAAATTGATGAAATTTAATGGGACTTCAAAGGTCTAGGAGATAACGTAGAATGTCCCTTCTAAGTCAAAAATCTGGAAGCAGTGAGAGATACACGGTAAACCGGAGACCGACCGGAGACGATCAGAAAAGTGTCGGGCTGCCTTATCTACGATTACAGTAGCTCCGACTCCACATTGCCCCACCTCCCACATCTTTATCTCTATCCAAAGCTGGGCTGTCAATGATGACTGGAGGTACACAAGTTGTCGGACATTGTACAGATAGATACTCAAAGGGCTTCCGACACAGCATCTGCGGGAAGCAGGGTTATTATGGTAATCATATTGTGTATCCAACGTTACGAGGAAACCGACTGGAAGATTACAGCCAGGTTTCTAATCTCTTGCATCGCCTTTCTTCTCCCTGTACGCAGTAATAGTCAAAGTAGAAGTGTCGGTTCCCGAAGCCGTGCTACAGCACTACATATATGTTTCCGAATGAATTACCTAGACTTAAATGTGCTAACACGTACTTGATGTAAGTATTGCTTTATTTCCAAATAGGCATCCTCCATCTCTTACTTGCAGCACAATACTTTAGGGGTGTAGTCTTATTTACGTCAAGTCTACGACAAATTGAATGAACACAAGTTGACATGAGGTGATACGACGAATAGTTGAGAAATTATTCATGCCCAAGCCGAAATGATACACAAGAGCAGTTTGACGGACCCGGTTTACAAACTTGTTGCACACATATCAACTTGATAACTCTCTCTCTTAAATTGATTCTATAGTGCTTTCAACCGCCTTCTTTCGAGACCAGAAGAATTTCCTTTCCAGTCCAGGCCTGAAACCATCCTTATGCTTGTTGGCTCACTCGTCCTAACTCGTTGGTTTGGGCTTCTCGCCGCCCTCCACGCTCTTCCATTTTAGCGTGAAGGATCCCAGCGCTAATAGCAATGCCGTGACAGCACCGACGATGAACATCTATCTAATCGCTTTATTATATTTGATAAGTACTATAGTTAGGTCCGCCGTATGTATAGTATCGCGCAGGGCTGTTACGCAGGTGTTCATAATAATTTATAGATCTAGATCCTGGACGGCGCTGGTGAGACGCTCTATGAACTTGTTGTTGAGCATAATCTGACCGATAGACGCAAAGATGGCGCCTCCTAGTTGCTGGAAGAAGAAGATGAGCGAGAACGCCTTCGTGCTATGCTTCCGCTGGAGCTCCGTCTGCACGGCGATGGGGCCATGCCGCAGGCTCACACCGATGCCGAAGCCGAGGATGATCTGGAACCCGACATAACTCCTGGTGCCGGAAAGAAGCCCTCCACCAACGGGGATCAAGACGGAAGATAAGATAGTGAAGGCCGGGCAATAGCCGATACGGCTGACGAGTTGGCCGGATAGAGTGCTCGCAATCACGAGGGAGATGAAAAGCAGAAGCGTGGCGGTGCCAGATTGAACGGCGCTTTTGGCCTAAATAGCCTCAATCAAGATAGGGAGGTAGTAGATGAGGAGGAGCATCGTCGATGCGAGGCAAGACATGTACTATACGGCCGAGACGACGGTACGGTTCTTGATGCCTTCGAGCTAAAGAGTTGCATTTTTCTGTCTCAGAACCTCCGTTGCGATAAAGGCGACCAGGCGGACGGCAAACAAGGCGATCAGGAGAACGACGCGCGAGCTATTCCAGTCGTGCATGATTCCTCCCAACTGGAGCGCAAGCCACACAGAATGGGCGAAACGAGTGGAAGGGGTATCTACCTCGACCGCCTGTGTCGCGCTTCACGGCCCGATGTGCCTTTCGCTCTAGCTTTGAGCCTTCTGGTGCATTCAAATTATGGTAAAATGTACAGGGAGTCTAGCGACAAAGATGTATGTTGACGGAGGCAAGGAAGATAGGGCTTAGTGAAGCATAGCTATATGATCCATCATGATTACTTTTCTGCAGTAATTGCCCGTATCTAAGTCGTTGAGCTACCAAGCAAATCTTTCCTCAGGGAAGAATCCAAACAATTTGGTTTGAGCCGCCCGAGGAACGCACATCAATAAACCTTTTGTCGACGTCATGACTTTCCGGGTCCTCCAACTCGAAGTCATCAATGAATCGCAAAGCATTTGCGGCATTATTGAAGCCCGACTTTGGTTTATCCGAATCTAATACGCGTCCGACCACGTTGTCTGATGTCTGACGAATCCCTTTTTCCCACCAGATTTTGCGCACTCGGAAACCCAGCACGAAGTCATCTGAATCTTCAACTCCAGTCGCGCGCTCCAAATGTCTCTCATTCTTTGCGTTTCCGCCTCCCGACGTTGAAGTGTTCGGTTCTGTCAATGCTGCCTCTCCACCGGCCTCTCTGACTTTGGTCATCGTCGAAGACCAGCTTGTTCCCGTTGCAATCATGAGGCCGGTGATCATATAAATCGGTGCTTGCAGCCTCCTGGCCGTGACATAGGCTCTGACCTTTGGGATTTCAAGCGATTTGGCCCTATATTCCTCGTCCGGCATGAATGTCCGCGTGAGCAGCTCCTTCACGGTTAATAACTCTCCGGTACCGCGGGAGCGGCTGAGCTTTGCAGATAAGCCACCCAATCTGAATACTCTTGCCCATATCCCAGCTTCGACCGATCGGAGCTCACTTTCGCTACGTGTGAAGCCTCGCTCTCGGTGTGGCCCGTCTCTGGGATAAATTGCATCTTCGTCGATGGATTCTACCTTCCCGACGTTGAGCGGGAATTGAACACTATCTTCGTCGAGACCTTTGAGAATGGAACCGAGGGTAAGGAACCCATTCGGGGGCGGTGGGATACGAAAGTCGGGGCAGAGGTGATACGAAGGCATGCTCTCTGATCGGCTTCGGCAGCGCTAGCAGGAAAGTATCGGGTCACGCGGGAATCGATATTAAGCTGCGGTATACTGGAGTTTGGAGCTCGAGAAAAGTCAATTGCGGAGGGAAAGGTTACGGATGGGGAAACCCTTCCGTTTTGTGTTGTTTGTGCCACTACCTACTTACTTCGACACCTATGTAGTCTCAGATTCCTGCCTGATCGCACCATGCATACATAAAGTAGCCTTGGGCTGAAAATGGCCAACAATGAGACAGCTTGAATTGCACATCAGAGAGGGGATACTGCTTGGCAATTGAGTTACCGAGCTTACAGAGATCACGTGGTCATCTTACGTGCATATGGTACAGAAGACTTGATGGAAAGCTCATTCGCTGACCTGGCTGTGCCTCATCTTATGACAGGTTGCTCTCCCTTTCCCCTCACCCGATCGTTCGAATCTTCCAGTAAATACGTCTCAGTAACCGCGCCTCCCACTGAGATTGCCGACAAGAATTTTTGACTCGCCCTAATAACTTCCTCACTTGACCAGTAGACTTGCTTTGTTGACTACGGTCGTAATCAGAGTGCCAAAGTACCTCAGCATTTTGGCTATTCAGCTTCAGAATTGAAACTTCCAGACATCCAGCTTCCGGGAAAAGACTTTTCATCTGCTGAAAGTACTGCAGGTTTTCCACTTTCACATTTCAGGTATCTCGTCAACCCAGAGCCGAAATTAACTTCTTACAATCGTCGCCGGCTCTTGTCTAACTATCTTCGCTTTTCGCTATGTCTTTAGTTCCACAGCCTAGCAGGACAGAAAGTTTCTTCGCCGAGTGCAATGAATTCTTTCTGATCAGCGAATTAAGTGACCACTGCTACGGTCGTCTTGGTAACGCTCAGATTGGGATCGCAGCAGGGCCTTTCAAGCGTCGGAATGAGCATCGGATTTTGAACATTGAATTGAGGAGAGCTCTCACGCAACCAGACAACATTGATCTCATACTTGACTTCGACTGGTTCGAAGATAATGAGAAAATTGTTGAAGTCACCAAGCTCCTTCAAGATATGTGCCAGCTTCTAGATGGCCTTTCCATCTGTGTAGCTGAGATATCGGAGCAGCGATCTAGCGACAAGTACGCCAACCTGAACGTCGTGCTAGCACAGATTGAGACCTCAGACACAGAGTTTTTCCAACTCTTCTCTGGGTCCGGTTCATCTCCATCATTGTTCAAGCACCCTTCAAAAGTCAATCGAGCCCACGGAATCCAGGTAATAAAGGACTTCAACAGGTTCCTGGACCAGCTCCCAGGATCTTACATCGACTCGAACGTTATCATTGAGAGACCTCCAACCACGGCACTTGTATCCGAAAACGAGCCTTCGAATATGATTTCTCTTCCTGTTTATCAAAACCATGAAGAAGCTGCAATCAAGGCAATCTTCTCAAGGTTTTCGAGATGCAACCACCAGAAGGCGAAAGGCCATGAATTGTTGGTGCAGCTACCCACAACAGAGAGAATATTGTCCGGATATAACCAGGCTGGCGACTTTGAGATGGATTTGTTCCTCAATGCCTGCCCAGATTTGTCTCGATGGCAAGAGGCCCAAGTCATGCGCGTCAGGTACGTTTGATGTATCCGTCATGAGACTCTTGTTGACAATGAAAAAACAGAGGTCAAGATCGCTACCTGACTCCCGAGCTAGAACCATCAATATGCGAGGTCATTAATGACGCGTTACACTATGCAGGCGGTCTACACTTCCACATGCAGGATCTATTCCCCAGCATCTCAGAGGAGGACTTTAAAATCCCAATGTACCAATTCGTGGAGCCGAAGCGCGGTCAGCGTAATTCGTTTGTAACACTGCCAGAATTGCTGGATGATGGGACCTTCGTCTCGAAGCCACGTTTGGAACAATCTCGACATCCGAGGGGGCTTCGTTCTGTCAGTATGCAGGACAAGAAAACGCTAGCTGTTCAAATCCTGTTTGGCATTTTAATGTGTCGCCGATATGGTTCTACAATCGCGACTTGGGATTCCCAAAAAGTCTTCATTCTCTGCAATGAGGATGAAGAACAGTCGATCAACAAGCTCATCTACGTGTCCTGCGCCGAGACGAAGACTCCAACACCCTGTATCGACCTCCTGGATCCCGAGAAGATCCTTGGAACCTCAAGACCTCCTCCATCGCGGACTTGTACTGAGATGGCAAAAGTCTTGCTGGAGATCGGGCTTGGCAACCGCTTGGTTGACCACGACGCGAACGGCGACAGAAATGACGAAGAAGTCTGGACAGAGCTCTACGGAAGGGTGCGACAAATGAAAGCCAGGAAAGACAGCAGTCTCATGGATGAAATCAGCATTCTTGATATGCTTCCCTACGTCGCTGCCGCGGACAGATGCCTTCGCCTTCCTTTGTCGTATCGGAGCGAAGTCAGTCGGCTTAAGAGAGGACAAGGTGTGGACAAAGTTGATGCATGGTCAATAGTGGAAAGCATTGTTCGCGATCAGATTATTTCTGAGCTACTTAAAGATGGCTGTGTAGAGCCCATCATTAAGAGTATGGATAGCATGATATCAGCCCGCAACCAAGCCCAGGAGGCCTCGGCAGCTAAGACGAGTGTCAAGGCACAATACCCAATCACTGATCGTGGCGCCAACCCCTCTACTCCTCGGCAAAATGCAATAGCTTTGTTCGACGCCAGCTCAAAAACTTTCAAAACATCCAGGTGAGTAATTCGAGGTGGCTTCATTACGCAAAGTATCATTAGAGACGACAAAGTCTTACGAAACCAACGTTTACAGTTTAGTTGGGTCGGCCGAGGAGTTCTTCAGCCATCTCACGTCTTTTCGAAACTCATTCGAGTCTTGTCTGGAAAAGAGTGACGACCCGACTGCCCGGAAGATTCGCATCGCCATTCTTGACACTGGGATAAATAAGTCTAGTGTGGGTATAGATTTTGATGGTATACATATGAAGGTTGAATGGTGTACCAGTTTTGTTGGGGATCCGGACGAGACTCATGATTACGACGGACACGGAACACATTGCGCCTCGCTACTCCGGAAGGCTGCCCCTGACGCTGAAATCTACGTGGCGAAGGTATTCAGTCGTAACGAGTTCGATTTGAAACAGGCTGGCAAGATTTCCGAGGTAAATGATGCTTCAAACGACATCCCCTACCAACCCTCGGCCAACAACGCTGACCAACATCAGGCCATCAAATATGCTGTGAAACATTGGGATGTCGATATTATATCAATGTCATTTGGTCTACACCTTCCGTCATCAGAAGAGAGTATGCCAGAGTGGAGGAAGGTCAAAGCCGATATTCAAGGGGCGATTGACCTAGCACGTCCCCGGCTACTCTTCGCGGCTGCCTCGAATGAGGGCAAAAACCGGTCGCGTGCTTTTCCGTCGACAGACCCTTCAGTTTTTTCAGTACATGCTTCAGATGGTTTGGGCTGTAATCGTGCTATCAATCCTCATCATGACGATGCGGAAAACAACATCATGACCTTAGGGGCAGGTATGGAGCTTTACGATGACAAAAAACAAGGTTTTGTGTTTAAGGAGGGGACTTCATTTGCCACGGCGATTGCCGCAGGCTTAGCTGCCAGCATTCTTCACCTGACGTCAAGAGTAGCGACCTCACGACTTCGGCCTAGATCCAAAGCCGCCCTGAAGACGATGTCTGGCATGCGGGTATTATTTCGACTTATGGCCGGACCAGATGCGCGCAAACCACGCCCATATGTGGCGCCATGGAATTATTGGCGGCCAGAATACTGGGAGGCGAATCGCTGGGGTCTTGTGAATACCTTTGCCCAACTAAACAGTGAATTCAACGAATCTAATGAGGGGGTGGTGTTTCGGAAACAGTAGAAGAGGGTGCAAGCAACTTGAGTAAATATGGAGTCAACATCGAGTCAACGTCAGAGGATTGCTTGAAAACTTGGGATTAAAGATTCATGTCGACTTACGTAGTTCATAATGTCTCACATATCTAACATAAGGTAGCAACTGCTTGCCTAGCTCACTCCAAGCTAGATAGTGGATCTACTTCAACATTGTCTGCGCTGAGCACAATTGATTCAGCAAAGAATCCTGATTTGCAATTAATTTGAGCTGCATATCTACGTACCCAATTACTGGCGGACTGACCTGGACATTCATTGTCAACAAATGCATAAATTGATATTGAATTATGCACAGAACAGCAGCCATTGGTTCATTAGCATGGTCAGACTTCGTACAATCACGACCCCGCACTCTAATCCATGACACAACATCGATAAAGCAGCATCACTACATGAACTGCCTGAACGCACAACCCCCCTCGGTGCGAGAGACTCTTGACTCATTGTGTTGTTTTGCGCTATCAATGTGCTCTTAAATTCCAGAAAATGGTGGAAGCCACTCGTGCAGACGCCCCGGCTAGACCGCAGCAATTCGCGGCTAGCAACGTAGATAGCAACTTCGATGAACCTGTCTTCGACCTCGCCGTTGAGTGTGGGTACCACTTCGAAGAACTCCTCAAACGCGAGAACTCAGTTATCTCAGCCAACGATCAACCAAATCTCGAAGAATATCAACGTCTGTTCTGGAAGTGGGCGCAGTATGTGGGTGTCTTCGCCGCTGGCAAGGTGAGCCTCGACTGGAGGCTACGCGGTAACGAACATTATCGAGAAATGTTCATTCTCGCGCTAGATATGTTGAGAGAAAATCTTCTTCAAAGTAGGTAGATACTGCACGTTGATTAAAATTACATGAGCTTGATACTTACGCCTCGTAGTGCTCCAGCCGGATTCGAAACCAGTCGATAGTGCCGCGAGCGATACATCAGAAGATTCAGATCAACTTGGCGGGGCGTTGATTGGTGTGGAGGAGGCAATATTGCAATTGAACACTCTTGGGATTTCTATCCGACAACCCGTATCCTCTCGACTAGACACGAAAGTCAGAGGATTTATGGACAGAAAGACGTCTCTGATGAATGACTTCGAACTGAAGGCTTCTCTCGTCGTCGAAAGGCTATATCCAGATGCTGCGCCCAGCCTGCGCCAGAAGCTTTCCAGCCATATGGTTCGCATCTACGGTCGGCTGCGGTACTGGGAGTCCCATGCAAATAAAATTGCCGCAAGCCGAGGACATATCCATAAACCAACGGTTCAAAGTGAATCTATTGAGTCAAAATTGACGTCTCGGAGTATCGATGATCACCATCCAATTGATGAAGAACCTGTTGTCTTGACGGAGAAGCACAGCAGGTCGCTCGCGGAGAATACTAGTGATACCGACGCTACGACAATGCCGTCCCGGGTGTCATATCCGCCACGTAGACAGCATACTAATACAAGTAGGGTGAGAGGTGGGGGGGCATTTTCTATCGTAAACAGCAAAGTCGATTTCCCATCACCACCAGATGACAAGGATGGCAACATCTGCTGGTATTGTCGCAAGTTTCACTCACCCGAAGATTACCACAACAAAACCTGGTGGCGGTCAGTAGTTCAAGTCTAATTTGCAGACACACTACTTTACTGACTCTGGCGCAGGAATCATATTCAAAACGACCTGGTGCCTTATGTCTGTCTTCTCGGTTCTTGTCTAGGTCCGCAGATATTTTCTAGTTCTGGAGAGTGGTCGAAACATATGGCATTCGAACATGGCGATGACTGGGTCCTGTGCCTCCCCGAGTCACCTATCTTGAGGTGTGTGCATGCTGATTGTAACAACAATGGCAAATTGTACTTTCAATCGTTTCAAGGCTTCAAAGACCACTGCCAAACCAGCCACGACATCGAAACGTACACCGCGCCTGGAAAGGTTGGCCGAGACGCACTTGCGGACTTAGAGACGTTTGTCTGCCCTCTCTGTTACAGACACTTCGACCAACAAAAGAAGGGAAGCCACTCGAATGTGGAAAAGACACATGTCCACGAGGCTGGAGCTGCGTTGTCAGAAGAGGCCCTAAGTGATTTCGACGAAAGTCAATACTTCACGGCATCAATAGCCCTGAAGATCAACAAAACTTTATCCAGTCACTTAGCAGAGCATATGCAATATCTCGCTTTGTCGATTCTTCGATTTGGAGTGGACGAGACTCCATATGAAGTACTAGATGAAGTCGACAGCAATTCTCCTGTCGAAGCAATGGACTCGGGGAGCAGGAGAAGTACAATTGTGATGGACGATCAAATTTCCACATTTGGGGATTGGCCAGTACCAGAGCGTGAGCCTCGCGCTTCACAGGCAACTAGACCTTCTCTTTCGGAAGACAATGATAGGACCGACGCAGAGACCATCATGGAAGAGACTATTTCAGACCTGGTGGTAGGTTAACGAAGCACGTTGGAAGTCAGCAACTAATCGTTTGATGGATGCAGGATTTCCGTTTGTCTTCCAGCCACAGAGGATCTAGCCCAGCCTCAGATACCGCTTTGGCCTCGATCACCGGTAACGGTCTGTCATCAAATTCATCTCTGCCCCCTGTCACCATGCCTGCAGAACCCAGTGAAGTCATGGATCGTGGAGAGCAGGTGTTTACAGAAGCGATGAGCGAAGGATTGCTTCCTACATCGCAGACAAAAGAAGAATACCTGATCGATTCTTTCGAAGATCGTTGATACACGTCCTTCGCGACCAATCCTCAGACTCGAAGACAATTCCTACCAAATGGCCAATTGAACAGTCTCGTATGTAGAGAACCGATTACAAAAGAGCTCAAGAAGAAGATTCCTGGAATCCGAAAGAACACCTGGTGCCCCATGCCGATGGGGCATAGGTAGTCTCAGTGTATCAAAGGAGTGACGATGCATAATTTATTACAAAGCGAGGAACGCAGCGGAAGACAAATATAGTAGAAAATGGCTGATATCAGCTACAGAAACCCAAACACGGGTCGTGAATAAATACACCCGACGGAACGTACGGCAGTGCGCTGGGCAGTGCCACACGCGGCGCTGCGACACTTCCAGAGATGAATGAGGCTATCCCGTTATCTGGGGTTTCCCGTGTCCCTCTCCCCCCCTCTTCGTTTTTTTCCTTGATCAAACCTGGGGCCTTTGGGTTAAACACTGAGTTTCCTAAGTGTTATCTTGAGGGCAAGTCTCAGGATTACAATAGAGCAGGGGCATGCCAGCATACTCCGCGATCGTCGATGAGAGCCTCAATAGCGAGAATGAGAAGCTCCTTAGCTAAAGATTAAAACGTCGGAATGTAATTCGCTAGACCATAGATAGTAAGTGTTGACTAAGTTTGAGAAAACTATGTCGGTATCTCCTTGCTTTTGATTGAGACCAAAAAATTTAGCAATCTTTGGTGGTTCTGGTTCAAGTCCTAGGCAGTTACTCCTAGAAGAACCCGGGAATACGTCGCTTAGTCTTCCTTTACCCATAAGCATGCTTCGATTGAACCAAGGCTGCAATATGCTAGTTGGGGTTTTTACACTATGATCGTAAACAGATAGCAAGATAGCAAGGGGCTGTTATAAGGAGAAGACTTACGCACCAACCAAAGCGGTTATTGCCGTTGATCATTTCAGAGCCTTCAATCTGGCATACGCCAGGTGCATAGTTAGGTGGAGGGACAGGTCCACTCTTTGGGTCGTAATCGTAGCACTGTTTGTTTGAGGGAGTTACTGCAGGCTCTTTGATCTGAGCATTTGATGACGTACAAAAACGGCGTGCGTGTTTTTCTTACGATCATTAGTAAGGGGCAGAGGTGCCAGATATAGAACATTGGAACTCACAAATGCCGCACAAAAAGCGTGGGGTTCACTCCAATCCTTTCCATTTTCACAAGCTGAAGCATGCCCTAAGAGGACTGATGCTAATGTCAAAGCAAGCCTGAAACACAGCATCCTACTTTCCAAATAAATTGAGTGGCGTGACTTCTGGGTAGAGAAACAAAAGCTGTTTGACGCAAGTCAAGCAGAATGGGAAGATAGTGGTGATAAACTAAAGATGATACTTATGGTGATATGGAAAAATTTACGGCCATTTTGTAACGTGGATTCTGAAGTTATAAGTATTTGATTGTTAACGAGAGTTAACAAGCCATACTCTCAGTCGGTGATTAGAATTTTAATAGCAGGAACTCTGATAGAGTGTGTAGAAAGTAAATATCATGCTGATTTCCTCCGGCTTTACACCTCCACCGAGGTTTGATATGTTAGCTCAGTGAATTAAGAGGGAGGTTCTACTACAAGTACTAATTCTAACTTCTTCCCCTAATTTCTAAAGCCATTCCAGAGGTAGTACTTTAAAATCTAAAAACCGATATCTTTTTACAAATACCGATCTTCTTAGTTTTATATTATATTACTATTTTCCCACTGATTTCATTATTATAATGTCTTAATCTTTGTTTTAGTATATATTTTATATATAAGTATAAGTATCGTGACTTTGTAGGGCTGTTACCGATTTTAGTAGAGTCTGCTGCTAAGTATAACACTAACGTATGAAACCCGGTAGAGGTGTACTAGCTCTGGTAATCCACCCGACTGGCATCCGGCTTTTAGAAATATAGTTAAACCTGTCGAGATGCAAAGTTTGATATCGGCGCGGCGTATAGGTAGAGGTAATGGCGCGTTGGTGGGAGCCGGAAGTTCCGCACGAAAACTCTGTTTATTGCAAAGTTCGTTTCGCTTCTTCTCGAGTTCAAACGGTCCTTGGGAACTTGAGGATGCTGCAGAGAAACAGTGCCGGAAAATAAGGGCCTTGCAAGTTTGTCGCCCGGCTTTACAAGTATATCTGTTTCAGGAACTGTTCACGTTTATCAGGTGATCTTAGAGATATGTTTCACATACGGATTTTCTTCGTACGTCTGCACCATGAACAAAATAATGAGCTTGGGCCAAGAAGCACGTTCAGTTGACATGCTAGCCCCTGGCTGAATAAAGTATGAACAATGAGAGTTCAATCAATGTGAGATGCACTGACGAAGAGGTCAATTTCTCGGAACCACTTGCCCAGCGCACGGGCTTCCGTAGACGCCGAAAATTTCACCCAATTCGCCGGGAGTATGGCAAGCTAAAGGGGTCACACTTGCAAAACCCTGAATCTATCACAGAAGTCCTCAATTCGGTTAATGCATCAGTCACAGGTCCCCGCAGTATATCTTGATTTTGGGCATGACAAAAACACTATTTTGAACAGCAGCGAGTCCGCTACGAATCAGCAAATACCATTCCGGTTTAATATACAGAAGGTTCACACAGCATGGCAAAGTAAATACATCGGGCCCGGCGCTATTCAATTACGCTCATCTTCCGGCTCAAATCCCCCCTCGTCGCTATTCTCCACTTGACGGAGCCGCTGCCACCTCGGTCAATACTTGAATGTGCATTTCTGACCTGACTGGACTTACAATCCAAAGGCGAGCAGCCATGGCGATGGCATCCAATGCCATTATCTTCCTCTCCTCAAGGCTCCTCTCAGGTACTTCACCAACGGAAGCCAGGGAACCCGGTGGTCGTGGGACGGCGGGAGAACCTCCGATACTTCCGCAGGCCCGTAGCTATTGCGCTGCTCTCTGCGCAGCAGCACGCCAGGCCTCGCCCGGAACATCATCTATATTGCAGAGTTGCTAGTTCATTACCCAGAAAATACGCACACAAGCCTAGACTTCAACGGGAATCTATAGATATGAAAAGTCAGTAGCTCGTCAGCTAGCTCATAGAGCGTAAAGATTTCTCACCGGCTGGCATGTGTGGCTGTTCTTTGCGCAATCCCAGCAAGCAGCACCTGTATCTATGTTGTCGGTGTGAATATTCCGGAATTTTACGTTGAAAATTGAGTTGATGCACATACTATCTTGAAAGGCGCACTCGTGGCCAGGGACGCGTCTCCTACCGACACCACACCGGCTAGGTGAGAAAGGCGAGTCTCGGTGACTGCGGGGTAGCGGGGCACACACCGAGGCCCAGCCGCACTTTGACTCGCAAAGGAAGGTGCACCCCTCACCCCGCCATTGACTCACGCTTTTCGGAACTTTTGTCCAGACAGCTCCGTGTCATCAAACAATTCGAGTCACCACAAGCGGCGCGTGAATCACGATTGAGCCGCCGCCAAGACCTCCGATTCTTCGTCCTCTCGTTCATCGACACTCCACATTATTGATCGAGACCCCGAGACACAATGGCATCCGCCCCCGAAGCCCCGACCGCCGCCGTCCCCGCCGAAGCTGTCGGTGACGCACCCGCAGCCTCGGGCGGCCAGAAAGTCGACCCCTGGAACGTCTCTGGAGAAGTGGGTTTGCGAACGTTGGCGTATAAGAGAAGGGACCGTGGACTGACTGCAGGGTAATAGGTCGGCACGGACGGCAAGGTTAAGGCCATTGACTACAAGGTGCTGTCTTGGATTTCTGTACCAATGCAGAGCTTTTGCTGACCAGTGAATGCCGGACAGAAAATCGTAGACGAGTTCGGAACTAAACTGATTGACGATGCCCTCCTCGAGCGCTTCGAGCGCGTGACTGGTCACAAGCCTCACCACTTTCTCCGCCGCCAGATCGTCTTCTCCCACCGCGACCTCGATCTCATCCTTGACCGCGTCGAGAAGAAGCAGCCTTTCTTCATTTACACTGGTGTGTTGGCCTGAGGAGATTCCTTAGTCGTAAAGACAATGTGAAAAGGCGAAATGGGTCAGGATAATAGGCTGACTAGAATGACTCAAGGCCGTGGACCGAGTTCTGATAGCATGCACGTTGGCCATGCTATCCCGTTCCAATTGACAAAGTGGCTGTCAGATGTGCTTGATGCACCACTAGTAGTACGTTGTTTTAGGGCTGCCCCCCTTGCGTAAACAGTCGCTAAGTCTGGCATAGATCATGATGACTGACGGTAATGAGAAAACGCTGAAGACCACTTCTGGAAGTTGCGACTAACTTTAGGCCACAGACGAGAAGTTCCTTTTCTCGGAGAAGAGAACGGTCGAGGAGGTTCAGCACTACACGAGAGAAAACGCCAAGGACATGTAAGACTTGCGATTCCATGCGCAAGAACACGCTCTGACATCTTGTAGCATTGCAATTGGCTTCAATCCCGAGCGGACCTTCATTTTCTCCGACTACGACTACATGGGCGGCGCCTTCTACAAGTACGTCTCAGCTTGTACACGGTGGGGTGCCGGAACTGACTCCCCTATAGGAACGTGACCCGTGTAGCTAAGAGAATCACCGTCAACACAGCCAAGGCCGTCTTCGGATTTGACGATAGCTCCAACATTGGCAAGATTCACTTTGCCAGTATTCAAGCCAGCTCTTCCTTTGGCAACTCATTCCCCCACATCTTTGGCGAGGACGAGAAGAAGACTTCCCAAATCCCCTGCCTCATTCCTTGCGCCATTGACCAGGGTTTGTCTTCCCCTTCGCCCGTTGGCTCAAAGGACGGGACTAGACTAACTATTTATGCAGACCCCTATTTCCGCGTGACGAGAGATTGTGCCGCCGGCCTGCGCTACGCCAAACCCTCTCTCATTCACTCTCGTTTCCTCGATGCCCTTCAGGGCCCGGGTTCCAAGATGTCGGCGTCGATTGATTCGAGTGCCATCTTCTTGAATGACACACCCAAGCAGATACAGAACAAGATGAACAAATATGCCTTCAGCGGTGGCAAGGTTACCGCCGAGGAGCAGCGTGCTGAGGGAGCCGATCCTGACGGTAAGACCACAGAACCAGACCGCGTAATTATGCGCAGCAGCTCGCTAATACCGGTGTTCAGTTGACGTCAGCTACCAATACCTTCGCTTCTTCCTCGAGGATGATGAGGAGCTGGCCAAGATCCGTGAAGACTACCGCACAGGAAAGATGCTCACCGGTGAGATCAAGAAGAGGTTCGTCGGCATGCTAACTCTCTCTTCCATTTTTTTTTAGTAGCTAACAAACCCCGATGCAGGTGTGCCGAGGAGCTTGCCAAGTACTGCACCGCGTTCCAGGAGAGGAGGGCCAAGGTGGACGAGGACACCGTCAACCTGTTCTTTGCCCGCCGGCCGTTGTCCTGGGGCCTTGCCGAGAAGCTCAACTCTATCCCCATCCGCGAGGCTAACGCTGAGGGTGCCGAGGGCGCCGAGGGTGCCGACGGCAAGATGACCAAGAACCAGCTCAAGAAGCTGGAGAAGCAGCGCCAAATCGAGGAGAAGAAGGCCGCCAAGGCGAAGGAAAAGGAGGCTGCCAAGGCTTCTGCGTAGAGTTTGTGGGATGACGGATAGGAAAAAGAATATACCCAAAGATCTGTTGATTTCACGGGATGCTTTACCTTTTTTGAAATTTTGCAATCCATTTGCATTGGTTTTCGCGGGTCACACAATAGGCCTGGGGTTGAAAAGGCTAGCTTCCTATTCGGCGATCGCTATCGTTTTGACAATGGTGACAACGTTAACGCACCATCTCCCACCTACATCGTTCCTCCACGTTATGCGTCGTCCCTTCAGTACATTGCCCACCCCCCGCTGGCACTGATAACCTGCCCACTAACCCAAGAACTCTCCGGGCTTGCAAGCCACGTCACGATCCGAGCAACTTCCTCCACCGTCCCGGTCCGATTCTCCACTGGCGTCTGCCTCTTCTGCATCTCCACCAACGCCTTGGGAATCTTATCCAGCATATCGCTCTGCACCGGCCCGGGCGCAACACAATTCACCGTCGTCCCGTTCCGACCAAGCTCCCGCGCCCACACACGCGTGAGCCCCTCGAGCGCCGCCTTCGAGGAGCAGTACAGTCCCAAGCCGGGGAAACCCTGCCGCCCGCCCACGGAGCCTACGTTGATGATGCGCGCGCCGGCCGGGGCCAGGCGCGGGAGCAGGGCTTGTGTAAGGAGCAACGGCGCGCGGACGTTGAGGTCGTAGACTTTGGCAAAGTCTGCGGGGGAGATGGTGCCCAGGGGCGCGTTGAGTTCCGTGCCGGCGTTGTTGATGAGGATGTCGACGCGGGATTCGGGTCCGAGCCAGGCGTCTAGGGCGGAAAGGACTGTGGAAGGGGCGGTTTCTGAGGCGAGGTCTGCTTTGCAGCCTACGGCTGAGGGGCTTTGGGGAAGGGAAGTGATTTCTGCGATGAGGGCGTCGACTTTCTGTGCGCTTGTGTCGGATGTATAGAGGAGCATTACCTGTCGTTGATGAGCAGCTGACGGG